TCTTTTTCTCCATCCTTTTTCCCCCATTTATGCTATTCTTTCTCCTCTCTCCCTCCCCCCCACCAGTAATTTGCTTTTGACCACCACCTCCTTTAGTCTCTCCTCCCTTCTATTTTCCCCCTTCCTCCTCTTCCCTCCCACTGCTTCTTCCCTCCCTTCCATCCCCCATCCCTTTTCTTTCCCCTTTTCCCTCCTACTGCACATAGGGCAAGTTAGGTTTCCATACCTGATTATGTTATGCCCTTCTTGAGCCAAATCTGATGAGAGCAAGGTTCAAACAATGCTCACCCCCCTCCCTTCTTTCCCTCTGCTGTAATAGGATTTTCTGCCTTTTCCTGTAATGTAATTTGTCCTTGTCTGCCTCCTCCTTTCTCAGTACATTTTCTAAGCTCAGACTAATCAACTTACTTGGATCCATTTAACCCACTTGATTAGATTTTTTTTTTATCATTACATCAAAGTCAACTAATATCCACCCCCTTTATGTATGCTCCTTAAACATGGTGTAATAACAATACAGTTCTCAAGAGTTCTAAGTGTCATCTTCCCTTGTAGGAATGTAAACAGTCTGCCCTTATTAACAACATTTTGTATCTTTCTGTCCCATTTACCTTTTTATGTCTTTCTTGAATCTTGGACTTGAAGATAAAATTTTTTGTTGAGCTCTGGTCTTTTTATGAGAAAGGTTTGGAAGTGTCCCCTATTTCGTTGAATATCCATCTTCTTTGAAAAATCATGCTCATTTTTGCAGGTAGTAGTTGATCCTTGGCTGCAATCCAAGCTCCTTTGCCTTATAGAATATCATGTTCCACTCCTTGCAGTCTTTTAATGTGGAAGCTGCAAGGTCCTGTGTAATCCTGACTGTGGTTCCATGATTTTTAATTGTTTCTTTCTGGCTGCTTGTAGCACCTTCTCTTTTATCTGGTAATTTTGGAATTTTGCTATTTTCCTTGGCGTTGTCAATTTGGGATCTCTTTCAGGTGGTGAGCAGTGTATTCTTTCTGTGGTTATTTTACTTCTGGTTCTAGGACTTCAGGGCAGTTTTCCTTTGATTTCCTGAAAGATATTGTCCAGGCTTTTTTTTTCCATCATGATTTTCAGGTGGTCCAGTGATTTTTAAATTCTCTCTGCTGGATCGATTTCCAGGTCAGTTGTTTTACCGATAAGGTATTTTAAGTTTTCATCCATTTTTTTCATTTTTTTGTTTCTGTTTGACTGATTCTTGCTCTCTCATAGAGTCATTGGTTTCCATTTGTCCAATTCTGGTTTTTAACAGATTGTTTTCTTCTGTTTTTGTACTTCCTTCTTCAATTGGCCAATTGTATTTTTAAGGGATTTGTTTTCTTCAGTGTACTTTTTTTCCAGTTTGCCAATTGTGTTTTTTAGGGACTTGTTTTCTTCAGTATACTTTTTTTCCAATTGTCCAATTGTATTTTTTAAGGACTCTTCTACCTCTCTCATTAGACTTTTAAAATCCTTCTTGAGCTCTTCTAAGAAGGCTTTTTGGGCTTCAGACCAGTTCATGTTACCTTTTGATGTTGCAGATGTGGGTTTGTGGACAATGTTGTCCTCTTCAGAATTTCTGTCTCGATCTCCACTCTTCTCAATATGAATCTATGGCATTTCTTTTTACTCATGGTTTCTTTATTTCCTGGCATTTAGAGAGATTGAGCTCTCCTGCTGGGGAACAGAGGTCACTGACCCAAGCTTCTCGTGTTGGGAGCCTAGGTCTTGGTCACTGGCTTTGTGTGCTGGGGCCTCTTATGTTGACAGTTGGAAGCTGTAGGGTTTTGGCCGCTTACCTGGTGTTGGTCTGGAATCAGCAAGGCTCGGACTTTAGGAAGAGTTTAGGTTGCTTTCTTCAGCTCTTTTCAGATGAATGCTATAGGGTACTTATCCGTCTGGGGCCTTTTGTAGTGCTGCTTCCCTTGTTTTTGCTGAGACGCTGGGAGACCCGTTTGCTGGGCTGCTTCACTGCGGTTCCTCGTCTTTCTTCCAGTTCAGGTGTTCCAGGGTTTTTTCCTGGGGTGATATTTTCTGGGTTTTCAGAGGTTAATAGGGGATAGTGAGAGCGACTATCTTTTTACTCCGCCTTCTTGGCTTCCGGAGGTTTTTTTTTTTTTGAAGGGAGCGATAGAACAAATGAATTTGGGAACCTCTGTCCCAAGAGGACCCCTATTTTACCCCTACTCATACTTATTTTTAGTGCTCTGTATTCATCCTGAAGCGCTATTTCATCTTTTGTGGGGGAGAATCTTGAAATCTTCAAATTTTCTGACCTACTCTGCCATCTTCCCAGAATCTTCCCTCTGATGTTCTACAAATCGTTTTTTGTTTGTTTTTGTTTGGTTTTTTTGGTTAGGCAGTGGGGTTGAGTGACTTGCCCAGGGTCACAGAGCTAGTAAGTGTGTCTGAGGCCAAATTTGAACTCAGGTCCTCCTGAATCCAGGACCGGTGCCACCTACCTGTCCCTGTGTATTGTTTTAAAAATAAGCTGTTAGTGGTGTCTTCTCTTTCTTACATCATCTTAATTATCCCCAGTATCCTTACCCCTCTCCCTCCCAGAGTCATTTCATGTAACAAGTAGAGGAAAAATAATCAGCACAATTAATACATTGAAAAAGTAAAAAATACGTGCACTATGTAATACCTGTAGACCTCTCACCTCCACAAAGGAGTGATTTAAGGGTATCTTCTCATATCTCTTCATTCAAGTTTTGCTTGATCTTTATTATTTTGTTACATTCATTCTTGTTATTTTGGAGTGTAGTTCTTTCATTTACATTGTTGTAGTTATTGTGTATATTGTTTTCTCGACCCTGGTCACTTCACCCAGCATCAGTTCACATGGATCTTTCCATGCTTCTCTGTATTCATCACATACATTGTTGTCTTACAGCACAATAATATTCCATTGCATTTGTTTGCCACAATTTGTTTAGTAAGTCCCTAATTGATGGACATCTACATTTTCCCCCTAATTCTTTGCTATCAGATAAAGTTCTGCTATAAATATTTTGGTGTATATGGCATCTTTCTTGTTATTGATAACTTCCTTAGGGAATGAGTAAATGTTTCTCTGGTTCAAAGGGTGTGGACATCCTAGTCACTTTATTTGCATATTTCCAGATTGCTTTCCAGAATGTTCTGTACCATCTCACAGCTCCAACAACAACATAGTAGTGTATCTGTCATTCCACAATTCCTCTGGCATTTGAGTATTGACACTTTTTTTGGTCATCTTTGCCAGTTTTCAGGATGTTAGGTAAAACCTCAAGGTTGTTTTAACATTTAGCATTATTTCATGCAGCTCTTTTGAGAACTGTTTGTATCCTTTGACTGTTTATCTATTGGGGATTGGGTGTTAGTCATATACGAGCATGCGTGTGTGTGTATGTAGATAGTTTGTATAACTTAGATGTCAAAAGCTTATCAGAGAAATTTGATAAAAAGATTTTTTTTTCCATTTGACAACTTCCCTTCTTATCTTAGGTGCATTAATTTTGTCTGTGCAGAAGATTTTCAATTTCATGAAATTAAAGCTAGCTATTTTGTCTTTTATAATTACGTCTATCTTCTGGTTAAAAATGCATTTCCTACCTTGAGCTGTGAAGAGGTATATGAGCTACTTTTTTTTTTTTTGGTAGCCTGATCATTAATGTTAAGGTCATGTATCCATTTAGAATGTATTTAAGAAAATGGTCTACCTCCATGATTTTTGAAAGATGGTAGAGAAAGGGAGAATAGCTAAAGGATTGAAGGACACATGCCTTGATTTGGACAGTGTGTTTAATTCCTGGAAATTTTCTACTATATGATATTAAAGTAATGATTAATGAACATCTACAAAATGAAGCAGGGATAATAAAGAACCTGCATGGCCTTATCAAAAGGTTATGCTGAGGGGTAGCTAGGTGACACAGTGGATAGAGCACCAGCGTTGGAGTCAGGATGATCTGAGTTCAAATCCAACCGCAGACACTCAGGTTATTAGCTGTGTGACCCTGAACAAGTCACTTAACCCTGATTGTGTCACCAAATAACAACAACAACAACAAAAAGGTTATGCTGAACTAATCTCATTTTCTTATTGACAGTGTTACCAGACTGGTAGATTAGGGGAACGTGGTAAATGTAGAATACCTAGATTTTAAAAAACATTTAACTAAGTCTCAAATCTAGTAAGTTAATATTTAGTAGGAATCAGTAACATATACTAGTGAAACGTAGTTTTTGAACATAAGCATAAGAAGGACAAATGACTAGATAGCGATTTGAAAAAGATCTGAGAGTTTAGGGGATTATAAGCTCAAAATGAATCAGAAGTATGACATGAAAGAAATTAATTGGAATAAGCTGAGGGAAATATAATAATGTCCAAGACTAGGAAAATGTTATTCCCCTGTAGTCTGCTTTCAGGAATGGGGAAGCTGTGGCCTTGAGGCTTTCAAGTGTGGTCCTTTGACCAAATCCAAATTTCACTTTGTTCTGTGAGGACACCGATTGGCTGTGATCCTGGACAAGTCGCTTAACCACCTAGTGCTGTAGGCTAGAGGTATTGAACATGTGGCCCAAATCAGATTAAAATGTAATTGGGAAATATTTAACAAAATAAGTAAAAATACAATAAAACAGATAAAACTACATTTTAAAACTAATGTGTTACCTGCACAGATCCTTATGCATGATTTAATGACTCATTTCTTTTTGAGTTTGATAACCACTCTTCTAGACAACTCTCTGAGACTAGGTTGCAGGGAAGATGCTAACTTACATTAGGAGAGGGAGTTCTATGTATCAGTGATACCACAGGTCCAGTAAGCATGCCTATTCTAATTTAATATATTAATTCTAGTTTTAAATTTTACATATGTAATTTATTTTGTGAATAGCCCCATAATACTTGTGGGGGGGGGTTATTGCACATGTGGTGAAATACTGTTTCTAAGTATGGGCAGCTTACTATGAAATTAAGAATGTCTCCTTTCTTCATTACTTAGATAGAAAGCCTTGACTTTTTAGTTCTCCTGAAGAAAATTGAAGAAGTCTATAAAAATGAAGATGGAGAAAATCTGGAGATCCTTTGTCCAGTTCCAGGTCAAGCCTGCATAGCTAAATTTGAAGATGGAGTCTGGTACCGGGCACAAGTCATTGGTAAGGACATACATGCCATTTGTATATAGATGTTTTTGTTTTGTTTCTGACTAGACCCATGATTTCGTTAGAGTAGGAAACTCCTAGTAGAGAACTTTTTCTAAAGCTTAAAAGATATTTTAGATATAAAGCTCAGAATGATAAAATCTAAGTTTATGTGGACTGATAGAAGGGAAATGGGTCAACTTTGGTTTCTAGTTACCTTTTCTTCCTATCGTCTCTTCAGAGATTAAAGATTAAGGATTGGATTGGGGATAGGAAACCGGCTGCTCTTCTGCTTTCATTTTCCTTTGTATATATATCTTTCCTAGTTAAATTAGTCACAAAGCTTTGGTATAGAAAAATCCTAGAAAGATAGTACAAGACAACAGAAACTAATAATGAGAATAATGATGAAAAGTATTTATATGTTAAGATAAAGTTTGTATTACTCTATTTAAACATTTATGGACTTTTACACAGTTTTTGTCTCCAGTCAACTATCTTCTTCAAGCTAAGTATTCTTTTATACTTTTGCCCAAACACTTGCTATGTTTGTAATTATCTTGTATGGTGCTTTCTTAATTTTCTACATTTCCTTTTTAAGCTCAGTATTAGGCTGCTGCTATATCAGACAAGCCTGTAAAAAGCTTACAAGAATACGACTAGTTAAGTAAAGTAAAAATGATGATCACCATACCAAATAACTTTTTACTGAATTTTAATTAGGCATAGCATTATATTGAGATGCTATTCTTCTTCTAAATTTTGTGTATCTTTCTCCCCAGAACCTTTGCATACAGCAAGTGTTTAATATATATGTTAAATGTCATGGAAAAATTACTTGTTACTAGAAACCCATGTTTCATGATTACTTTAGGACAGTCGAAATATTTTCAGAAACATCATAAAATCAGGATTAATAGAAAAATGCCTTGCTGTGATGCTCATAGCTCCGTAACTCTGAAATGTAAATTTTATATCACCTTTGCATATTAAAGTTTGACCAGTCTCATACATTAACTATATTTATTAAAACAATAAACATTTATTAAACCACACACAAAGTGGCAAGGTAACATTCTTGACACTAAGTTCCTTTTTTTAACTTTTTTAAATCAGTTTTTATAACTTACTTTCAAAATTCTTTTTAAATTTTGAGTTCCAAATTCTCTCCCTCCCATCAGCCCATCCCCCACTCATTGAGAAGGCAAGCAATATGGTGTCAATTGTACTTGTGAAATTGTGCAAAACATATTTCCACGTTAGCCATGCCATGAAAAAGAAAAAGAAAGTGAGAAAATTATACTTCAGTTTGCACTCAGTTTATCAGTTCTCTCTCTCTCTGAAAGTGAATAACATTTTTCTTGAGTACTTCAGAATTGTCTTTGATCATTGTATTGATCAGAGTAGCTAGGTCTTTCACAGCTGATCTTCATTACAATATTGCTATTACAGTGTACTATGATTTCCTGATTCTTTTCACTTGACTTTACATCAGTTCATATAGGTCATGCTACATTTTTCTGAAACTAATCTTTCTCATCATTTCTTATGATGGAGTAGTATCCAATTACATACTACAACTTGTTTAGTTATTCCCCAGTTGATGGGCATCCTCTCAATTTCCAGTTCTATGCCACTATAAAAAGATATGTGATAAATATTTTTGTACATGTAGGTCCTTTTCCTTTTTCATTGATCTCTTTGGGATACAAATCTGCTAGTGTTACTGCTGGGTCAAAGGGTATGTACAGTTTTATAGCTGTATAGTTCCAAATTGTTCTCCAGTATAGTTGGACTAGTTCACAACTCCACCTGCAGTGCATTAGTGTCCCCATTTTTCCACCTTCCCTCCAATATTTTTCCTTTTCTACCATACTAGCCTATCTGATAGGTGTGAGGTGGTACCTCAGAGCTTTTTAAATTTGTATTTCTCTTAATTATTAGTAATTTAGAACATTTTTTATATGAATATTGATACCTTTTATTTTTTCTTCTGAAAGATACCTGTTCGTGTCCTTTGACCATTTATCAATTGGGAAATGACTCTTATTTTTATAAATTTGATTCTCTTCCCCATATATTTGAGAAATGAGGTCTTTATCAGAGCTTGCTTCTTTCACTTTTTATACATTGAAACACAAGTGGACGTCTTAACAACTGTTTCTTTAGCAGGTTGAATTCTCCAGCAGATGTTCAGATAGTTGAAGTGTTCCCTAGCACTATTTTAAATCATATTTCTATTCCAGCTTTATGATCTGTTTCTCAAATTCTTGTATGTTTCCTTCTTCTGGCCTAGTGGTCTGTAGAAAATTCCTACCTCAGTATCTTTTCTGTTTCTCTTTCTAGTACTCCTAACTCAGATACTTAACGCCATGCTTCTCTCTGTATTTCAGTTAATGGACCCACATGCACGTTCGCACGCACACACTGTGTGCTTCTTTGTCTCTGTCTCTGTCTGTCTCTCTCTCTCTCTCTCTCTCTCTCTCTCTCTCTCTCTCTCTCTCTCTCACACACACCACACACACACACACACACACACACACAACACACACACACACAAACAAACACATTTATTACCTCTTTTATCTGTTCCTTTTGAAATATCATACCCTTCCAAACCCATTTCCTTCCATGAGTCATGTCCTTCCAACTCTGAATGATGTCTGTGAAATTAAACTTATCTTCTTAAGTTAGGATCACCTTGAGAATATAAATCCTAGGTGAAAAGAAGTTTGTTAATAAAATGGGGTTTTCACAGTTTATAGTTGAAAGGATGGGCAGGCAGTGTCTTGCATTATAGCTCTCTTTATTGAGTCCCTACTCAGCCCATCAAATTGGAATATCCTCATATTTATGGGGAATTTTTAATTTATCTTCATGGTTTTGAAACTTTTGACTGGAATATTTAGCCACCTGGTAGTGATTTTTTTTGGGGGGGGTGCATAGCAGCTTATAATAATCTCTTGGAGTGTAGGATGTCTACAATCTGCAGCAGTAAAAGAAATACCCAAATTAATGAACTCTGAGGTCCTTCAAGTATTGGAGTAAGTTTGTGGTTAAAGATGTAGTAAAATTTTTATGTCATTTTTTGTAAGTTTGACGCTTAAATATCTTCTAATTCACTTAACTGTGATGAAGTCATTCTGAATCATATGAAATGTATTTTTTGTTTTCACTTTCGATTTGTGCTGATTTGATAATCTCTGAAGGTTTACCAGGACATCAAGAAGTTGAAGTTAAATATGTTGACTTTGGTAATGCTGCAACAGTAACACTTAAGGAGATGCGTAAAGTAAAGGATGAATTTTTGAATCCCCCAGAAAAGGTATACCAGATTTAATTAACTTAAATTTTATGGCTAAAGTTACTAGTATAAATTTAGTCAGCTTTTTTTGTATTCACCATATACATTTAGTCATTCATGTCTTCATTTCTAAATAAGTTTTGCTGTTTCATTGAAGGTAAATATTGCTTCAGATACTACTTTAGAAATTGTTTCTACTTTGCTAAATGGTCTTCAGATTTCTTGGACTTCTCATAGGTCTTGAATATAAAAGTATGTATTTCTCACATAAGCTCCTTGAGTGCTAGAGATTGTTTTTGTCTTTGAATCTTTAGTGCCTAATAAATGGTACTTAAATGGAATGTAATTAATGGTATGTAATTAATGGTTTGTCATTTTTAAAATAGAAGTTCTCAGCAAATTTTGTTTTTACCAAATGGCATAAATTTTTCACTGTAATCCTAATATGTTGCTGGAAATGAATATGTTTTAACCATGGGAATTTTATTTGGCACAGGCAATTAAATGCAAATTGGCACATATTGAACCTTCAAAAAAAAACAAGCAGTGGTCTAAAGAAGCAAATGGAAAGTTTGAAGAAATGACTCATGATAAATTTATGACATGTTCAGTCATCAGTGAGTTATCTTTATGTGTGTATGTCACTAGAAATAATGTAAGCATTTTTTTGTAATTAGAATAATTTGTATGATAGAACATTTCAGTTAGGTTTTAAAATACAAAAAAGACAAGAATTCTCTCTGTATATTAGAAGATGTTAACCCTGACATGAAAAAAATCACAAAATTAGATTATTAACTTTGATCATTATCACTCTGAAATTCTACTTGTCTGCATCAAAACTCTTCCATTGAACTACAACAGAATTTGTATTTCGTCTTTGTATAGATCCCATGATGCTAGCTAGCCTTCTGTCTTAATATTTGGCCTTGACACGCCTCTGAGAAAGGCAATAAATTGAGCTCCTTGTTCCTAAAGGACCACCACCAGAGAGCTAAGCATTGCTTTGGGGCAGAGTTGATAAATATAAACTTTAATGCAAGCCAAAAATATAAAGGAGAAATTTGGAGACAGGAAGTTGGAGGCACATGGATTAGAACAGAATTGTCAAACATGCAGCCTCCATCACTTCCTAAGTGCCACCCAAACCAGATTAAAATGTAATTGGGGAATATGTAACAAAGTAAATAAAAATATAATAAAACATAGATAATATTACATTTTAAAATCAAGTCAATATGTATCCCACAGAGATCTTTGTATGTGGATTGGTGACCCCTGTGTCTGTTTTGAATTTGACATCACTGGATTAGAGAAACAGAAGGAAGTATAAACAAATAATAGAAAGAGGAAGAAAGAGAATTATGTATAGATGATTATTAAAAGACATTATTTTTCAAGCAGATCAGTAAAGTACTATTACAATAAACCACTACAAGAATACTTGGAAATCACTTGGTTGTTTGTAATGCTTTTCGGTATTAATTGCCACAATGGATTTTACCAAATTTGCAAGCAAGTGAAAATATAGTATTGTCTCCTTTTTTCCTAGCAGAAATTAAAATAGATGTGCATTATAGTAATACCTTTATATACTGTTAATACTTGAATTGTAAATGTTTCGGTTAGTTTTGTTTACTTTTTCGCTAGGTATTAAGTTAAAATTTTTTTTTTTATTTCGGCCTTTATTGGCCATCTTTCTGAAATGTATTAGAATCTGTCTTGCCTTACAGTGATGACAGTAGTGGTTGTTATAGTTATTGAACATAAACCTTGATCAGGATAACGTGGTGCCCAGTAGGTTGTCATTATTGAAAATAGGTATGAAAGGCATAGGAGATTGGAATAAATATTAAGCTCTAGGATATTCTTTGGAATTTTTATCATCTCTTGTTACTGTTGTACTTCAAAGAAAAGCCTTTGTAATTTGACTCTTTCTTATAAAAGGTCATTATGGAATGGGGAAGAAATCCAGGGAATTGAGGCTTCTACTTAATTGAAGGTTATATATATACTGGACTTTCTGATGTATAATATGTTGATACAAGTTGTGAAATATACAAATATAATACCGATTTAAGAATTAGTTTACCTTAATTTGTCCTTCTGAAAAACTGAATTAAAACCTGTTTTTTAAATTGTCAACCCTATGTAAATAATCCATTCTTCTTATGGTTTTTTAATTTTTTTTTTTCCAGCCAAAGACAAGGTTTATTAGAACATCTGTCGTATTGGTCAGACACTTAAGGAGTCTGAAAATTAGTGAGCTATTGGCTAGATTTTAAGAATTTGACCAGTGGCTAGATTATAAGAATCTGAGTCAGTTTTTTTTAATTTTTAAAAAGTCCCCTAGCAATTTGTAGAGGAAAATAACACAAAAGTGTCTATGGAGTAAAGAGTACAAAATATTTATTTTTATGAGTGCTATTGAAACGTTTACACAACTTCTCTCTATCTAGCAATATTCACTTTAACAGCCTTATGGAGATCATGCTTTTACTCAATAGTGTTTATAAATATATGTGGTTCTTAAAATATACATACTAAATGAAAATAAAATAGTTTATTCAAATAAAAAATATTTTTGCAAATTATATTCTTGGTTTTACAGAAATTTTGGAAGACAATGTACTATCTGTCGAGCTATTTGATTCTATCAGTGCTCCTGGAATGATACCAAACAGTGTTAATAACCAGCTAGTTAAGGAAGGTTTAGCGTCTTATGAGTTAGGGTAAGTATACTTTTTAATATTAATAGCTAATAAGCATATACTGTCTTTGGAATTTTTTGGGGGGGGTCACATCTATGACTTCATCTACATAGAAAAGAAAAGAAAACCTAAGTAATTTGCTTAGATCACATATCACAGTGTGTGTCAGAGGTAGGATTTGATCTCGGGTCATCCTGATCCCAGGGTTAGCTTTCTATCCATAAGACCTTACTGCTCTTAATTGTGAATATTTAATGTAAGTTCTTGATCATTCTGTCGCTTTTTTTTAAACTTCCAACCATCTTTCAAAATACTTTGTTAGGGTTGGTACACCTTAAAAAACCCTAAGGCGGCAGTGTCTTCAAATCAGCACTATTTTGGATGAAAATAAGCAATAATGTTTAAGTAATCTTCTACTATGTCAGGCTATTGAATCTAGCAATAGCATGATTTTGATCATAGAAAAAATAAGGTAAATAAAACATTATTTGAACCATTATTCACCTTTAGAAAAGCATATCATACAATTTTGTTTTTGCTTTTTTCTTAAAGCCTTGAAGGTTGTGCCCTTTGTTTTGGACATGGTGAAGTACAAATACTATAAAAAGAATATTAAAGGATAAAAAGGATTGTTAACAGTACCAGCAACTAAATCTGAATTTTAATATTAAAAAGGCATCTTCTCAATGCTTCATTATGGTATACCAACAGGAAAAAATAAGTCTTGCATTAGGGTACCAAATAAGAATTGGACTTGCCCAGAGTGAACAAGGAAATAAGATCATGTTGATTGTATAGCTGGAAGGTATACTATTCCTTCACCCTTCTAGTCCAACCTCTTTTTTTTAATAGATGAGATAACTTGAGGCCTAGAGAAGTCAACGAAAACAAGCATTTATGTAACACTTTAAGGTTAGCAAAATACTTTACAAATCCTCACAGCAACCTTGAGAGGTAGGTGTTCTTTTTCTGTCCATTTTATAGATAAGGAAACAGGCAGACAGAGTTAAGTGACTTGCCCAGGGTCACACAGCTAGGAAGTATCTGAGGCTACATTTAAACTTGGGTCTTCCTCACTCCAGGACCAAGTTTAGATCCCCTGTGTCACTAGCTGTCTCCACTTGTCCAAGATTACTCAGTGAATGGCAAAGAAGAGGAACTGAACCCAGCTGGGATCTTCTGGCTCCCAGCTGGGGAACCTGCAGCCTTGAGGTCACATGTGGCCCTATAGGCCCTCAAGTAGAGTGTCTGTGAAGTTTGGATTCAGTCAGAGGGCTGTACTTGAAGACCTAGAGGGCCATGTGTGGCCTCAAGGCTGCAGGTTCCCCACCCCTGCTAGGTTGTTGTATAGTTGACAGGTGGCACAGTGGAAAGGGTGCTGGGCCTGAAGTCAGGAAGACTCATATTCCTGAGTTCAGTTACTAGGTATGTGACCCTAGGCAAGTGACTTAACCCTGTTTGCCTCAGTTCCTCATCTGTAAAAAATGAGCTAGAGAGGGAAATTATTTGCAAACTGCTCCAGTAATTTTGCCAAGAACATCCCAAGTGGAGTCACAGAGTCAGACAAGACTGAACAACAACAAACTGTATGGTTAAAATTGTTGGAAAATATTTCCTTGTAAAATCTTTTCAGTACTCCAGATGTATTAGAGTTTCTCAGTTTCCTTCCTTAAATGTGATGCCATAGATTAAACACAGTGGTGTAGATGTGATCTGATCATGGGACTACTTCCGTTACTTCTCTTTTGGCTGTTGTTGTACTATTGACCTACACTGAGTTCATAGTCTGCGATTACTATCAAGCTAAGTAATCCAAGAAGAAGGATGGGAATATGTAAACCCGAAGAAACATACTATCTGATTTTTTAAGAATATTTTATTGATAGCTTTTATATTTTGCACTGTGCTCACTTCTCAAACACCTTCCCCTCTTATTGAATTCATCTTTTTAACAAAGTTAGGCAGAGCTAGCTGAAACAGCAAGCAGAGCTAGCAGAAGATACAGCGTTTCACACCATAGTTGGTCATCTTTAGGATCACAGAGCTAGAGTTGGCAGGGACCTTAGTGGTTCTCTTTTGTAGTATACTTCCAGTGTATTGATCGGTGCTTCTTGAACTGTGGGTGACAACCCTATCTGGGGTTCACAGTTTAAGAAATACAAGAAAACTGAAGTCTAGCATTGGAACCCAGGTCCTCTGACTCCGTAACTATTTCCACCAAAAGGAAGGATATATGTTTCATCATTGTTAATGTCATTAATGTTAAACATTTTTCCATTTACATTACATGTATTATCATTTACATTAAATGTATTTTATTATATCATTCCAATTACATTTAATCTGATTTCTAATTGTCTTAATGTTTTCATTTACACTATTGTAGTAATTATTTATAGGGTTATCTTAATTTAACTTTGTTTCATTCTGTATCAGTTAATACAAATTTTACCATTTTTTACAAATCCGTCATGTTCATTTTTTAATTACTAAACCAGTAATATTCAACTGCATTTATATGCCCCATTTTATCTACCCCTTCAGTGAGTACTCTCGTTTTTCTGTTTGTCTTTTTTCTACTACACAAAAAAATGCTTCTATGCATATTTTACATACCACTTAGTTTTGAAGGATGTGTAGGAAGAAAACTAGTCTTTCAAATGCTGCCCTTTATATTCATAAAGATGATGTTAAATTGACCTCATCAGAATATTAATGACCTTACCAATCAGTTGAGTAGTAGATGACAGTAGAACTATTGTGTCATATGATTCCTGTACTTCTATTAATTCAGCTTAGGATTGTGTTTGCTTCTTTTTTGGGGGGATCCACATCACACCTTTGGCTCATATAAAGTTGGTGCTGAATAATATTTGAGTCTTAAATATAAACAGTTGTCAAGAAAGTTTTCCTCAACTTAAACTTTTAACCTAAATTCAAGGCTTAGCATTTACTTGTTCATGTTAATTTTCATATTATTGGTTTTAACCCAGCTCTGCAACTTGTTGAAAAAGTTTTTGTGTCAGTTTTATCATTTATATTGTTAGCTCCTCCTCCTGGCTTTGGGGCACAGAAGATATTTGTTTGGGAGAGCTCCTCACAAAGGAACAAAGATAAAAATTTAAAAATTTGTCTCTACTGTGCCTTAATTTGTAATAAGAAAATTAACCCAAACATCCTGCAGGATTGGATTTGTAGGTAGAGGACAGAGGCGATGGATCCATATATTGTTTCTTCAATTCTTTTTTGTGATGATGGTAATAATTTTAATAGGATTACATATTTAGAACTGGAAGAGATCTTGGATGGCATCTAGTTCAAAGCCCTCATTTTACAGCTAAGGAAATTGAGAAGTTAAGTGACTTGCCTAGAGTCCCAAAGAGTTCCCTTTCAAATTCTGATTAGGCAGGGATTGCTACCACTGTTAGCCTAGAAAAAAACTTACCTTTTAAGTTAGATTTTACCAAGCAAAGTAAACTGCTCAATTACTCTCTTAAATCTTGTTTTTGGGATGAGAGGAGAATTTATGAATCGATATTTAGTAACTTCCTGATGCATTTCTTGAAATAAAACTTGTGCTTTTCAGTTTGTTTGGATTAAAAGTTTATTCTGTCTTACTGTGGTGTTAGGTATGGCTGTTTTGGGAAGAAGGTCAGTTAATTCAGAAAGCTAAATTATGATTTGATGTATTGTAAAATTACTTTTTTTTAATAGTTAAAGCATGTTCATATTTTGATTTGATTATTTTAGTCTACAATTATGTCATACACATTTTTATAAACATATATTGTTTTCTAGATATACCATAAAAGATAATTGTAAAAAGTATGATGAAGTATGGGATCCTTCTCCTGAAGAAATAATTTCAACTGAAACAAACACCTCAGATTCTGTGGTTACAAAATGTCTGGAGGAGCAGGATTTACAGTTACTTCATAACAAAGAAATTCCTGTGCAGATCTCTAATGTCGTGTCTCCTGAGAAGATTTATGTGCGACAGCTGTCAACAGAAACCTTACTTAACAGGTACAATGCTAGATTTAAAATCTAGAATCCACCTATAGGATAAAGAAATAATTCATATTTTCTTTACTTTAATTGTAAAAAAAAATTTGAAGTAATGAAACATAGCTAAGTAGCAAAGGAATTCTCTGCTAGAGTCTGTTATAAAAAAGTACTATCAGGGCTAAATATGTTTACATATAGTTTACAGGAAAAGATGGCAACAGCTTATGAAAACTCAAAATGTGAACCAGTTACATGGGAAATTAATATGTATTGTGCTGTTCAGATGGCTGAGCTAAAACAGTGGCGAAGGGGCCAGATCGTCAAGATAATTTCTGCAACATTGCTTGAGGTAAATGGTTCATTAGTGAGTCATGATCTCTCCTACAAATATATTATCTTGATAGTTAGTAATTTAAATTTCCTATACTACTGCATATTTGCAACATTTCCTTAATTTTTTGTTTCATTATATGTATCAACCAACTTTTATAAAACTTTTACAAAAAGCTTTTTTACATTTTAAAATCAAGTGTATTTTTTCTCTAGGTCATGCTTTATGACTTCGGTATTAAAGTAACAGTAAATGTGGACTGTCTAAGAAAACTTGAAGAAAATCTGAAGACAGCAAGAAGATTAGCTTTGGAATGTTCTCTTGTTGATATAAGGTAACCTGTTTCTAAAAGATTACTTTTAAAATTAATTTGTATTTTTAAATAGTTTGAAATTGATTTTTCTGTTTCGGTATATCATAGAAGCATAGATTCACAGTTGGAAGGAGCCTTTGAGCTCATCTAGTCCAACCCTCTCATTTTATAGATGAGAAAACTGAGGCTCAGAGAGTTTATAACTTGGCCAAGATTCTTGTTATCATTCATATTTTGTAAATATTTAATCATTATAAATTAAAAGAATTCAAAATTTTAAAGAAACTTTTAAGAACAAATTTAGAAGATGAAGACAGAAGAAAAATAGTTATAAAATCAATCATTCAATATTTATTAAGCACGTACAATATGCCAAGCACTATGCTAAGTGCAGGTGATAGAAAAATAGTAAAAGACAGTCCTGCCCTCAAAGAGCTTACGCGCTAATGGGGGAGACAACATGCAAATAAATATATGCAAACAAGCTATAAACAGGATAGGAAATAATTAACAGAAGGAAAGTATTGGAATTAAGATGGATTGGAATAGGCTTCTTCTTCAAAATAGGATTTTGTTGGGAGTTGAAGCAAAGCAGGGAAAAGGAAGAGGAACAGTAGGCAAGAGTTGAGGAAGGAGGGTGTCCCAGGCATGGGAGACAGCCAGAGAAAATGCTGAGACAAAGAGTCTTGTTAGTGGAACAGCCAGGAGGCCAGTGTCACTGGGTCACTGAGTATATGTTTGGGGGGTAAAGTATAAGAAGACTGGAACAGTAGGAAGGGACTAAATTATGAATGCCAAATAGAGCGTTTTATATTTGCTTCTGGAGGCAACAGGGAGCCACTGAAGTTTGAGTTGGGGGTTGGAGGGGTTGACATAAATGTGACCTGCTTTTTAATGGTCTCTCTTTCATCAAATTAATGTTATATTTAATTGTGTAAATGTTATATATCCCTCATTATAATGTGTAAACTCCTTGAGGACAGGAACTGTTTGTTTTCTGTTGTAGGTGTTGTATCTGTAGTACCTAGTACAGTGCAATTAATAAGTATTCTTTAAATTGAATTATTACACTGCTCAACTAATATCAGCACAGGTGTATTAATTAAAGGGTAAAAGAAAATCCCTCTTATTTTAAACTTAGTTCTGCCCTCTGGAACAACAGCGAAGGTCTATTCCTCTGACATTTAATTCTTTTTTTTCTTTTCTTTCTTTCTTTTTTTTTTTTTTTGGTTTTTTTATTTCTTTTGGGTAGGCAGTGGGGTTAAGTGACTTGCCCAGGGTCACACAGCTAGTATGTGTTATGTGTCTGAGGTCAAATTTGAACTCAGGTCCTCCTGAATCCAGGGCCAGTGCTCTATCCACTGCGCCATCTAGCTGCCCTTCCGACATTTGATTCTGCAAACATTAATAAGCACCTACTTTTTTAGGTGCTTTTGATAAATTTTATGCTTCAAACTGTTGTGTGTCAGATAATTAGCTTTAGAAACAATCAGCCCATTTAGTGTGAAAGTTAAATCATTTGTGTCTAAATGGACTTTTTAGGTTAGTATAAAAAGTAGATACAGTAGCCTTATAAGTAAGGGGAACCAGAGAGCCTATTTATTAAGTCCCTTTGACTATCTTTGAGTGATGAATTTTTGTTATTTAAGGGTGAATTTTATTTTTAGAAATTGCCATAAGTAATTTACAGGCAAGTCTGGAAAAGGTAGATAATGAAACTCTGCAGTAATTCAACAAAAAATTCAGCTCAACAAAAATTTATGAGTTGCAAGATACTGTTCTCCAGACCCTGAAATTGTCACAACAACAAAACACTCTGCATTAAATGGGCTTATATTCTACTAACACTTTTGAGGAGAAAAAGTCTCATTCAAATGATGAGACTGTTTTCTTTGTCTTTTAAACTGATTGTGAAAGTGATTCTTAGAGCGGAAAAACTGTATTGGACAGCAGTGGTACCTAAATCCCTAGGTGATAAGTTTTGAAAGATAATTCTCAAGTGTATAGGTAAGCTCAGGTACACTTGATTAAAAATTCAGTATTTTTACTTGAAGGTCACATTTCTTATATATATTTTTTTTCTTTTTACTTTTAGTCCAACTGGTGGAAGTGACAAATGGACAGCAACAGCTTGTGACTGTCTTTCATTTTACCTCACTGGAGCTGTAGCATCTATAATCATTCAGGTCTATAGCAATTGAAAGAAATATGAACATCATTTGTATATATTTTGGTTCAAAAGTATTTACAATTTAACATTATAGAGAAGGAAATGGAACTTATTTCAGTTATGTGTAATCTTTTACTTTTTTACATTTTCAAAAATGTCTAAAATGCAGTATTCTTAGGTTAGCAACTTAAATGATGAATGTAGATTAGGTACTATGTGGGATTAGTTTGCCTAAGTCTCATGAAAATCTGATATAACAAGTCAGGCTTTATTTCTAACAAAAGAATATTATCCAGCTCATTATAAAATAACCATAAAACATTAAGATAAAGTATATATAGTAATGTATTTATCTTGTCACAGGGTACAAAAACTTTCTGAACTTTTAGGAAAATTCTGCCTCCTTTGAATTCTTCCAAATACCAGTTAACTCCATTTTTTAAAAGTTTGAAAACATACCATCTACTGGAGTAATGATGTTAGGATTCTTTTAATAGTTCTTAGTCTCCTGTTCTTTGGAGAATTTACCTCTTTTGAACTTAACATCACTTCTGTGACTTCCAACATACTGAAGAGGAGATAGACAGGTGTGTGTATTTAGATGTAATTCTTGGCCTTTTTGAAGAAAAAAAGGCATATTAGAGGTTTAATTTTTCTTTTTTATCCAGACTTGTGATTTCATTAGCGTGGCAAGCTTCTGATAAAGAAACACTTACTATTAATACAAATTGACAAATTTATCTGTAATTTCTAGTCTTAGAGAATTGTCTGGGACACTAAGAGTTAAGTAATTTGCCCCATGATCACATAACTCAGTAAGGTCAAACATTGAACTTAAAACTCAGGTCTTCCTGACTGTAAGCCTAGCCTCTGTCTACTACATAGGCTACCTCTCAGGAGTTTAAATAGCTTAAGGAAATTTTAGTTTGTGGCCTGCAGGTTGCAGTGAACACAGGATAGAGAAACTTAACACCTAGTGGTTTTTGTTCTTGGAATTTTTTCTCTTCTTTTAGAGTTTTGTTTTGGATTGAGTTTTAGGTTTTAGGTTTGTAATTTCTGCATAGTAAACTTATGTTCTTGTAGGTTTTACTTCTGTTTTGAAGCTTTCCTGACAAATACTTAAAGAAACACACTGTGCTAATGATTCTTTAATAACCTGTTTTTAAGAGATTACCAATACTGGTATTTTTTCTATCAACTTTACTTACTCTGGGATATATAAAACAAATATTAACTTTATGATGGCACCAGAAATGTCTCATTTGGAAAAACATGCCTTCTTTGCAACCTTGTCACATAAAGCTTTGCCTACTATCTTGTAACTTTTTGAGTGTAATCCTTTCTGGTATGTTAAGTTATGAAGATCAGTGATAAAAGTAACCAAAAAAAAATCATTGTATAAGAAAACTTCAGCTCCATGATTCCTCTGATCTTATGTTCTAGGAAAACCACACAGCATGGCCACTGCCTGTGAAAATTCTATGCAGAGATGAAAAAGGACAATGTATTGATATTTCTGATTATCTGATTAAAAAGGGTTTGGCTTTGAGGGAAAGAAGGTATGGAAGTTTGGGGGTTTTAATGTTATGATGGAGACGTTTCCTAAGATTTCCTTTCTTATCCCTTAGTTTCTTAAATATACACTTGCATGTCAAATATTTTATATGTCTGTTATGTATGTTATGTAAAAAGCCAAATTGCATATGCCTCATATTTTAGAAGAAAACGTATTTGTAGATTGCTAAATCTTTAGCTATGAAGAAACTCCTTTCTGAACTGAATCTTTTTCCTTGATTCAAAACTCCCTCAGTAATTTCAGCTTATCACAGGGTTCTCTGCCCAGTAGATACTAGTCATTTCTATGGTGAGTTGAAATGAATCCTCTCCACTACCACATAACATTCCTTCTTTTCCCTAATATTTTCATTCTAAAACATGGAGAGAGAGGAATTAGAAGTGTCTCTCTGCTTAAATAGAAGAATGCTTTAAATAAAGGATTATAATGGATACCCAATTTGTTAAGGAGAAAGAGGGAAGAGGAACAAAGTGATGTTTGCTTTTGTGATTTCCTTTTCAAGTATCACGTTTGGGTTTTAAGTACTTCAAACAGATATTTGAAAGACCTATCATTCAGTCGTATACTCTAAAGACCAAGTCTGTCCACTGACTGCTCGTGATTCATTTGCTGCTACAGTGGCCCTCCCTCCCTGACAAGATGAGAGGGAATCAGAAAGGAAAAAAGGGAGAGGTATCTCCATAGAGAAGTAGAAGAATAGGTATTGAATTATTCCTTGTTCCAGCTCAATGATCATTGCCACTCTTCTAATTTAGCCTTTTGCCTCTTCTGACTTGAACCAATTTGATGTAAAAAAAGTCTTAGAAAAACTGAGTTATGGTTTAAAAAAAAAAAAAGAAAAACTGAGTTATTGTTTTGTTTCTTCTTTCTCATGGTTCTTCCCATTCATTCTAATTCTTCTTTACACCATGACTAATATGAAAATATGTTTAATAAGGATGTATAAATAGAGCCTACATCAGATTGCACACCGTCTTGGGGGGGGGCGGAGAAAATTCAAAACTCAAAAGCTTATGGAAGTGAATGTTGAAAACTAAAAATAAATAAGTTAATTAAAAAATATTCAAAAACTGAGTTAAAGGGGAAAAAATTCAGAAGCTACTGTTCAAATGTTTCACTCTGTTCATAATACTTCAGTGGAGCTTCAGTCCCTTCCTCAAGGTAGGGAAAAGTCAAGGAGGAAATTGTGTGGGAATTTTTTTAATGTTCTTTTAAAAATTTTAGGTGAGGGAGTCATTTTAGGCAGAAGTACAAAAGTGAATGCATTCAGTTTTGTTATTTCATGTATTCTGTTTATCTCTCCAGGTAGAATATAAACTCCCTAAAATCTTTTTAGGAATGAACGCTTTCATTTTTGTACCCCACTGTAGCTTTATGGTTACCTGCACACAATAGATACATAATCCTTGCTTACTAATTCATTGATTTATCTAGTCTTAAAAAGTGGCCATGCAGGGGCACGTAGTGCAGTGTATATAGCACTGACTCTGGAGTCAGGAGGACTCCAGTTCAAATCCGACCTCAGACACTTGACACTTAGTACCTGTGTGACTCTAGGAAAGTTACTTTAACCCCAATTGCCTCACAAAAGAAACAAAACAGAACATAACGGTCACGCAGAAATCACTTTTCTGGGCCAAAACTTTAAATTTGGGAAATTTTTTACTTTACATAATTGAAAGGCATTTGAGGTCTCTCTTAGAAAATGTCATGATATAAAATAATAGTGCATGGTAGAATAACTGAAATTGTGCTGGCAGTTGAATCAATATTACATTAATGATTTAAATAGTTTTATTATGACTGCATTACTGACTATGCCAGTTACAGTTCTTTTGGCACATTATCACATTAAAATTTTACACTTAAAAAATTTTAATTTATCTGTAGCCATCTGTGTATATACTTTGTATACTATTTTGTGTTTATGCTGTTTTGCTCCTAGTTAGATCAGATATTTTTTGTAACCTACAGAATTGACAAAATTGATAAAAGTGATTCAGCCTCTGAGAAGAGTCTTGACAACCCTATGGAACAAGAGAGTCTGGGAGTGGCTAAGTATAGCACATCTCATTTTGAACCCACCAAAGTTAATGCTGTTATCAGTGAACATAAGGTGCCTGGCATAAAAAAGACAGTGCTTGACCCAAGAATTGGAGGATGTTACAAACCACCAGTTATTCCTAACATGAAAGTGTTTGAGGCAATAGTAAGCTGCATTGGTGATGATGGAACTATATACGTGGTACCAAAATTGTCAGGTAAGGCAGAATACTAAGCTGTTAGTTTAAAGGTCATAGATTATGGTTTTATTGCCTTAGTTTTAACCATATATTGTTTTTAACTAGTTTGTAAGTATAGTTTGCACTTGGATCTAAGAAGATACTAAAACGCACATTTCAAATACAGATTGTTGAAAATGTGTTATTTCTTTATCTGTCATTTTATTATTCACACAATCCTTTCTTCCCATATAGTATTATCTTTTACTTTTATTATGTAGCCTTAATTATCTGCCATTTTGACCAGATTCTGAATACTTTTTAAAAACTTTAAACTTTTTTAAGGGAATAATCTCTAATAGCATATTTTTCTTGGTTTTATGAAAATGCGTATAATTGATAAGTTAATTGTATGTCTCAGATTCTTGGTGATTTTGTGATATCTTTGTAATGAAGAACTTAACTAAAATGAAAATCAACTGTTTTTGTTAGATATAATTCCATATATTGGGGGGGTGTATATGAATATATTTTAAAAGAAAATGGTTAAATACAACATTTAAAATTAATTTTAGCTTAGCTATTCCTCTAGAAGTATAAAACATCATGAAACCGTGAAATCTTATTTTTTTTTCTACTGTCCTTTATATCAAAGCTTTCTTTCAGCCTTCTTCTCTCACTATTGCTTTCTGCTAATTTATGAGGCAGTACTGCTCATAATTTTCTACCATTCTTCTACATAAGATTTTATTTGTGAATTTGTTCTAAACCACTGTTGCCATAGGCTGTCATATATCTCCACTTGGCAAGTAAGTCTAATGCTTGCTCACTAAGGTGCGTTTTGTATTCTTTTGATCTCATTTTTATGGTAATTGATCTACATTGGTTAAATGTCTATATGAACTGGTCATAATTGGTGTTGATTTCCTTGATTACATTCATTTTTCATTTTTAGTGGTAGTTGAAATAGGTTGTTTAAATTAAAATTATTTTCATCGTATGCCAAATATTTCATGTTTATTCTTCTAGTTTGCATTAATTTTTATCTTAACTCTAACAGGTCTTATAGTCTGGCTGTACTGTTGAACCAGGATTGACTTCCTCATCACAAACAAGTCATTTAGTGTCTGTTAAAATGTAATAATTTTAATTTTTGTGATGTTATTTTATTTGCTCTTGTTCACTTCCAGTGTCTTCTGGTTCTTTTCTCAAAAAAAAAAGGTATTAATGTTATATAAGTGTACAGCTTAGGTAAAGTCTACAAGTATTTGGCTTCTCCTATTTATTCTTTTCTTTCCTGAACCATATTTTCCAACTTTCTACAAGATTGTCAGCTGTGCCCACCTTTTGCATTGAAGTTACCAAGTATCAGTATAAATTGATTTAATTTGGCTCTTAATAAGGGCAGCTAGGTGGTGCAATAGATAGTGTGCTGGGCCTGGAGTTCAGAAGACTCATCTTTCTGAGTTCAAATCTGGCCCTGGACACTAGCTGTGTGACCCTGGATAAGTCACTTAACTCTGTTTGCCTCAGTTCCGTCATCTGTAAAATGAGCAGGAAAAGTAAATGGGAAACACTCTGATATCTTTGCCAAGAAAATCCCAAATGGGGTCACAGAGTTAGATACAACTGAAAATGACTAAACAACAACAACAAAAGAAGTTCTTAGAGGAACCTCTTCATCATCCTTAACAAATATTGGCACAGAATCTACAGTTCTTAAGGTAGCCTTTTGCAGATTCTAGTTGTGAACAGTACAATACAAAAAGACCAGATGTTCCAAGACATTGTTTCTCATTACTTATAGATGCACAATAAAAACAACTCTAGCAACTCCTTTATTTGCCCCTTTAAAGACAAGGTTGGCTATGATTCCATTTAACTGCAATTTCCTTTTGTCTATGTTTGAGTTGTGGTGAGGTTGTCAAGAATGATAAAATTCTGTTCTGCCCGAGTATGTTGACAGCCTGGTTGTTAGAAAAGGAACTCCATTTATCAGTACCAATAGCTAAGTTAGTGCTTACGTATGCTCTTTAAATTCTCTAATTCTTAGCACCCTCTACCTGTTTTTTCCTCTACTCTGCCACAATTGCCACAGAATTGGAGGCAGACCAGCGGCACCATCTGCTGCCAAATTGCACAGTTCCCAGTATGTGTAAGACATACTCTTACTTAGAAACTGATTCCCCACTTCATCCCTGTCTCGGCTGGAACTAACCCTTGAACCATCTGTCCTCTTGGTATGAACATTTGTCCTGCCAATATTCCCCAAAATCCATGGAGCCTTGCCAGTGTACTGTACAAATACTTGCACATAGTAAGCATTTAAATGCTTTTCCATTCCTTTCAGTACTTTATTTTTTGAAAACAATACTGTTCATAATCTTTCGTTATCATCTTCTATAGATGTTTGCATTCCAATTAAGTATCTTCCATGCTTCGCTTGGGGCTCAAATGTCTGCTTGGCTAAGGTAGTTTCTGAGGTCCTCATGATAGGACTTGTTTTAATATCAGTTTGATTTTTCTAAAATTACAATCTATATAAATCTTTTCACTCATACCCATTTTCCAGAGTCAGCAGTTCACCATTATTATTATTGTTATTATTAGCTGACTGAATACTGTATCTTTTTATGTTCTAGTTTATGTGGATTGTAGCCATTGCTTTAGTTAATGGTCTGACTATGCAGAGGTAGCTAAATAAAAAATGACTCCCACTTTGGTAGGCATTTGTTTAGAGTCATTTTGTATAGGTATTTAGAGGGGTTTTCAGTAGGCATTTGTTAAAGTAAAATTTTTGTCTTTCTGTTTGGTCAACATAGTGTCCAGCATTTCCGACTTCTTGAAAAAATATTCATGTTTTACAGGCACATCTCTGGCCCTTTTTAATTTCTTTATCCCAAACTATATTTTACAGTATTTTTTGCCATCCTCTACTGTGCCTACCTTTGCTTGGAAGTGGCCAAGCACTGGAGGATCTTATAAAATTCTTCATGTAGCTCAACTGCTTCTTACTCCTTTGTAAAAATATTGGCCTAGGGGCTGCTAATATCTTCATGATGTTCATTTTCACTTGTGCTTATTGTGAGCACTGCAGGGCAATATGACTAAGAGTCCTATGAAACACCTTCTTTCACCTTTGGGCTCCATAAACCTAATTCCATTGACTTTTTTATTTAGTCCTCCTGGAAGATCATTTTGCTAATATTTAGCCATAGATGCTTTTGTTTCTTTTTTGTCATTTATAACAAAAATGTCAGCACTAATGTGGTTCACTTCCTTCAATATTATATTTGCTCCTTGATCATTGGACTAAGATCTTATAGTTGAGAGTACCAGCAGTTAAATACATGTTTCTGTTTTATCTAAAAATCAGTTGTTCTCATGTCTAATATTCTGTCATAATCACTAAGAATCAGAAGCAAGCCACAGAAGTCATTATGTATTTTCATTTTTGATGTTTACCGTGGCCAAACAATTTTTTATCTAGTGGCCAAACTGCTACTGATGAACATATACATACCTGCTTAGGCTTGTCCTCTCAGGTTAGGCCCTGGTCGTCTGATCTTTACTAAAAAGATTTCCATTTTGGTATTACCTGCCTGAGTCTGTACTATACAGATGCACCAGAGCATGTAGGGTCACAATCATGCCACTGTGAGACATCAGAGAAGAATATCTGTAGGGGACAAATTATAATAGTGTGTGTATATTAGTTTTTGGTCCCAACTGATATTTTCAGCTTAATTCCTACATTGTTATTCCTGTATATTTTTAATGAAGATACTGTTTGGGATAATTAGTGGTTAACAGATTGAGTCTAACAAGATTTTGTTAAATGCCTGTGTCCCCAAGATAGTGCTGTATTTCAGCGTCATATAATATATGGCATATATTATAATTTATTCAGCTAGTGTTGATCCATCATGCCTAAATTGAACTAATCTAGTATTTATTCATTTACATTCAATAGATCTTAATATAATCGTGATATGTACTCTCAGTTCTCAAAATACTCTTGAATGTAACCTGGTAATATAAGATTCCTAAGTAGTTAGTATACAAATATCGAAGGCTACTGTTTAAAATACTTAAGAGGTTGACTGAACAAGTTGAGTGATATACCAAGGGTATAGGAACTGACTTTTTAAAACCTAGTTACTGTTTCATGGCATTTTAATATAATCATATTATAGAGTAATGATTTTATTTACATTAAAAATTAAGAGTAAAATAATTTTCCTAAGGTTTATGTGTTATGCATTTCCTTAGAACTTGAGCTCAGAAATTTGATGGATGAAATTCAAAGTAACTTTAAGTGTCTTGGTCTTTTGGAGCCATATTGCTGGAAAAAAGGAGAAGCTTGTGCAGTAAGGGGGTCAGATACTGTGTGGTATCGAGGTAAAGTTATGGAAGTTGTTGGTGGAACTATCAGGGTAAGTCTGATTATTCTTTGGTGATAGATTGAGAGTGAAACTCAGTCAATCTAAAGCATAAATTAATTTTTTTATTGTAAACATTTAAATTGTCTTTTGAGAATATTTTTCTTTTTAACTAGTTAACTAGATAATATCCTGAGGACATAAACCAAGGGAGAGCCAATCTGAATTGTATATTTATATTCAAGTCCCTTTATATTTAAAGACTTTTCTTTTTTTCACTATTTTAACCTCATTAGTCCTAGAGCCATTCAAACAAACCTGTATTTCCATAATTTGGAGCAAAGTTCTGTCCACAGTATAAATTTGAAGTTATTTACATTGTTTACATGTTTAAACATGCTAGATAGAAAGTTTCTTAGGAGGATTTAGCTTTTGGGTGGGTTAAATGAAAAAAGCATTAGAACTAATTCCTTTCTGGGGCAGTAGTTTATCTCAAGTCTGAGCCAGTAAGTCTAAGGTGTTTAACTGACTCATAAGTGGTTTTCTAAGTTTGTCAGGGCTTTACAGAAAAACATACCAGTGTTCAAGTAGAATAATTTTCACATACGTTATTTGTACGTTTAAAGATCTTTATAGGTAAGGCAAAGATAAGTTAAAGTCCTGCCTGGATAAAATCTTTATTAAATTGCTATGTATTTTATATTAGTGATAGAGTTGGGGACTAAGGCTATGATTCTTTTTGTATAAGAAACTCCCAAGTGAGGAAATTCCCTGTACCATTGCAGACTGGTGCCTTCTCTATAAGTGAAAGGGGGAAGAGTAGGGAGCTATTAGGGCAGCTCGGTGGCGCAGTGGACAGAGCACTGGCCCTGGATTCAGGAGGACCTGGGTTCAAATGCGGCCTCAGACACATTACACTTACTACCTGTGTGACCCTTGGCAAGTCACTTAACTCCATTGCCTAGCCAAAAAAAAAAAAAAGACCAAATCATGAGAATTAAATGATGATATAAATTGATCAGTAGAAGTGAAATTTGTAAGAATTAATTAAATACAAATTTGAAATTAAAAAAAAGAGTAAGAAGCTATCATTTATTAAACACCCACTATATACTAGACATTGTGCTAAGCACTTTACAATTATTATCTCATTCAATCCTCACAACAACCTTGGGAGGAAGGTGCTGTTATTATCCCCATTTTATGGATAGGGAAACTGGGGTAAATAGTGGTTAAAGTGACTTGTCTAGGGTCATACAGGGCTGTTAAGTATCCGAGGCTGGATCTTAATGTGGACAGTGAGTCAGTGTCAGATGTGAAACTGGAAGCTAGGATTCCTGACTTCCAATTTAATGTTTATTAGACTATGCATCTCACTCTGTAATGAAAGCATTTCACAGTGTACTTTCAGTAACCATTCTGTTGCCCATAGAGTTCCTAATTTACCACTTTGTGGTGATGTATGCCGTAGAGAAGCCATAGTCCCCACTCCTGAGAAATTTACAATAAAGTAAGAAAAAGGCAAACAACAGTCAATATGCACAGTTTTATATATGGATTTATAGCAATTTTATGACAATGAGAAAGTTTGGCTAGTTTGTCCTGGAAGTTTTTTCAAATTATAGTTAACTTCATCTTTTAGGGATGATTGCTGTAGTTCTTATTGAACACTAAGATATATAAAACTCCTGTACCAATAATTCTGTAATGCAATTCTTTTTTTATGCAGGTACAATATTTAGACCATGGATATACTGAGAAGATCCCACAGTGTCATCTTTACCCAATTGTATTATATGCCGATAGACCCCAGTTTTGTATTCCATGTCAGTTGTATGATACCGTGCCTGTAAGTAATTTGTTGCACTATCAATGTAGATGATTAGCTAAATATTCTTTCTGTCATGATTGATGAAATGCTTAGTGTGTAAGATGGAGTGTCACCCATGATTTACTGCCCTACAAAGCTCTTATTATGCTCAGTATTACAGAAAAGCATATTAACATATAATTACACAGCTAGAAGCAACCTTAGTAGTCATATTTACATTTTGATTTGTTTTGCTTTTATGCCTGGAAGGTTAAAAGTATATATTACTGGAGAGAGCAGTTAAATTTAAGGGAAGCTAAGATCCTTATGTGTTCCTCCTGATACAGTGTTAGGTGTAGACTTTGATTATCCATGGGAGAAGTATTTCTTTGGTTTTAAGAGATGACTCAAGAAATTTTAAGCCGGCCAATGTGTTTTTCCTTTTTGTGTTTCAGCATAGTGGAATTGTATTTGTTTGAACATGTTTCTTATTATTTCTGTTACACAATTGACCAATTAAATTTTAGGAGAATTGATTTCATAGAGGTATTAGGTTGATTTAATCAAATCACATTAAATTAATTGAGACAGAATTTTGCAACATGAGTAGAGAAGAGAGGCATCACACTATATTGGATAAAATGCTGGAAAAAGTAGGAATCAGGAAAACATATGTTTAAATCCCACCTGTGTCCATACTAGCTATATGACCCTGGGCAACTCTCTAAAACCCAAAATTGTGGACAAATTGCAGAATTCATTGCACCAGTGAAATCACAGGCGTAAACCAAAATGCATAGTATTTGCCCTTATAAATTCTTTGTAGCATCATCTGAAAGCAGTTTCATTATGATTCTCTGGCCTTTGTCTATCAATAGGTTTCTTGCTGTGCATCTTATTTTTTGGTTAATGGAAAGTAATATTTTTATCCCAATTAGGTTGGATATTCCTGGCAGCCAGATGCAGTAGAACTCCTTCAAGAACTGTTACCAAAGAGAGAGGTGGAAATTCATAACATGGTAATTTGTATTAATGTCTAAGCAGTTGTTTATGTTGACATATCATAATAACTCCTTAAAAGCACTAATTTGAGGGAATAACGAATATGAAAACCTAGATTTTTAAAGTGATAAACATGCTTTTGTGTGTCTGTTATATACACATGAGCTCATAATTGATACTCATATGAAAGAAGAGAAATTTCAACCTAAACTTTTAAATGGGCTTAATTTTAGGGCATGTAAAGTTTTTTTAAAGGACTCAGAGTATTTCTAAACTTACTTCATTTTAACTTATGGTATGCAGCAATATTAGGCCCTGTCAGAGAAAGCTATTGGTAAAGCAGAAATAACACTGGATTTGGATTTAAACAACTTAGGTTGGAAATCTAGCTGAGCCATTTAATAGCATTGTTATCTTGGGCAAGTCTTTTGATCCTTCTGAGTGTTAATGTTCTCTTTAAAATGAGGGTTGGACTAGCTGACTTTGAAGGTGTTTTCCATCTCTAAAACACTGATCATGATTCTGTGCTTCTAAGAAGCATGTTCAAATACAAAAAGAAACATTCATGTAAGAGGGAGGGTGTTGCTATCTATAGGGTAACCTGCAAAGTTTTAAAAAGAGGATCTTTCCTCCAAAGAGACGTCGTTATACATACAAAGACAAATAACAGTCTAGGGTAGCATATGAAAGTGCTGAATGAGTGGTACAAGACTCCGGTGAAGGAAACTTAGGGTTTGGGGCATCAGAAAAAAAAAACTGTCAAGGAAAGGTAAAGAAGCTCAGCTGGCCTTGAGATAAGAATAAGATAATCACTGTAGCTTGTTCTGGAAACGGTATATAATTTGGCCAAAATGGAATTTTAGTGTAGGGGGAATAACAAAAGGAATTTTGGGGAAAGAATTTGAGGATATGAATGCTAGACTAAGGATTTTAGTACTATAGACCCTGGGGAACCATTGAATCATTTTTGAATAGGGGAATGGCATTCAAAGCAGTGCATTAGAAAACTAACTTAGCTCTGTAGGAAGAATTGATGGGGGTAGGAGGGAGAGACTTATTATGGTGCTCTAGACTTGAGGTGATAGCAGAATAGAGACAGGCACAACATAAATGAAGTCTGAGGCATCTTAGTTGTTTTAGATTGCTGTTAATACATGTGTGCAAATAGTTTCTATTTTTCTTAATTTATTATTTATTTATAGCATTCTTTTCTTTTTAAATTGAGTTCCGGATTCAAGCATATAGTTCTTAGATATTGATGTGTGATATAGTAGAGAGCTGTGGAACTGGGGTGAAGAAATTTCACTCTGACATTTAATGGGGGTATGATCCTGGGCAAGTCAATTTCTATTTGCTTCATTTTCATTTTTGAAAGGGGATAATAATGTTTCATCACCTGTTTCTTGTCATTATTGTGAAGAAAGTACTTTGTTAATTTTAAATTATTCTATTAATGATAGCTATTATTATGTAGGTCAACATATTTCGATTATCTCCTTTAAGTAAAGAAAAAATGTTTTTGGAAAAAATTCTGATTTAGTACTCTGGATTACATGGCCATACTGTTTTGCAGAGAGCATAATTTTTGTAGTTTTGTGGAATGAACGTAAGTGTTTGGCTTCTAAGTTAAATTAATATTGTGTTTTGAAACTTAACTGTGCTCCTTAATTGTGTATAATAGGAATTACCCAAAAATCCATGGGGAAAATTATCTGTTCATCTCTATTTTGATGGAATGTCGCTTTCTTATTTTATGGCACACCATAAACATTGTACATCTGAAGGTTCTGAGGAAATACTGAAAGAGGTAAGCAAGCTACTTTTCTTTTAGCTAGAGTTAGGAAATCCCAAGCTTAATCAGAATTATAAACATCAACTAAAATAAGTGGATTATGCACCACAAAATTTCATAGTTGGAAGGGATCTCGGAAGTGATGGCCAATTCATACCTGGAATTCGTACCTGGAAAAGAATCCCCTCTATAAAATAGTCCTGACAAATGGTCATCCAGTCTTTGCTCAAATACTTCAGTGGAGGGGAACCTACTTTCTTATGTGACAGTCCGTTCCACTTTAAAATAAGTTGTAATTTTAGTAAATTTTTCCTTATCTCAAACCTAAATTTCCCTCTATGCAACTTCCACCAATGTTCCTAATTTCTTCCCCCTAGGGAAAAGCTGAACATATTTAAGTATTTTCCACATCATAGCCTTTTGATGTCCTCCTTGACTCTCCATATATCCAATATGTCCTCCCTGTATAGCCAATTAAATCTGCCATTTCTGCCTCTGCAAAATCTCTTACATTTGTTCTCCTCTTTTTACTCATGCAACAACCACCCTAATTCAGGCCTTATTTTTTTGATACTTGACTACTGTAATAGTCTCTAGTTTCTTTCCATTCCCATTGATCCTTCACACTGCTGCCAACGTGATATTTGTAAATCATATGTTTGATTATATCACTCCTCTACCAAGAAAACTTCAGTGACTCCTTGTTACCACTGAGATTAAATAAAAACTCTTCTGGCCTTCAAAGTCCTTCCCAGCCTATTCCTCAACCTACTTTTCTACCAGTTTACAGTACTTCTCTTCCCAAAGTTGCAAACCTCAATGATAAAAAGATAGTGGTACCATTGATGTAAATGGAGACGCTCAGAAGCATTAGATTTGGAGAGGATTTTGGATATGTCTGACTTGAGTTTTGTATGGAACAGCAAGTTCATTATATTCAGCAGTCAAGTGGTGTTGAGGCATTGCATATTAGGACAGGGACTAAGGATAAACAGATAGATCTGGAAGTAATTTCTCCAGGACTGTCAAACTCAAATAGAAATAGATCCCTGCCAGTTATATTTTAATCTGGTTTGGCTGCACTTGGGATTTTTGCTAGCCACATGTAGCCAGCTGTTTATGAGTTTGACATCTCTTCCTCACACTGATAAAATCATAAGTCTGGAATGAACAAAAGAAAGACCTAAGCATATTTGGGAAATGATACAACCATAATATTTCAGAGGTGGAAGGACCTAAAGATAGTTTGACACAATCCCCCCCTCTCTTTATAAGAAATTAAGAAAGTTCAGCTCAGTCAGGAACTGGTTACTGGCAGAATTGAGGCTAGAACTCAGGAGTTAAACTTTTTGGTTAATTCTTACCCTTTTAACCAAAACTCTCCCAGTTGATTCTCCAGGCCATGGAGGTTTTCTCCATGGAACTTTTTGGGCTTAATAATAAAACTTGTTTATAAAGCTGTTTTCCTCAAAACAGCTCTTTGAAGTAGATATATAGATATTAAAAAAACACATTGTCTTCATTTTATGTATGAGAAACTGAGACTCGTGAAGGTTGTGACTTGCCATGGGTCACTCAGCTTACACATTTAGCAGGTGGCAGAGCGAAGATTTGGTTCTAAATCCACTGTTCTTTCTAACATACATACATACATACACACACATATATACACACACACACAATAAAATGTATATCTTAAGTAGCTAGCTGTAAAAGTTATTTTTGTTGATAGATGCCACTGTCTTATGTAAAATAGGTCTCAGCCAAAATTTTCAGAATTCTATATTTCTGATACCACAGAAAATAATCAGTTCTCAGTTTATCAGTTTTGCAAGTCAAAAATTGTTTTCCAAGTTTAAATGAAATAGACCCATTTTCCTTTCTCAGTAGTTTCTTAGGCCCTTATTTCAACTCTGATTTAACCTTCCTCCCTTTGCAGTCTCAGTCTCAGGTAACCATTTCATCTCAGTTCTACCTTGTCTCCTGCTCTTGAATCCTCTCTTCCCTTGTCACTGCTCTTCTTTTGACAAACCTCAGCCCTGGATTATCATTTCCACCTCTTCCATTAAAGTGGGATCCTAGGAGGGATTGTTCCCTCTTCCATTTTACTGACAGGCCACTGAACAAAGCTAAAGGAAGTCTGTAACCATGCTGAATGGGTATTTAACAAATTCATGTTACCCAGTCTCAGTTGGGTCCTCACTGCAGCAGAGTGGTACTTTTATTCTTACTTAATTGATTCCCTTACTCCCCAGGAAGCCATTCCAAACCTTCTCTTCCCTCCTCAGGTTTTCCATACTTCTTTCCCCTCTCACCTGAAGGACTTATGGAAGCCATTCAACATGAGCTTCCTGCTCTTCCTTATCTTTATCTCAGGACCCCCATGTTGTCATTTCTCACTCCTTCCCCTTCATCTCTGAAAAAGAGGTGGCTTCCTTGTCTGACTTAAGACTTTTTTTTTTTTTGGCCACTGCAAACTCTTCTCTGTTCCTTCCCATCTTCTCTTGATTACATTGTCAGTCACACACCCCTCCCCCACTTCAAATGCTTCTTTCTCTTATTTGCCAAATGTTCCTGAAAGATTCCTTCCCTACTGCCTACAAAGATGCCCAAGTCTCCTCAATTTTTATGAAACCTTAACTAGAACCTACCACCCCCTCAAAGTATCATCACATATGTCTCCCTTTTGCAGCTAAATTTCTTGAACAAACTTACTGCTTCTACTTCTTGCTTGTTTTCTCATTTTTAACTCTTTGTAGTCTGGTTTCTGACCTCATCACTCTCAACTGTAACTGCTCTCTCCAAAGTTACCAGTGATCTCAATATTGGCAAATCTCATGGCTTTTTCTCAGTCCTCATGCTTCTTAACACCTCTGATCCATTTGACACTGTTGACCACATATTCCTCCTAGAGATTCTCTCTCAGAGTTTATAGTGCTACTTCTTTCCTGGTTCACTTATCTGTCAGACTAGTACTTATCAGTTTTCTTTGCTTATGTATCATCCCTATCACCTTCCTTAACTGTGGGTTCACCCTAGAGGTCTGTTCTAGGCCCGCTTTTCTTCTCCCTTTTGTTCAGTCATTTCCTATTCTTCATGACCCTGTGGACCATAGAACACCAGGCCCTCATGTGCTCCGCTATCTCTGTAAGTCTGTCAGAGTTTGTGTTGGTTGTTTCTATGATACCATCTACCCATCTCATCCGGTGTCATCCCCTTTTCCTTTTGACTTCTATCTTTCCAACATCAGGGTCTTTTCCAGTGAGTATCTTCTTCTTCTTATGTGGCCAAAGTATTTAAGCTTCAGCTTCAGTATTTGACTTTCCAGTGAATAGCCTGAATTGATTTCTTTAAGTATTGACTGATTTGACCTCCTTGCTATGCAAGGGACTCTCAGAAGTTTTCTCCAGCACCACAGTTCGAAAGCATTGATTCTGCAGCACTCAGCTTTCCTTATAGTTCAACTCTCACAGCCATATGTTACTGTTGGAAAAACCATAGCTTTGACTGTATGGACCTTTGTCGGCAGTGTGATGTCTCTGCTTTTTAGTATGCTTTACAGATTTGCCATAGCTTTCCTTCCATGGAGCACTGTATTTTAATTTCGTGACTATAGTTGCCATCTGCAGTGATCTTTGAGCCAAAGAATATATAAAATCTGGCACTGGTTCCATTTCTTCTCCATCTGTCTACCAAGGAGTGATGGGACCAGTTGCCAAGACCTTAGATTTTTGGATGCTAAGCTTTAGGCCAGCTTTTAAACTCTCCTCTTTCACACTCTTCAAGAGGTTTCTTCATTCCTCTTCACTTTCTGCCATCAGAGTAGTACTGTCTGCATATCTGACATTGTTTCTATTACCCCTGGCAACCTTAATTCCAGCTTTCAATTCATCCAGCCTGGCATTTCATATAATGTACTCTGCATATAAGTTATGTAAATAAGGTGATTATATACAGCCTTGTCATACCCTTTTTCCAGTCTTACACCAATCAGTTCTTCCACATTGGGTTCTAACTGTTGCTTCTTGGCCTGCATATGGGTTCCTCAGGAGACAAGTAAGATGATGTGGCACTCCCATCTCTTTGAGAACTTGCCACATTTTGCCGTCATACACACAGTCAAAGGCTTCAGTAGTCAGTGGGGAAGAGTAGGTGTTTTTCTGGAACTTCCTTTGCTTTCTCCACAATCCAGTGAGTGTTGGCAATTTGGTCTCTAGTTCCTCTGCCTCTTTGAAAACCAGCCTGCTCTTCTGGTAATTCTTGGGTCATATGCTGCTGAAGCCTAGGTTGCAAAATCTTAAGCATAACCTTGCTAGAGTGTGAAATGAGCATAGTTGTTCAGTAATTTGAACGTTCCTAAGCATTGCCCTTCTTTAGGATTGAAATGTAAACTGATCTTTTCCAATCCAGTGGCCACTATTGGATTTTCCAAATTTGTTGGCATATTGGGTACAGCACTCTAACAGCATCATCTTTTATAGTCTTAAATAGCTCAGCTGGAATTCCATGTTAGCAGTGCTTCCTGAGGCCCGCTTGACTTCATTCTCCAGGAAGTCTGGCTCTAGATCAGTAAGCATTTCATCCTCTTATTGGTGGTGTTAGCATCTTTCTTATGTAGTTCTTTTGTGTATTCTTGCCACCTCTTCTTAATCTCTTCTGCTTCTGTTAAATCCCTGCTATTTTTGTCTTTTACCATGCCCATTTTTGCACGAAACTTTCCCTTGATAATCTCTAATTTTCTCTGGAAGAAGAGATCTTTTGTCTCTCGCAGTATGCTGTTTTCTTCTGTTGCTTTGCATTGTTCACTTAAGAGAACTTTCTGGTCTCTCCTGGCTATTCTCTAGAACTCTGCATTCAGTTGTGTATATCTTTCTCCTTCTCCTTTACCTTCATCTTTCTGTATTTCCTCAGCTATTTGTAAAGCCTCATCAGGCAGCCATTTTTCTTTTTTTGCTCTTTTTTTTCCTTTGGAATGTTTTTTTGTTTTGCTTCCTGTGCAAAAAATTATGAACTCCTGTCCATAGTTCTTGTACTCTATCTTCCAGACCTCAGCCCTTAGACCTATTCATCACCTGCACTTCATATTCTTAAGGGATATTGTTTAGGTTATACCTAGATGATCTGATGATTTTCCCTACTTTCTTCAGTTTAAGTCTGAATTTTGCAGTAAGAAGTTCTTGATCTAATCCAGTCAGCCCCAGGTCTTGCTTTAAGTGACTGTATAGAGCTCCTCCACCTTTGGCTGCAAAGTATATAATTGATCTGATTTCTGTATTTACCATCTGTTGATGTCCATGTGTAGTTGCCTTTTGGGTTGTTAAAAAAGAGTGTTTGTTATAACCTATGAGTTATTTTGACACACTTCCATTAGTCTCTGCCCTGCTTCATTTTGTAAGGTCAAACTTCCCTTTTGTTCCATTTATCTTTTGATTTCCTACCTTAGCATTCCAATCCCCTATGATCAATGTGACATCTTTTTTTTTTTTTGGTGTTATCACTAGAAGATGATGGTAGTCTTCATAGAATTGACCAATTTTGGCCTCTTTGGGATTAATGTTTGAAGCATAGACTTGTATTACTCTGATATTAAATGGTTTGCCATGGTTTGCCTTGGATTCCAACAGATATTCAGTCATTTTTGAGCTTATACCCCACTACTGCTTTCCTCACCCTTTTAATGTAACTATAACGGCTGCTTCATTTCTTCTAAAGGGATTCTTGAAAAGACCTAGTTTAAGAAGACCAAGGTCTCCCACTGCATCCTGGATCATCTACAGTTGTCATTATCTGTATCTGGCCACTGGACCTAGATGACTCTGGAGGAGAAAGTGAGGCTGATGACTTTGCATACCCCTCACTTACTCAAATCCAATTTAGTTGCAAGTCATGGTGTCATCTTCCTGATGTCATGGTCCTTTTCAAGAATAAAGGAGAAACCACACAAGTATTTGTAGTAATCATCCAAATTTAACTCACTTATTCCAATCCACTGAAGTTCACTGACAACCAATATATTATTATTTAACCTTTCCATCTCCTGTTTGACCACATCCAGCATATCTTTACAGCATCAGACTTTCCTTTTATCACTACATGTATCCACAGCTGAGCTTCCTTTTGGCTTTGGCCCAGCCACTTCATTAGTGCTGGAACTATGTACTGTTTTCCTCTGCCCTTCTCTAGTGGTGCGTTGGACACCTTCCAACCTGAGGAGCTCACCTTCTGATGTCATCTCTTATATCATTTTAGTGCTGTCTGGGGGGTTTTCTTGATAGATAGTGGAGTAGTTTGCCAGTTCCTTCTCCAGTGGATCACTTTTTGTCAGAACCCTCCATGATGACCTGTCCATCTTGAGTAACTCTGCACAACATAGCTCATAGTTTTATTGAGCTACGCAAGCTCCTGCAGTACGGCAAAGCAGTGATCCATCAGTCTTTATCCAGATGCTGTCTACCCTTCCCGCTCTTACTTCTGATTTCTTCACATATGTTTCTTCTTAATATTATGCCACTGTCCGCCTTTAATTAGATTTTCAAGACCTTGGGCAAATATATTTTACAAGCGTTGTTAAGTTGATCCCATCTGTGGCTAGGAGCACATAATTCCTGTATTTAAAGCCATTTGCCCAGGAACTCAAATCCTGTTCTCAGTTCCTATCATCTTAACTAACTGTTCGCATACCCAGAATGTTTTTTTTCTTCTGAAACCCTTGACTTTGATGGGGAGCAGTGGTAAAAGTACCACCTGTACCCTTGAGGTCTTCAGTTTCTTCTCCAAGATTTCATTATCTTTATAAATGTTTTCTGTATTCCCTCTGGCAGTATTGTTTTTGCGCAAGTGCATTACCAGAAGTTAGAAGTTTTACAGATTTTGAAAGTGTCTCTCACATTTCAGATATACCATACTCTGGGAAGGTAGTAAAATTCTCAGTTGTTAGCAGGTCAAAAAATAGGGCCCTCTCTTCTCAGCAGGGAGTTATCTGCTTCCTTGTTCATCAGTCTGACCCTTGTGCTTTCCCACCTGACCTGACCTGTGAAAGGTATCATGGCCTAGAGAATCAGCAGCTGCTCCTTGGAAGGAAATTCTTCATGTCTTTATTTTACTCCTAGTGTTCAGTGGTCCTCTTTTTCTTCTGTAACATTCTTCCACTCTCTGACCTATCATAGGACAGGTTTCTTCTCTACCTCTTCAGATCCTCATCCTTTGTTTACACATTTAACACTTTAATGTCACATATCTATGTGACATTTGCAGGGGAGAAGAGGAAGGCCTGTGATTTCATTGGCATTGGAAATTCCCAATGATGATACTCTTAGCAGTGCAGATCTGTATCTCTAATCTATATTGAATATTATAAATAGGAATGAAAATGGCAGATTACCAGGCTGCTTTTTCCGGATGAAGTAAAACCCACTATCTCATAAGAATTTGGGGTGACTATTGAAATGGATTTAACGTTATAACATTAAAGATATCTTGTGGGTAAAATACACAGAGCACTGTTTAAAATCTCTATGGGAATCAATGGCTTTGCTCTATGCCCTGAAATAACTAAATGGAAGCTAACTAAAATATGTATAAAGATAAAAACAATGTCAGATAAAAAGATATAGTAATATTATTACTATGTTGTTATTTCAGAAGCCAAAGGATCACAGTGAAAAGTATGAAGAAGAAAATTGGGAAATAAATTTCAAGGTAAATTTAAACCCAAATCTTGTTTTACAGTCAAATCATTTCCATTTCTTACTAAGTGCCTGACATATTACTTTCTAGAAGTGGATATTTATTAAATAAATGGGTTTTTATGTAATAATCATGAAAATTCAACAGTAGGCAATTTATCTTTATTTTTCAGATCAAAAAAAGTATTTTCTTTGCTGTTGATATGACCCCACTATCAGGACCCTCTGTGGTAGAAAGAGTTATAGTCTCTTTGGAAGATATTTCTGTTTGAGGGCTCAGATTATCAATCCTGGAAGATTATCAGTCCTGGAAATTTATCCCCACCCCACCTCCACCATCAGAATACCCACTATGGTAGGAAGAGTTATAGTCAGAATATCAATCCTGGGAAAATATCCCTACTATATAGTCTTATTCTAGCCTTGCCTGTATACTGGTTACATTGTGTTAGGAGAAGTTAATTGTAAACATAGAAAAGAGCACAAAGAAAAGCCCACAAATAACTTATGGTGTTAATAACAAAAATAATAGCAGCTATCATTTATATAGCCTTTAAAGTTTTCAAAATGGCCTTACAAATATCTCTACTATTCTACACATATTATCTCATATTTTTTCATATTTTCCTTCAAGCACAAAAAAATCAGATTTACTCTGCCTGAGTAGCTCTGGCTGAGCTTGTAGTCTGTTCTTGTCATTCAGTTGTTTTTCAAGTAGTCTTATCTCGTCATGACCCCATTTGGGATTTTCTTGGCAAAGATCCTGAAGTGGTTTGCCTTTCCTTCTCCAGCTCATTTGATGGATGAGGAAACTGAGGCAAGCAGGATTAAGTGACTTGCCCAGGATCAAACAGCTAGTAAGTGTTTGAGGCTGGATTTGAACTCAGGAAGATGAGTCTTCCTGACTCTGGGCTCAGCAGTCTCTCCACTGTGCCACCTAACTGCCTTGACTTGCAGTCTAGATAAAAGTAAATTGGTGGGAGGTTCAACCCATATCCAGAAAATAATCAGAGATAGTAGGGCTCTCTATAATAGTTACCAAATTCCAGAAGGATTTTTGCTAATTTGGAGTCGTGTCATAATGAATAATTTTTCCTTGAACCTTGGATTAATGATCATAATAACACTTGAATTTATCTTATGTTCTAGGAATTGCTTCTGTCTGATACAGAGACTCCTGTCTTACCACCATATTTATCACCATCTCTACCTCCTCCAGGAGAACTTTATCCTGTCCAAGTGAAGCATGTTGTTTCACCTAATGAGGTATGCAATTTAAATGTATGATGGGAAAATGAAAATTTTAATCAGTATAGTAATATGGTAACCAAGAACATCACCAATTTAGAATATAAATTTACACAATCTTATGGAGAAGGATAGTGAAAAATTATAAACATTATCACCTCATGAGACAACAAGAAGCAGTGGAGGGGAAAAACCAGTTTAAAGATACACAGATGAAGGGCCTCAGTTTAGCAAATAATCCCAAAAGTATTGAAGGAGAACAAAAAATAGATGAAAGATGTTCACGTATTTTATAACATACTCTTTCACCATTAAGGACAGTGAGTGGAGCCACCGTATTTGGTGGCTCTTTATGTCAGTCTCCCATTTGCTTATAGGGAAGGTGAAAATAGCACTAAACAGAACAAAGATGGAAAAGCAGGTGAACTAGACCAAAGGTACACTGACAAAATTTTGAGACTTTTGAGGAATTCTCATGTAACCTGAAGGAACCACCAAAGTAATCGAGGAAAAACCCTCACAGATGTTGTTACCAAAAGAGAGACTGATAAAGTGTCAATAATTACTGACCTATGTGTCTGAATTCTTACTTGTAGAAAAAAAATTTTTTTTTTTTTTTGAAATAAGCTGCCCACATAAGGCAGCTAGGTGGAGTAGTGGATAGAGCACAGGACCTGAAGTCAGAAAGGCTCACCTTCCCGAGTTCAAATCCAGCCTTAGACACTTAACTAGCTTTGCAACCCTGAGCAAGTCATTTAATCCCTTTTGCCTCCATTTCCTTATCTGTAAAATGGGCTGGAGAAAGAAATGGCAAACTACTCTGTTATCTTTGCCAAGAAAACCCCAAATGAGGTCATGAAGAGTCAGATGCAACCGAGCAACAATAACCTGCACATACCTGAAGGTCATCCTAGATGAAGTTATTAAAAAGAAATATTCAAGCTTTCAAAAATAGCATTCCTTAATACATTGAATCTTTACTAGCATATTGTGTTGAAAGATGGAGAAAATACAGAATTCCAATGTGCTAATTTTTTGTTGACTAAAAAAATTAAATTGAGGTAGAGTTAAAAATCTCTCTAAAAGCTTCCTCCAACAAGGGGTATCTCAGGCATATTTTTTCATTTTTAATATTTTTTTCCAATTACGTATACAAATCATTTTTAACATTAATTTTTAAAAATTTTGAATTCCAAATTCTATCCTTCCTTTCTCTCTACCCTCATTGAGAAGACAAGCAATTTGATGTAGATCATACATATGCAGTCATGCAAATATATTTCCATATTAGTCATCTGAAAAAAAAAAACAGATTCCCACCTCCTCAAAAAAAGAAAAAGAAAGTTTTAAAAGTCATGCTCCACTCTGCATTCAGACTCCATCAGTTCTTTTTCCAGAGGTGGATAGCATTTTCCATTATTGAGCCCTTTGCAATTATCCTGAATTGTATTGCTGAGAATAGCCGATTCATTTACAGTTGATCATCCTACAGTATTGCTGTTCCTGTGAACAGTATTCTCCTAGTTCTGCTCATTTTACTTTGTATCAGTTCATGTAAGTCTTACTAGGTTTTTCTGAAAGCATCCTGCTAGTCATTTCTTATTGCACAATAGTATTTCATCACAATCATATACCATAAGTTGTTCAGCCATTCCCCAATTGATGGGCATCCCCTCAACTTCCAATTCTTTGCCACCACAGAGTTACCATAAATATTTTTGTAATTACAGGTCCTTTTCCTTATTTCTTTTTTAATCTTTTTGGGATACAGACCTAATAGGGTTATTACCAGTCAAGGTTACACACAATTTTATAGCACTTTGGCCATAGTTCCAAATTGTTCTCCAAAATGGTTGGACCAGTTTACAACTCCACCAAGTGTATTAGTGTCAGTTTTCCCACATCCCCTCCAACATTTGTCATTTTCTTTTTCTGTCATATTAGCCAATCTGACAGATGTAAAGTGGTACCTTATGTTAAAATTCTTTGAACAGTGTAACAAGAGAAAAGAATCTTGTACTACTCTAGGATCATTAGGCTTATCTAAGTGATAGAATTAATAGAGCACTGGATTTGTAATATGAGGGTCTGAATTCAAATCCTGCTTCCAACCTGAACTACATATCATGAGATAGCTAAGCTCCCTCTCCACTATCAGCCCCTTTTCCAGCCTCCTCTTATCTCAACTGTAGCTGCCTCCCTGTGAGAGCGGAGACCCTCGTTTTCTTGTTTTTGTTAAAGCCAGCACTGAGGGGCAGCTAGGTGGCACAGTGGATAGAGCACCAGCCCTGGAGTTGGGAGGACCTGAATTCAAATCCGGCCTACAGACACTTGACAGTTCTAGCTGTGTGACCCTGGGCAAGTCACTTAACCCTGATTGCCTCACCACAAAAAAAAAAAAAAGCCAGCACTGAGCACCATGGCTGGCACAGAGTGGGTGCTCCATAAATGCTTTCTTTTCTTTTTCTTTTTTTTTCTTTTTTAATATACATTTATTTATTTTTAGCTTTCAACATTCACTCCCACAAGTTTTTGAATTCCAAATTTATACCCCATCTCCCCCCTCCTCCCACCCCAAGCTGACATACATTCTGAATATCCCTTCCCCTAGTCTGTCCTCTCTTCTGTCTCTTTCCCCTTCTCTTATCCTCTTCCCCTTCTATTTTCCTGTAAGGCAGGATAGATTTCTGTACCCCATTTCTTGTATTTCTTATTTCCCAGTAGCATGTGAAAACATTTTTTTTAAACGTATGTTTTTAAAACTTTAGGTTTCAGATTTTCTCTTCCTCCCTCCCCACCCACCGTCATTGAAAAGGCAAGCAACTCAATATAGGTTGTACGTGTGCAGTTATGCAAATCACATCCATAGTAGACATGTTGTGAAAAATTAACTCCATTTCCCTTAATCCTATCCTGCCCTCCCATTTATTCTATTCTTTTTTTTTGACCCTGTCCTTCCTCAGAAGTATTTACTTCTGATTACTCCCTTTCCCAGTTTGCCCTCCTCTCTATCATCCCCCTGTTCTCTTGTCCCCTTCTCCCCCTATTTTCCTGTAGGGTAAGATAGATTTCCATAACCAGTTGAATGTGTTTGTTATTCCCTCCTTAAGCCAAATCCTGTGAGAATAAGATTCACTCACATAAATGCTCTTTCTTAGTCACGTACTTTGTGCTCCTAGGCAAATCACGTAACTTCTCTAGATTTCAGCTTCCTCACCTGTGAAATAAGGGGTTTGGATGTGATGACCCCCAAAGTCCCATCAGGCTGTGAAATAGATGATCCTTTGATTAATATCAGACAAGTCCTAATGCAGGGATATTTTTGCCAAAGTCGTTCACCACTTTTGTAGAGCAGATCCCAGCACAATCCCAATCTAGGATGGTTTCCTTATAGGTGATGAACCTTCTGATGGTCGTTTACAGATGACCTTATACTGATTGCATCAAGCCCTAGAATACTACAGAGACTCTAGAGGAAATCCATAACCACTCCAAAGAGTTTCACCAAATTGTCCTCTTAGGAAAACCCAGTGGTTGAAGAACATTGTTATCCCAATTATAGCACTGATGTGATTGAAGGAACTTTCCGCCATATATAGGTCTTGGACAGACACCATAAATAGACAATGAATTGGAGGAGAAAAGTGGAGATTATTGCCTTTGGAACTCAACATCCTGTCCTATGGAGCCATATCTAAACTCATTCCTTCCCCCACTTTTTTTTTCTTTTTGGACAGTTGCTCGATGATTAGTTCAAAGGAATCCTATCGATTTAGTTTACATGTAATTTAGCAAATCATTTGACAGAGTCTCCATGATTTTGTCCATGCTATTCTTAGCGGAAAGTGAGCCAGAAAGTAGGTTTTTTGGATTCAAAACTGATTAAGTTGACTGTCCAAAGAGTAGTTAGTAATTATCAATGTCAACTTCAACTTAGAAGGAAGTCTCTAATGAACTATTTGAGGAATCTGTGTGAAAGTCTGACTTGCTTAACATTTTTATCAGCGATTTGGAGAAAAGCATATGTAGGCTGTCAAATGAAAGGAAGGATTAGGGCTCATTCTAGCTAGCCTCAGAGAGCAGAATTAGAAACAATTGTTGAATGTTGCAGAGAAACAAATTTAGGCTTATTATAGGGAAACTTTTGCTAGCAATTAAAACTATCCCAGTGAAAGTTTCCTTCCTCTTCACTGATGATTTTCAAGCAAAGGTTGAAAAATTATGTTGTGAATGAGATTCTGATTCAGATATTGATTAAACTAGATGGCCCTCAAGATCTAAGATTCTTTAAGAGCTTACGAAAGGAAGAATGTGGCCAAAAAAAAAAAAAGAAAGAAAAAAGAAAGAAAAGAAAAAGACTCCAGAGGAACACCTACATTAAGGGGTTAGTAAGTGGATAAGGTATCAGAGCAAAAGTACCAAGGAGAATCCTAGTCATAACTGTTATTGATTCCTGTGTATTCTTTTGCCAGTTATGTAAGAAATACTGCAAAAATAACAAAATTTCAAAGATATTACCCTTTTATTCTTTTGACCTAGGTATATATCTGCCTTGATCTAATAGAAAACTTCAACCATCAAAATAACACAGTTGATACTGGAGTTAGCTGGGAGTCTGAACCAAAGAGCCTAGATGAAGTACTACAGAGTTGTAATCAGAATATGGATTCTCTCCCGTCATTGACAGACTTTAGATCAGGTATTTTTTTGTCATTCTTTCAAATACAGAGAAATGTCATTATAGTTTTACTCTTAATGGAACTTTGACATGCTGTTTTTAAAGTATTTGTGGGGTCTTTGGTTTAATGTTTGTTTGGGAAAAAATAATTTCTTTAAATCAGGAATTTTGTTACACTCTTTTTTAATAAACTGTTTTCTTTAGTGGAAGATATATTGTGTATTTTCACCTTCATTGAAGATGCCATATCGTTATTGATACCTTTTTGTTTCTTATACTGTGGTCATTTCCTGATGTGTACCCATTCTTGTAGAGCACTCCCTTTTAAAAAAGAAAATTAAAACTAATTAATATACAATGTTCTATATCTACTGTCCTCCAGCTGTCTTACAGGGAGAAGGGAAGAATATTGTATCATCTCTAGGAATTATATTGGTCATTGAATTTAATCTTGAGTTCAACTGTGTTTTAGTGTTTTTAGTGTTATTTGCATTTGTACAGTTTTATACATTTACATGTTCGTATATATACATGTATATAATAGCTAGCATTGATATAGCACTTAAATGTTTGCAAAGCACTTTTACATATGTGAACTCATTTTGGGGGGTGGAAAAGTTAATTGTGGTTCTCTTTTCATTGAACTTACTTTTTGCTACTATGTGGTAAATGAAAGTGGTGTCTCTACTATTCCTCATACAAATTATCAGAAAACACTTAAGAGTGGGAAAGGTATATCCTGGTTTAAAGTTGGTCATAACTAGCTTTGATCTAACTTTATTTACTTTTTCATTATTTCACCTTTTTTAACTTGTATTTATCACTAAGACCCTGGAACGTGGGAACAGAAAATTAAATGTTAGTAGATTGGCATATGAAATAATGATAGACTTATTAAATTGAATCTTTAATAATTCAGTGCTTCAGAGATCTGTAATTTTTCTGATAAGGGTGCTTCCTTCACAGATTCTTACTGCAACCTCTCTACAACTTACTGAATAGTCTTTGAGAGCTATTTTTGCAACCTCTCCCCCGCCAAAAAAAAAAAAATTTACCCAGAGGCCAACTTAGCAATGAGTTTCTGAACTTTGCTAGGCTGATCCTCAGTAATCGGATATATACAGGACATTACTGAGCTGCTACAATAAAATCCTACTCTGATTCCTTGCTGTAAGATAGTGGCAATCCTGGGCTCTTGAAAGCTTTGCTAGGGGGTATAACTTTACTAGGCTTTATCAAATTGGAAATGCTTCAGATATGACCTGATGGTGATTAGAAGGCATATGTTAATAATTCTACAATTCCTAAGTATAATAAATCTGTACTACTCTAAATAGGACTAACATTAAACTGATTCAGAAATATCTCTTTTAAATATAATGTTCCCTAGGTAAAGTCTTACAGTCTCTCTTAGCAACCCATTTCTACAGTAGAATCAATTACATTTCAAGGCAGCATGTGACACCATAAGAGGGGTAGAAAGGAAAAGGGTAACTCTGTACAAAGAGGTGTATGGACTTGAGAAGGAAAATTAATGAGTGATGCTAAAGTTCACTCTCTTCTGTCCAGATCCTTGATGTCATCATCTGTGGAACTCCCAAGTTGGTCCTCTCTCTTCCCTCAAATTTTTAGTACCTACCTTAGTCTTCTACACCTCAATTTCTGTTCCCTTCAAACACTAATTTTCTAGTTCCTAATGTCCTCAACTCACTCCCTCAACCACACATAGGAGGCAGTACATGTACCAAGCCAAGTAAATTTTTGCCCCATGTGCAGAAAGCACATTGTGTATGTCATCTTTTTTAAACCTTAAAACAATACTGTGAAGTGGGTACTCCACCAGATCTGATTTCATCGATTCAGAGGTTCCGAACCTCCAATGCTAGAGGTCCCAGCCCTGCCGACTAACCCTGTTTGCCTTTTGTCCCTATCCTCTCCTAAGTTCCTCACAGAGAATCCAGCCAGTGTTAAAGTGTTCCACCTACCCCAGCTACTGAAGAGGTGCTGCTAGTCCTCTCATCTTCATCTAGGGAAAAATAAATGGGGTTCAAAGAGAAGTGACCTCTGTGGTTGTGCAGCATTGAGGGGGATTTGAACCCAAGTCTTTCTGCCCTTGGGTCCAGTACTCTAGCCACACATAGCATGTTAATAAAGAGGTAATATGTGAAGAAGCTACATTTTTAGTTTGAGATTGGGTGGAGGCCAGATTATTGCTGAGTGAATGGGCTAGAGGAAGATTTGGCATATGATTTTTACCAACACTCCTATTCAGTGAACGAAATACTTATTTTGATATTAAATTTGTGACATTGGGAAAAACTGACAAGATAGTAGATAAATCAAATCTTATAATTATGTAATGAAAAAATCATTTGGAAGTGTAGATCTAGTAAATATTGAGCTGTTAAATATTGATGAGAAAGATCTTACTTAAGTATTTCAAGGATCTATGATTTAATCAGTATGGATGCTCTTTTCTCTGATGGAGATCACAATCTTTGAGAGTATCTGCCCACAAATTAATCAGCTTGCATCCAGCCTGGAAATGACTGTCCCTGCATATAGTTAGACTGGTCCTCAGATAAATGACGTGGGTTAGTCTTCTCCTGTTCTCACAATCTTTCCAATTTGGTAGGACCCAGTAGAGCTTATGCTCTGCTTTAAGAACCCAGTATCACACCTAGGCATCACAGTCATGTTTTGATGGAAGAAAAAGTATAACATATTTGGCTTATAAAGCTGCCAGGACAGTAAAACCTACAGGCAGCCCTTAGAGCTCTGTTCTTCTCCAGAGAAATTGGACAGAGGATGGAGCTAGGTGGAGATAGATGTCTATCCTGTATATGGAGAAGTCAAAGGACTGCTGCTTTCTGTGGCACTTAAGAAACACAAAAAGTAGAATGCATGGGAAAAGGAAAGCTACACTCACAGTGGCAGCCTTAGAATGAGAGCTGTGTAAATGGTAGTTGCTGTCATCATTATTATTATCATTTCCATAGTTTTTATCTGGGCCTAAATATTCACTGTTCAAACTTTAAAAGGGCATTGGGAAAGTGGCAGTTTATTTCTGGAAATGACAGAAATCGAGACTAATATAAAGAAATGTAAGGGTCTTTTATATTTATTAGATAGTGAAAATGTTAGGTTTATATTATAATTTCCTTTTTATTCTCTCTCCAGAAATGCCTTGTCTTGCAGAATATAATGATGGTTTATGGTATCGAGCAAAGATTCTTTCCATCAAAGAATTTGATCCCCTTGCTATCCTGGTACAATTTGTTGACTATGGGTCAACTGAAAAATTGCCAACAAGCAGGTAAATTCAATGTAATTATGTTTAGCAATAATCAGTTAAGGGCATCATCTTCTTTCCTTTCTCCAAGAATATCTCTGAGTTGTTCATAATTCTTTTCAGTTTTTTAAAGTGTTAAATCATTACATGCTGTATGTTTTAATGTTTCTTCTGTTTCAGACTGCGTCAGATTCCTCTCCACCTGATGAAATATCCTGCTCGGGCTGTAAAAGTTCTTTTGGCTGGATTTAAACCTCCATTAAAAGATTCAGAAAAGACAAGAATTCCATATTGCCCAAAGTGGAGCATGGAAGCCATGTGGGCTATGATAGACTGTCTTCAAGGAAAACAGCTTTATGCATCTTCACTGGTAACTTTTTATTCTAATTAGCAGGAAAACTTCAGAGTTCAGAGTTTTTCATCGTAATTTGGTATCTTACCTTAGTTGTCTTTTTCATAATTATATAGCACAGAAAGTGTCAAACTCCTGTGGCTGGAACCAGATTTAAATGTAATTGGGAAATGTTTAACAAAATAAATAAAGATACAATACTACATAGATAACATTAATTTGTTGTTTTCTGAGTCCGTATATAGATCACAGGGATCCCCTACTATTTGAATTTGACACCACTGATAAAGCACATAAAAGTATATTGATCTAGAAACTTAATTTTAAGATTTGTCAGAAATCATGTGATAGTCTTGTTTAAGTTATCCAAACTTGACATTTATTTTTAAATATTGATGATCTGAAGTTTGAAATCTTAAAAGAGTAAACGGTATCAGTAATCCCAAATAAGAATAATCTCTGACTGCTTTTATTAAGGTAAATGCCCATAGTTCCTTTGAAATATAAAACTTAGGACATATGGCAGGGGGAAATTGATTTATTTTAAACGTGATGTTTTTATATTCAGCAAATATTTTCACTACATATGTGAGAACTGTAACATTCTTTGCAGTACAGTAGGCCTGTTAAGGACAGAACTTCTCAAAGATAATTTAAATCAAGTATCTGGTTGTAAATGTATCTGAATACATTTATACATGTATATAGATACTATTAATCTATATGCACATATTATACACACACACACAGAGATTATCACATCAGGCATTACTTACAGTAACATACATGTAGAATTTAGCATCAGTGTTGATTCTGTCCAAGGTTTTGTGAGTGAAGTAGGATTCAGCTTGAGCATTTAAAGAATGGTGGTAGAATGGGTTAACAAGGCTGTTGTACACATAGTGAATAGCTTAGGATAGAATAAAGAGGAAGGGATGAAGTCGATGAACTTATTTGACAAACTCTACTTTTGTTTTAGACTCAGTCACCAGAATATATAGTGACTTTATATGAAGATGAACAATGTCCAGTTCATATGTCATTGATAGAAATGGGACTTGCAGATTTAGATGAATGACGTAAGTATACATAATGCTTTCTGACCTTCTTAACTAGCACAACTTAGGTTTACTAACGGACATCAATACCATATGTCATGATTTCCCCTTGTTTCCTCACAGAAATGGCAAATGAGTTTAGTGAGAAATTCCCATCTCCTCTTGGGTGCCTTTCCTATCTTCCTTTTATCTTGTGAAAGGTAGCACCAGTACCCAAGAGCTCCTACATCCCTAGATACCTTTTCTTAGAATATTTACAGCCATTACAGAACCAGGAGAAGCATGTACCAGTAGCTTTCAGCAGCTATTTTAGGCTAGTTTCTGTGCCTACACAAGGACTTACTAGAATCAAACTGATAATCCTGTTTAGGGAGAAATTTCAGTTGAGTGGACTAGATTATATTATGTATATGTGCACATGTACATGTGAAAATATATCTTGTACGTGTAGTAATTGATTTGTCCAGTTGCCATCTGTTTGTGTATAAACTTAGAATGTTAGAACAGGAATGAATATTAGTGGTCATCAACTGGGAAATAGGCCCAAAGAGGCTAAAAGACTTGCCTGTGGTCACATTAAGGTAGTTTCAGAGACAGAATTTGAAACTAGGGTTTTATCCTCATTAAGACTTTTTTTCCATGTTGCAAGCAATTGGACAAGTCTAAGCATCTGAGAGAATCCAGAGTTGTGTGTACATACACAATAAAGTTTTATTTTTTAAACTGTATGTGGATTGGATATTTACAATAATTCAGAAATGTTAGCAAGAATGATGTTCAGCCATTAAAAGTAAAAGCTAATTTCAGTCAAGCTAATCCACAAAGCTTCATTATAGTACTTAGGGAATCTTATGTCTTTTTGCATATAAATAAAAGTCTAGATCAAGCAACATTCACAAATCTAGGCTTCAAAATGTAGATGTACAATTATACTAGAGCTTTTGTTTTTCAGGTATATTCTGTATCATGCTGAGCACATGTGACAGCCCAGAAGAAACATTTTAGTTCTGTTTAGAGTAGTTCCGGCTTATTTTTGTTTAGTTTTTCAACATGATAATTTTCACATACTGTCCTCTGTGTTGGATTGTTAGCAGTTCTCTTTAAAATTACTAAAGAATATACTTAATAAATGTTATGAGTCTTCAGAAGCTTTCTTGGTTTATTAGTTTTTATTTCAGCATGTATATTGACATAAAATCTTATGTTGGAAAAACTTCCTTTCTTGTATTTATGGTACGCTTTTAACTGTGTAAAAAATGTAATGGTAATTGTCAACTTTCAGAAATTATTTGAAATCATTTGTAAAGTTCATTCATACATAATATTTGTCAGCCAGATGCTAGCCATATGTTGGTTAGGAAAATGAAAAGTGGAAGTTTTTGCTCATGCTTTTTTAAATCAGTCAAAACATAAGCAGATAAGTGGGATAACTTTTCTTCAGTGTTAGTAACTGTTGAAATAACATCTCATTTATTCACCGTCGTTATATGAATATCTTAAATAATGAAACATTCATTACCTCCTGGGGTAGGCTAGTCTGTTTTAGGATTGCACTCACTACTGTGAACTGAAATCTGTCCATTGGTCCTGTTTCTGTTCTTCTGGCCCCCCAAAACAACCCAAATAGCCGTCATCCCTACCCTTTAAAAAAAGGTCTTCAAACTTTTTTTACGTAATTATTTTTATTCTCATCTGACATGGTTTGGGGTCCCATCACCAAAAGATTGTCTGCTGTTGGAAATACTCCAGCTTGTCATTGTCCCATCTAAGATTGCACTTGTGCTGTCATTCAAGGTAATATAAAACAGAATAAAGAACAAGACCCTTGGATAGTGTGGTAGAGCCAGGTTCAAGTTCCTGTAACACAGAGTGGCTTTGACCCTGGGAAAGTCATGTAATTTCTCTGTGCTCTTGGGAACATCCTTCCTATGCCAACCTGCCTGGATTAGAAGGGAGTATCTTCACATGAGAGTTTCCTATCCCTAACCCTTCAGCATTTAGTTTTTGAGTAGCCCTTCTCAGGCTTGCTATTTAGATTCGTGAGCCTTGACTTATCCTTTCTCTGATATCTTTGAAAGTGGTTCCCTGTGTGAGGTGATGTTGTAGAGATCTACTCAAATAAGCATTTAAGTTCCTACTACATGCAGGACACTGGAGTAGGTATCCAACAATAAAGATGAAAAGAACCCCAGCTCTCAAGGAGCTTTGATGGAAGTAAAGGATTCCAAGAAACCAGAGTTCAGATTTCAGTTTAAAAATTACATGACCATGAACAACTCAAACTTTCAACCTTAGGTTCCTGATCAGTAAAATCATTATGATAATTGTACTATCTCCTTCAAATAAATATATGTTATAAGGAAAGTCTTTTGTAAAATGTGAAACAGTGTAAAAAGAGTAGAGTAGTTATCTCAGAACACATAATAGAGTATCCCCACATTTGACTCCTTATTGCAAACTTAAAAGGTACAGGGAGCCTGGGACTCAGAATTTTTAAAAACAACCTTCTTTTCATTTGATAACAGTCTTCAGCCTATAGAAGAACACAGCTAGCTAGTCAAGTTAATCCCTTATAATTAGCCTAATTTTTAGCACTTAATCATTTTTATTGTTCTATGCTTTTTTAAATAAAAACTTGCTAGCCTTAGTCCTCTATTCCACATGTTGCCAAGAGACTGATTTCCACATAATTACTTAATCATTTGTACTGTTGCCATTGTGTTTAAGTCAGTGTATTGCCAATACTTAACTTCAGTTTAAAATCTAGCCCAAGAATTTTCATTTTAGGAAAAAAGTCAGTTATATAAATTTTATCTTCTGCTAGCTGGTTTAATTTTCATGGTTGTGTGTTTTGTCTTCCATTTCATTATTATCAATCATTTTGTATTAAAATATCAAAGTACAGGTAGGACAAGCTATCAAATTTAATCTTTATTTTAGATATTTGAAAACATCAAAACTTTTCATTTTATACACTATGTACAGATTAACAAGCCGCTGTAGAATTTACAGAAATACACATTTTTAAAAGAAAAAATGGAAATTTGTTGTCAAAGCACCACATATCACTTCATGAGTAAGAAACAGTTTGCTACAACTTGGTATCCATCAGAACATTACCATCCTTATCTTTAATTCTTACTCGACCAGATATATACTTTGTTTCTTGGTGGCCATTAGAATATACAGTCTTAATGGTGCCATCTGGATATTCTCGCCTCTTGAACTGGGGAGTGTGAAGTTCTCTTTGGCCATTGTTAAATTCTATTATTTTGCTGCCATCTCTGTTTTTAAAAAAAAAAATCACGAATTTATTTATGTATAGAAGCTGCCACTACTTTAAACCAATAATAATAATAGTTGCCAATTCTTTTCTCTATCTTTGCCTTCAATGGATGATTCCTCTTAGTGCACCCCCTCCAACACCCAGTCAAAATTCGGTCTTCTCCTCCCTCTACAAACCTTACATACATCTATTTTCACTGTTTCAGTTATCAGCTGTAAACAATTTCCCACTATTTAGCTCTAGCCCTCATGTTACAGCTCCTTTTGCCTCTGTTCTTAATGCCCCACTGAAACTGAACATGTTAAAATAAATTTGTTATTTGGGGCAGCTAGGTGGCACAGTGGCTAGGGCCTAAAGTCAGGAGGACTTGAGTTCAAATCTGGCCTCAGACCAGACACTTGACACTTAACTAGCTATGTGACCCTGGGCCTGTCATTTAACCCCAACTGCCTAAAAAGAATACACCAAAATAAACTTATTTACCACATCTCCTTCACCAAAACCTCCCAGGTTCTACTAGGCTCAAGCCTTAAAACTGCCCTGTGGGAGAAGATTCTGGGAAGATGGTAGACTAGGTCAGAAAATTTCAAGCTCTCGAGATTTTCCTACACAAGAGATAAAATAGCACCTCTGGATGAACATAGAGCCATGAAAGCAAGAGTAGGGGCAGAAGAGGAGTCCTTCTGGGACAACTGGAGAAATATCCTGGACGAGATTTCCTCCCTGTGAAGAGAAAAATACCTCTAGGCTAGGATCCCCTTCAACAAGTGGCAAGCCCTGGAGTTAACTGGTTTCGCAGGCTGCCTCAGCTCCAGCCACAGGAACTTCTACCCCTGGGACAGAAAGGGGAGTTGGGCATCTGCCCTGGAGAAGATCAAGGGAACCTCTTCTGACAAGCAATGCTAGACCCTGCTCTGCTGTGGAGAGCAGCCAAGTGAGAAGGAACCAGCACATGCCCAGTGAGTGCAGAAGCAGAGGGGTGGGGACCCCTCTGCTGTGGGCACTTACGGGAGGCTGGAGGTCTTAGTTCAAGGTCGGAAGGGTGAACTGAAGAGGATTAGAGGCACATCCCCTATGCCCCAGAACTAGAGGTGATTATAAAAACTAAATTATTACAAAAAATGCACAGGCAAAGGAGAAAGAATCCAATCAGAGAGAGCTACTATGGGAATAGAGAAGATCAGGGTTTATCTTCAGAGGAGGATACTGAAGCAAAGAAACTCTGTTTTATCCCAAAGAGTAATGTCAAATGGTCACCTGCCCAAAAAGAACTCATTGAAGAACTTAAAAACTTCAAATGAGAGAGACTGAGGATGAACTAAAAAGAAAAATAATACAAGTAAAACAAGATTATAAAAACAAAGTCAACCAGTTGGAAAGGGAGATCCCGAATCTTAAAGAAATGAAAATGAGTCCTTGAAAATTAGAATTGGGCAAAGGAATGCCAATGAAGTTAGATGAAGAAATTTAAAAACAAAATATAAAGAATGGAAAAAATGGAAGAGAATGTGAAATATCTCATAAGAAAAAACAGATCTAGAGAACAGATCAAAAAGAGAAAACAATAATTGGACTACCTGAAAGTTGTTTGTTTGTTTTAAGGCAATTGGGATTAAGTGACTTGCCCAGGGTCACACAGCTAGAAAGTGTCAAGTGTTTGGTCTGAGGCCACATTTGAACTCAGGTCCTCCTGACTTCAGGGCCGGTGGTCTATCCACTGCACCATCTAGCTGCCCCTCTGAAAATTCTGATCAAAAAGAGAATCTTGATACAATAATACAAGAAATAATTTTTTTAAATTGTCCTGAAGCATTAGAACAAGAGGGGAAAGTAGAAATAGAAAAAAAAAATCTACTGATCACCACCTGAAAGAGATCCTATGAGGAAAACTCATAGGAATATCATAGCCAAATTTCGAAACCCCCAGATCAAGGACAAAATATTACGAGCAACAAGAAAAAAACAATTTACATATGATGATACCACAATTAGAATTACACAAGACCCAGCAGTGGTGACACTAAAAGATCGCAGGTCGTAGAACACTGTATACGGAAGAGTAAAAGAACTGGGCTTCTCGCCAAATATATACCCAGCAAAGCTAAGCATAATTCTGAATGAGGAAAAAAAATGGACATTTGATAAATTCTCAGACTTTCAAGTCTTTGTTAAAAAAAAAAAACAACCCTAAGCTTCAAGATTTAACATACAAGAGCCAAGAGAAATAGAAGGTACATACCAATGACCAATTACAAGGGACTAAGTAAGGATAAAATGTTTACCTTTTAGGTATGAACAATGTAAAACCTATGTCTAAGATTGTTACTAGTAATTAGATAACTTACAAGGAAGATTGGGGTTACCTGAGTATGATATGACTTCAAAAAGTAAAACCATTCAAGTACAACTAAAAGAGTAATTATCTTTTATAAATGAGGTACAAGAGGAAGAACCAATACAGAGGAACTAGATGGGGGAGGGAGGCTGTTAGTTTTGGAACCTACTCTCATCAGGAATGGGTTTAAGAGGGGGAAACACAAATACATTTAGAAGAGTATAAAAGTCAACTAATTTAGAAAGAAAGAAAACAGCAACAGGAGGAGGGAAAGGATAAAGGAGGGATCTTTAGAGGAGAGGGTGTGGGAATAGGTTAAAAGGGAATCTAGAATGGGGTTTAAATTTAGGGGAATGAGAGAATATGGGAGGGATTGCTAGAGTGGGGGGAGGTTAAGTAATAGGGTAAGGTAGCAGGTAGAAGTAAAGTAGAAGAATTAGGAGGGATTAGGAAAAATAAACAGATGCACAAAGAGATTAAGAGTAGAATCTCTTAGGGAAAGTATGTGTGTGTGTATGTATGTATGTATGTATAAGTATTTATGTATATCAATACCTATATATAAATATATCCAATGCTCAACTGTAGCCTTGGGGTGGTGGGTAGGTGGGGAGGAAAGGGGTAAAAAGAACAAAGTAAAAAGTGTACAGCAGAGAACAAAAGAAAACCTACAAGGAAGCAAAGATGGACAGCTTTCAACATAATGGCTTTCTTGAAATGAAAAGTTACCACTATATAATTTGAATCTTCTATGTTCTACTGTGCACGTGACGTTTTTCATTTTATATTTTAGTTTCCAGTGTTTCTTTTTCTTATGTATTTGTTTTAGCATTTGTCTAAAAGAAAAAAAAACTGCTGTGCCCTTTATCTCCTACACCTATTTAATAAATTCTATTTTTTTTCAACCATAGAAAGAATTGATCCTTCCTTTCAGTTTTGATCATCTCTGTCCAGACCTTTCTTCTAATCTCACACTCTGATTACCACACGCACCTACTGTGGTCTTCATGACATTTTATGCATCTATCTAGTCTATACCTACTACAAAACTTTACAATAGTATCTATAATTTTTTTTTAAAGGCAATTGGGGTTAAGTGACTTGCCCAGGGTCACAGTGTTTGGTCTGAGACCGGATTTGAACTCAGGTCCTCCTGACTTCAGGGCCAGTGGTCTATCCACTGCACCACCTAGCTGCCCCATTCGTACCTATAATTTATCACATCAAATAATGATCATGCCAGTTGTTAGGCCATCTTGTCAGTATATACACAAATCTCTTTCCTAGGCCGACTTACTAGTACCTACCTCTGAGCCTCCCTGTTAAACCATGTTCACTCCTACCTAATATTCAACTAAAATAACTATACTGTCAGGAAGCATTCTTTGATTGGAGTTCATCCTTACTTTCTACAGTCTAATTTGCACATGCACTGTTTATAGAGAATATTTATTTGAATACTGGGCTATGATATATATGCAGTTTTTCAATTAGTTTTCAACTAACTCTAAATCTGGTACGGGAAAGGTACTGTCTATCTGCAATATATCTTAACTAATGACTCAACATCTGACACAATACAGATTTGCAAATTTGTTTTTGATGGAACGGGAGTGAAACTGTGTAGTAAGAAAAGCCAGAATGTAATTTTTAAATTATTACTGGATTTAAAGCAAGTCTTACTGTTGTACTCGAACAATGGTACCATCTGGGAAAATGCTCTCTTCTCTCCCATCTTCAAATAGATTTTTAATGGACTGGTCAGGAAATGTAATTTCTTTTCTTCCATCTGGAAAATGCTTTTCTAGGTTAAAAATATATATAGAAAAGAGACACAGTGAGTGTGAGTGTATAACGTCAACCTTCATTCTTATTTTGATTTTGGAGAGTAGATAAGAATAGAGAAGGAACTGAAGAAAAGTCACAATTTTCACCTATTTGTCCACTTGAGAAATGTAAAACCTCCAGTCCCTCTGGATAAGTGGTATGAGTGGTCTGAGTAGCTGCATAGTAGTAAATCTGTAAAGGAAAAAAAAACCATTATGATTTGCTCATGTTGTGTATGTCTGTGTGTACACCCACATATATACACACACACACATATAGATAAGTCTACACAAATATAAATGTTTAGATATATATAGATATAGATATATACATATATAGATATATATATGGGGGGGTGTATATATAAAAAACATAAAGGGGTAGAAAATATATCTATGGAAACATACCACTCTTTCATCTGGCATGACTTTTTTCACATCCCCATTGAAAAAAGTAATAGTGATAGTTTTTCCATCTGAGCTCACTTCTTTCCGAGTTCCATTTGGAAACAAGATAACATGGCACCCACTTTTTAAAACCTTTTCAACCTAAAAACAAAAAAGATAAAGATGATTTTATTCCATGTACAGATAATCATGGCAACATAGAAATCATAAGACATAGAACTGGAATGGACCTCAGAGATATCATCCAATGCGATTTTTAAAAAGTGACTTGGCTATGAGCACACAGTAAATAAAACTATTATATAAACTTAGATCTTCTAATATCAAAAATGTATCAGCACTAGACCACATTGATTCAGATTATTTCCCGTTTCCAGAGCTGTCCAAAATTGTAATGGGTGGGCCCGAAAGAATGAGTTTTATATCTGTTCAGGTACAGGTTGGGCCAGATTACTTCTGATGTCCCTTCTAATTCTAAGTGTCTATGACTCCCATTTCCCATGCACTTTTCCTTCATTCTTTATAGTAATTTGTGGTCTTTACTACACTAAGGGCCATACTGGAATGAACCTAGTATCTGCCTGGAAAGCCTGTGGTACCTTAGGATGAGAAACAGAAAGGACATGGTTTGGTTCCCTGGCTAGCATGCATAATAAATGGTGTTACAATGTTGCTAGAATTTTGTTGCTAGGTTTTCCATTTTATATCTAGAACTATATATATTGGGCCATGCCATATCCCTTGATAAATACTATTTGAATAGGACTCCAAAAACAACACAGAAAGTATGAGAAGGAAGCTATGCAATCATTCCCCCTTTTTGCTTTTTCAAACTACTTTCTTTGTTTACCTTCTGAATCTTTCTAGAAATAGTAAATTTATACTGGTCATCATGAAGAAATTTGCATCTGATAAAAGTGACAGGCTGGGTACAGATTTAGACATACTTTTTTTTGTACGTGGACAATGTTGGAATGGATTTGCTTGACTATATGTATTACAAGGATTTTGCTTTTCTTCCCCCTCCCCCACGGGGGAGGTGCGCACATAGATGTTATTATAGTTTTTAAAAATAAAAAAACTGCTTTGACTATGACTTGAGACTGCCACTTTTTTTTATCTAGAATACCAGGCCAAGCAGCTTTTCCCGTCCCTGTTCCCCCACAACCTCCTAAGCACCTCATCTTAAAAAGATGTTTAAGTAAAAGGATGTCTTTCTCTGCTTATAGAAATCAATTTTTGTTCATGTAATTTTAGTAGGTAAGATTGGAAATGGGAGATGATTAGGTTAGAGGGGAAAACAAAACCAAGGATGACTTCCAAACTAGAAGAGGTAGAATAATTATAGGAATTATAGTAATATATAAGGGAAACTCATGAACTAATGCAAAATAAAGCAACCAGAACCAGAAGAACAATATACCCAATAACTATAACAATGTAAATGGAAAGAACAAAACAATTTTTTAAATGAATGCAATGAAATGATAATGACCAAGCTTAGTCCAAGATAAAAGATTTGAAAAAGCACCTCTCCCCATTCTTTACAAAAGTAAGGGACTACATTGTAAAACACTGCATATAACTTGAATTTCCAAAAGACTGGTTAGTTTGGAAAAATAAGGTGTTTTTTTTTCTTGTAAGGGAAGGATGGTACTCTGGGAGGCTTAGGGAAGAAAAATGTATTGGGCAATATAGGTGAGGAAATTTCATATACGTCAAAGTGAACATCCAGCTATGTTACATGAATTTGCTCTTACTAGGGACAACCTATCTTTCAGTTGCTCTAGTCTGAAGACTTATTCTAGCATGCTTACATCCGTCATGTACTTCATTGTTTTCTGTGTGATACCTCATTTTTTTAAGTCTTAAGAGGCTTCAGTGTTTTGTCCTAAAACAATGGTAGAATTTACAGAGAATGCTCATTAGAAAAGCTATGCAATTTTTCCCCCCTATTTTCTTTCCTTATTTAGTCATGGTGCTAAATTCACTGATCATTTGTTCTGTCTTTCCCAATTATACATGGTAGGACAAAAATTTTTTTTGGTTATCCATCCAACTGCATGTCAAAAGCTAAGAGGAAAACCTTTTAATTCACTTTGTTTTTCCTAAGGCATATAGTTAGCCCAAATGATTGAGTAATTGCTCTCTTTTAGAAAGCAGTGTTGTGGTCCAAGGAATGATGCAATCAGCACAAGCTTAATCTGCAAACAGCATCTGGAGGACCTTACCATCCAAAGGAAGTCCTTCAAAATTTGAATCTTTGCTGGTTTTCCATCACAGTGGTATATATCTTGGGCAAGCATGTGTTTTATGCTTTCCTGATATTGACAATTAGAGTAGTAAACAATGTTCTCTCATTTGTTAAATATCTTTCAAGGAATCTTGAATAATTTTATGTATGAATAAGATATAACTTTTTGGAAGAGAACTCTTTAAGCTGTCATTTTTGCTCCATTAAATCAAATTTTAAAAAATCCACACAACAGAATCTCATTCATTTTTCATTTAGTTGTGTGGTCAAGATGTGATTTTTTTTTTTTAGTATTAATAAGGTCAGACGATCAGCATTTATTAAGCCTTTACCATGTGCCACTATGCTAAGGCAAAAACATCTATCCTTGCCATTGAGAAATTCACATTTCTTCTGAGAGAGACAACATGAAACAACTATGTACACACAAGACATACCCAGCATAAACAGGTAATATCAAAAGGAAAGTTTCAGCAGGAAAGGGGGAAAGATCAGGAAAGGCCCTGTGCAGAAGGTAAGATCTGAGCTGTCTTCAATGAGGTGTGAAATTTTTTTATGCCTTCACAATCATCATCATCTTAGATGTATCTTGTGAATCGATCCCAAATTGTCGTCTTCAGCACAGATCGCCTCTGTGTATGTTAGCTCTAATTTAGCTGTTTTTCTTATCTTTTTTCTCCTCAGTGTCATTTTTACCTCTGTAAACACATCCAGGATTTGATTATATTGTCAAAGTATGGTGACTGCCATTCTTGATGATGAAAAAAGCTTGTTATGAAAATCTTTCAGCTCTTTTACTTTTAATCTTTCAACTGTTCTAGTTTCATCCTTTGATGACTTTGCTTAGTAGGGTCTCTTGTCTTCTCTGATTCCACTCTGCTTCTTTCTGCTTTATCTGGGATAGTGCTCAGTCTTCCGCCACCTTTCTTAAGACTTTACAAGCAAGATAATATTCCTCTCAGTCTAGAAAGTAAATCAAGTGTTTGCTGATCAAGGCATTTGGGGCTTATCTGGTGTCTGTATCTACAGCAGTAAAACGTCTGTATGAAGCTATTAATGTTTTGTCCTTCCATTATCAATTTTTCATTATCCAAAAAAATCATTTGTCTTGGTCAAGATAGAGTTATTTCAATTGCATGACTTTTTTTTCCCATTTCTATTCTTCTAGTTAACACGAATTTTAGTCAGTGGTCTGAGCTATACACAGCTGAATCAGCAATGAAAACAAACCATTTCCTGTCTGTTAAAATGAAGTCAGTTTTATTTTTTTCTTATATTAGGTGATTATGTTCATCACCAGCAGTTCTTCTGTTGAAGAAAGTGTTCAGGAAATATCAGCACAGGACCTTATTCTGTGTAAGGCTTTGATCAAAACACACAAGAAACCAGAAAGATTTTCTTAGAGCTACATTACTTTTCTCTTCTTGTCTATTTCTCATCCTTCCCACCTATTCCCCATCTTTACAATGAAGTCACAAAATATATTGATTAAATATGGAGACTCTTTGAGTTTTTGTAGAATTTCTCTGCCATTTCATCATCTGCAACAGACATTGGTAAATACAGCCCAATATCTTTATGGTAGTCTTTCTTCTGATACTACTAATGAGCACTGCCATACAGGGTGATCAGATATTTGAAGAAATTATGTTCCTTGTTCTTTGGGTGCGGGATAAAACTAACTGTGCCATTGCTCTAAGAAAAATCCATAAGCCAGTCTTCCACTTCACTGCAACTTCCTTTTTTCTGTTTTAGAGTAAGAATGTCAAAATTGATATAATTCAGTTCTTCCATTAGATGCTTAGTTGTTGGTCATTAGAAAAGGATTTCACATCAAAGAGCACCAACGTCTAAGATCCCAGAGGACAGGAGCTGTTAATTTTTCTTTGAATTCCAGATACTTAGTACACTGTCTGGTACAGAATAGGTGCTTAATAAATGCCTGCTGATTAGCATCCTAGGTCCTCTGTTCCCACACCATCAATGCAGAAGCAGAAGGGGGTTACATAAGACTGAGGGCCATTTTGTATTTATATTGTGGAAAGCTAGGGCCAAAAAATATATAAACAACAGGCCAAACTCCTGCTGCTTAACTGCTCCATACTTAGGTGAGTCTTCAGAAAGCAGATTGTCTTGTCAAGACTACATTCAAAGAAGGTTTTTCCAATGGGGCAGAACCTGCCATACTATATATATTCAGGTAGCATATCATATAAACTCATACTCTGATCCTCACTTTGGTTTTATACATTGCTTAAAATGTTTTCATGTGAATGTTGTCATATGAAAGATGAAAGGGAAATAGATATCCTATAGAGATAACTCCAGTAGACAGAACAAATGCATAAAAATTAAAGGAGAAGGAGCTCTGAAACACAGCTAGAGCAGGGAAAACCTTATTAGGTGGTAAACTTCCTATTGTAGAGGTTGAGGACAGGCTATATGATTACTTGTTAGAGATATTATAGACAGTATTCCTGCTTTGGATGGAAGACTAGATCGATATATCTCTAAGGTCCCTTCTAACTCAGTATTTGACAAATTGCCTCTCTTAAATTGCAATCACATTGTTTTACCATCACTGAGACTCATGTTTCAATTTTCACTAAGAGGAGTTGAAGACCTGTGCATAAGCACTTGATGTTTTACTCTCAGAGATATCTCTACTCTTCCTTTCCCCAAATCTTTAAACAAGCTACTGCTGACAATTATAGCAGCCTACTAAGGAAAGATGATAGAAGTAAATATAGTAATTTGTTCTCATTTTTCTTCAGCAGATAGATAGAGATTCTAAATTTTAAGAAAATTGTGATTTTTATAAAGTCTTACCTTTCCATCTGGATGACCAATTTCTCCATGAATTTCTTCTTCTACTTCAGAATCAGAAACAGGGCATATGAGAGGTTCAAATATTTCATTGGGTATGAGCTAAAAAAAAAAAAAGAAAGAAAATAAGACTTTATCAGTAATCTAAAGAATATATAAAGTATCACACAGGAACGGAATAGGCATACACACATCCCCTTCCACCTACTGTGTGCCAGGCACCCTAAGCACTTCATATGTATCCCATTTGATCTTTTCTGGGATGTAGTACTGACATCTTCATTTTACAGGTGAAGAAACTGAGACAGATTAAACAACTTGCCCAGGGTCACACAGCTACAAAGTGTCTCTGAGGCCACATTTGAACTTGGGTCTTACCAATTCCAAATCCAGTGTGCTCTTATTCACTGCACCACGGAGCTGCCATATCACATTAAATTATGCTATATTATGCCAAGCCCCCCCAAAAACTGAGATAGTTTACAGATTAAAATTAACTGGGTTTACTATAAAATGATAGCATGTTAGGTTATAAGCACCAGATATATTTAACTACTTAATTAACTTTTTTGTGTGTCATAGACTTCTGTGGCAGTCTGAAGACGCCTGTGGACTCCTCAGAATGATGTTTTTAGATGTATAAAGTAAAATATATAGGATTAAAAAGAAAACTAATTGTATTGAAATATAGTCACCAAAATGTTTTAATAAAAAATTTTTAAAAGGTTAAGAACTCCTGACCTCCTAAGGGAAAGATTTAATATTACAGACACCATGACTATCTGTCTTTACAAGGAACTAAACCTCATAATCAACTGTACCTTTTAACCATCTCCACCCAAAAATTCAGTTTAATGCTTGAACTAGATCCTCTAGAAGTAAAGCTGTGATATGCGTCAAAGCTGGTTGAATAATGAGACTAGAACCAAGGTACACATATATTTCACCTGATAAATCAAGAGGGGAAGATGTCAACCACAGGAGACCCACACTGACTTGCTAAGTCCTACAGTTGTCAGCTGGGCAATCAGTGGATAGAGAGCTAGGCCCGGGCTCTAATCTGGCCTCAGACACTTACCAGCTGTGTGACCCTGGGCAAGTCCTTTAACTACTTTCTAAAATGAAGATAATAACAGTACCTACCTCCCAGAGTTGTGAAGATTGAATGAGATGATAATTGTAAAGTGCTTAGCATTGTGCTTGAACCACAGCAGGGCACTATATAAATGCTTAATCTCTCCCCCTGCAGTTGTCCCCAGGTTTGCTTAACATAAGAGCTGCAGAAGTTCCAAAGTTTGCCCAGAATAGACCTAACTCTAGTGCAGAGAAATCTACTAGCAAGCTCAGCTCTGGCACTGTTTGAAATTTCAGTACATTATTAGCATCCCAGCAAAAGAAAATGCAACTCATGGGTCCAAGGAGCAGATGCTCAAAACCAACTAGTTTTACCTTGATAATATGATTTCATGACAATGATTATGTTACCTTAGATTTACTAAAACAAAAGCCAAGGGTAATCCTGCAAAGGATGGTAAAGCATATCCCTGGTATCAATGGCATCATGTTAAAAATAAGCCCAAAGCCAGTGCTGCAAAGGCAAAGTGCATTCCGTGTCAAAGCTTTCCAGCTTCCAGAGGGGCTCTTCGATCAACTTCAGCTCCTGCCCGACCCACCTCACACCAACACCTTTTGACCAAGCTCCCTCCTGCCACCTATACCTTCTTCCAAGGCCTCCCAGGACAACCTTGAAACATCTATTTGCCTCCCTCAAGGAACTTTTCACATCCACTGACACACTTCTTAAGGATTAGCATACTTCCAACCCATTTTGTTCTCCCTGTCTCCCATGATACTGAACTTACAGTTGCTGAATAAAACCATTTCTCCTACCCCAACTATTCTTTCTCTTATTCCCATCTACCTCAACCCTATTCCTTCGACATCTGCCCAACCCTTCCACTGTGCCCCCTGGAATACCTGTTCCATAATTTAACTTCTTTTTCCTTCTCACTCCTCCCATCTTTTGAAATTCACTGAGACCCAGCTGCCTCCTGATAACACTGCATCCCTGGCTGCCCTTTGCAACATTAGCTGTGCTTTTTCTCACACTTCATGTTAGGGAAGCCTGAATATTCGTTGCCATTGCCACTTCCAGAATTTACAACCATCAACTGGAATCCTCTCCTGTGTGGTTTACATTATCCACCTCCAGATCAAATGTAAAATCTTGTTTGGGGTTCAAAGTCCTTTATAACCTAGCCCCACTTTTCCATTCTTCTTACACTTTACACTCCAACCCACCCCATCCCCATGTACTCTGTGGTCCAGTGACCCAGGACACCTTGCAGTTCCCCTCCCAGTTCTGTGCATTTTCAACAACTGTTCTTCATGCACAGAATGCTTCCTCCTCATGTCTACCTTCTGGCTTCCTTCAAATCCAACTAAACTCTCACCTTCAACAGACTGCCCTTCCCAATCCTCCTTAATTCTAGTGCCTTCTCTCCGTTGATTATCTCCAATTTATCCTATAAATAGCATGTTGGTACACAGCTGTTTGTGTGCTGTCTCCTCCATTAGACTATGAGATTCTTGAGAGCAGAGCATTTCTTTTGCCTTTCTTTGCACTGCACACATTGGCAAAGTAGCAGCACAGAATAGGCACTAAATAAATATTTACTGAATGACTATCCAAATTTATCACCTACTATAAATCCTAGTGGTCATCCTTTCTTACTTCTCACTGAGTTCAGTGCCTGGCACACTGTCTTCCTATCCACCCCCAACTCCTGCTATCATCTTAGGACACTTCACCTTATCTACTGATGCTCCCTTAAATACTCTAACTTCCTAGTTCCTCAGTATGCTCATTTCCCTTGACTGACTCCTCCATTCCATCCTGGCTGCACAAAGAGAGGGCCACGTGTTCATTCCTCCCATCATCCATCAATATTCTATTTCTATGTTGATGAACTCTGAAATTCCTTTATTTGGTCGTACTCTTTTATCATTCCATCCTTCTCTATCACTAGTCATGCCTTGCAAAACCCCAACCTTGGATTACATTCCCTTTCTGCCTCCTTTGCTACTATCCTTGCACTACTGAATGGAGCTGGAAGAAGTCAAAAAATACTACACAGATGACTAAGTCCACTACAAATTTATGTTCTCTACCCTCAACAGGGCCTTCATGGTAGCAAGGTAATCATTCTAGTCCTATGATCAGTTCACAACCTGATATCCGATTAACTATTCCAAACCTTATCTCTCCTTAATTTCCTCATGGCACACTCTTATACCCTCTCAGGGCACAACCTTACCTCATTTCCTGAAAGGGAAAAAAACCAAACAGGGCCCTCTGTCAAGAGCTCTTCTTTCTTCCTCATTTCACATCCCTTTGACATCATTGCCCCCTTCATAAAGTCTGTCTCTGATGAAGATTAGGCCTTTCTTGCCAAAGCCAACCGTTCTACATTCACCCTTGAGCCCATCTACTCATCCATCTTCTCCAGTAGATCATCCTGTCATCCTCATGTTCTTGAATCTTCAATCTTTCCCTCTCTACTGGCTCCTTACCTTCTGCCTACAAACATGCTCATGTCTCCTTCTGTCCTCAAAAAACCCTCACATGACCCTATCATCCCAGCTAACTAACCCTTCTTCCCTTCTCTGTTAAACTTTTGATAAACTCATCTATACTATCTGCATTTCCTTTCCTCTAACTCTCCTGAAGTCTGCCACCGGGCTGCCAACCCCTTCATTCAACTGAAACTGCTCTCTACAAAGCTGCCAATGATCTCTCCATTGTCCAATCCAGTATTTCTAAATCCCCATCCTTCTTGAACTCTTTGCTGCATGTGACACTGTTCACCTCCTGCTGAATCCTCTCTTTGGCTTTTCTTGATCCTGCTTTCTCTTGTTTCTTCTCTTGTCTGAATAGTTCTTCTCAGTTGTCTTTGCTAGTTCTTCATCCTTGTCACAGCTCTAACTGCAGATGTCTCCCAATGTTCTGCCCTGATCCCTTTCCCCATCTACCTCAATAAATAATTATTTTTTCTCAGTTGCCCATTTTTTTTCTTTTAAAAAAAGTTATTTATTTTTCATATCCTTTTTTCTATCTTATGCAGAGAGCACACCTAATATACATAATGGGATATTTTGAAAATCTGTCGTGGCAATAGCTTTTGGATAGGTAATTTGATTAGTAAAATTACAATACAAAAAGGGTAAAAGGTTATAGGAAATTAGACATTTCTAAAGAAGCTTTAGAAAAATCTTGGATATTACAATTCTTTTCATCTTACAAGTTTTGCATACAAGTACCTTCACCAGTAAGGCACCTACAACAGTAATAGCAGTAATGAATTTGATGCAGCTTGGGGCTCATCTCCTAAGTGTTTGGTTTTTTTAAACCAGCAAAGCACATTTTAAATTGAGACATTTGCCACATATCATAATTAAGTTCCAAGCAAATAAGCACTTTTTTAAAGAATTTTAACTTTCATCAGTTGCCCACTTGTTAGCACTACTCGGGGGTTCTTGAAGAATCATGATTATAGCAGTGTCAAATAGCAGATCACATTCATATAACCCTTTTGAGGTTTGTCTCTATGCTATATCACTTAGTGACCTCATCACTTCCAGTGCATCTAGTTATCTCTATGCAAAGGATTCCCAGATATGTATATCCGGGTCTTTGACCTCCAAACTGGACATCTCAAATTTGCCATGTGCAGAGCAGAACTCATCTTTTTTCCCCAAAACCCTCTCCCCTCTGAACTTGGCTATTACGATTCAAAGTGCAGCTGTTCTCCTGGTTTCCCAGGTTCGTAGCCACTATATCCTCCTCATTCTTAGTCACCCCCCATATCCAGTGGGTTCACAAATCTTGTCATTTCTACCATCATGTAGAAATCTCTCATATACATTCCTTTCCCTCCATTCACAGAGACACCAAGTTAAGTTCAAGCTCTCATCACCTCTCCCTTGGACTATAGCAACAGTCTTCTAATTGGTCTTCCTGTCTCAAGTTTCTTCCCCACTTCAATCCATGCTCCAGTCAGCAAAGGTGTAGGTTTGACTATGTCCCTGGAGCTCAGTAAACTCCGGCGGCTCTTTATTACCTCCAAAATGAAATTTAAAGTCCTGTTTTAGGCATTTAAAGCTCTTCATGCCTGACCCCTTTCTTCCTTTCCAGGGTTTTCACACTTGACTTTCCCCACTGCCACCCCCCACTCAACTGTCTAGCAATATCTGCTTGATGTTCTTCTATCTCCCATCTCTGTTATCCCTTGTGCTTGGAATGCTCTCCCCCCTCATCTCTGCCTCTCGACATCCGTGGCTGCTCTCAAGACTCAGCTCAAAGGCCAGCTTTTCAAGGAGGCCTTCTCCGTTACCCCAGGCACCAAAGCATTCCTCTCTAAAATTACCTTCCTTTTCTTCTATATTTATTGTGTGCAGGCATTTATTTCCATGGTATCTTCCACATTAGGGTGTAACTTCCTTAAAGGTAGGGACCACTTTTGTATTTTTGCCTTGCTTTGCCCCAATGTACAATACTTGGAACATAGTAAGAACTCAAAAGAATGCTAGATTAATTAAAGCTAAATTTTTAAAATCCTCAGCAGAATCCTTTATTCACTTACCCACTTAATCACTTATCTCTTTAGCCACTAACTTTTTTTTTTTAAACTTTCAAGGCAGGTAGGGAAGGGGGTTAATTCCAACACCCGTTCATTTATATCTACATGCATTAAAATATTAAGCTACTACAAAATTCACCTGTCTTTTATCTGAATTACTTAGATCATGAACCGGTGCTGACTTTGGTCTCCGAGGCAGATTTCCTGTTTTTACCCAAAAAAAAAAAAGTTACATTAAAAATAAAGTTGGTAACATAAAAAAGTCTCCTTTCATTTAAAACAGGGTCATATAAAATATATGCACTTATTTTTTTAAGTCTTAAAATTAACTTCTCTGTCTTCATAGTGTGACATATTGGCTTAAACATCTTTAAAACTTTGGCGCCTGACACAGAATCAGATTTAGAGTTGAAATGGACCTCAGAGATCACATTTAAGATCCTCATTTAAGCTGAAGAAACTGAGGCCCAGACAGGTGGCCAACTATAAACTTATTTATGTAGTACAAGTGTTTAAAGATGATTCAGTTGTCAGAACATCAATTTACATCTAATTTACAAAACTGGCAAAAAGCCCCTCTTCAAAACTGCCTTTGTATAGCATAAAAGTAAAATTGTTAGGATGATAGCTTACATAAAGTTTGTAAACACCACACAGCACATGTCACTGAAAACAATAAAACTTCTTGGGAAACAGAGGTAACCAAAAATTCTTGTTTACACTGGGATAGATAACCCTGCTTAAATAACAACCTCTGGCAGAGGGATGGAGTTAGCCACCATGCAGCTTCACACGGTATCTAAGCCAGCTCTTTTTTAATGATGAAGACCAGTGCTTTTTGGTACCTCACATGATGCCCATCTGTATGGCTGTTTTTTTTTTCTTTCATGAGCTTCCACCTGAATTAAGCAATTTCACTTTTAAAAATTATTAGTTTATGAATTCTGTCTAGTTATGATGAAAAACTCCAAGTTGTAACCAGACCCAGACTGCAGCAAATGACACTTAGAAATTCATTTAAAGAAGAACTAAGGCTCTTTCCAAATGCATTTAAGCAATAGATCTTTTTGCAACCTGGCTGTTGACACTATTCTCCCTGCCTCTCCTGCAATGTCATAGGAATCTCACATAAAGAGGAAGTAATTATTCCAGGCTTAAAAACAAAGTATGAGAAAAACTTGATTCAGTGACTTTCCATCATAAAAAATGTTAAATTGGTTATATATTTTGCTAGAGTCAAGGTCATAAAATTTTAGGGTTGAAGTGGACTCTGGTGATAATTTAGTTCAAACCCCATCACTTTACAAATAAGAAACTGAAGCCTAAAGTGGTAAAAGAGCCTTGCATAAGGTCCCAGAGGTGGTATCAGATCCCAGATTCAAACCTTTGTCATCTTACTCTAAATCAAGTTCCCCTACACCCTCCTGTATTTGTGTCTCTTCTCCCCTATCTGACTATGAGCTGCATAAGGGTAGAGACTGGTTTTATCCGCTATATTCACCATAGCAACTAGCCTAATGCATTGCACACAGTAAGTTCTAAATAAATGTCTATCCGATAAATTTTGCTAAACTTCATCAAGGGTCCTTTTCAAATCCTGAAGTAGAACATGAACTATAACTGTCAATCCATACACAAGAGAACAAGGACAGGAACCAACTCTCCTGACTCTCAAACTGAGTCTACCTTGAAAGACTATTTTACCTTTAATGAATAATTTAATTTGTGATTTATTTGCCATTTAGTTAACTAGTAAATGTAAGAATGAGAAGAGGGCTTATGTCTGTAAAAAACTAAAGTACATGCAAAGTTGTCACCTTTCAAACGTTGCAGTTATAAAATCTGTCCCAGGTTCCCTCCTAGTCTAAATCTAGATGCTCTAGATGAAGCAGATGCATCCATTCATTTCTTTATGATACAAAATCTTCTTACAGAATCTACAAGTTAGAAGGGCTTTTGGTGACCACGTAGTCCAATCCATCCATATCTGAAAAAGGTAATACCTATCTGACAGGCAGTCACATAGCCTTCACTTGAAGGCCTCCAGTGAGGGTGAAATCATTTTCTCCCAAGGGAGTCCATTCCACTTTTGAATAGCTCTTATTGTTAGAAAGTTTTCCCTTACATCAAGCCTCTTTGTTGCTAGTCTGGCCCCCTGGGGGCAAGCAGAACAAATTGAATCTTTTTTCCAATGACAGTCCTTCAACTATTCGAAGGCACTTTACCTATCTTCACAAGTCTTCTCTTCTTCAGAAAAAAATCTCCAGTTATTTAAAATAATCTTCATATATAGCCCTTTGCCATCCTACTCTCTAGCTCATAAATTTCCTTCGTAAAATAAAGAACTGAAAACAAATTTCCACATGTGGTCAGTCTAGGACAGAATACAATAAGATGATGATCTTTCATTAGGCCTTAATCTGAATTTGATAAATTACACAGTAATAATAATAGCCAACAGTGATACAGCACTCACTGTGTGCCATGCACTGTGCTAAGTGTTATACAAATATCTCACTTGAGCCTCAGAACAAGCCTAGGAGGCAGGTGCTATCATTATACCCATTTTGCAGATTAGGAAATTGAGGCAAACACCGGTTAAGTGACTTGCCCAGGGTCACACAGCCAAAAAAAGTGTCTAAAAGGGCAGATTTAAACTCAGGTCTTCTTGACTTCAGGCCCAGCACTCTATCCACTACACCACCTAGCTCTGCCTCCATTCTTTTTTAAGAGATTTCAAAACTATAAAGAAAGCAGTGAAATCTACCAGTCACTATTACAGTAGAGGTCTGGTGATCAGGGCCAGAAAGATACATTTTTCTAGACTTATTCCATCTATTTAAAGTCCTCCAGGAATGCTTAGCTTGTCTCATTGGCCAATTAGCTATCCCCGCCTTGACTGAATCAAGGTTCGCACCTTGTTTTTTTTTGTTTTTTTCTTGTTTTTTTCACATTATGTTAAGAAATTACTAAGTATAAACCATCTTGTTAACACATTTAAAATTTCATCAAGTCGGGCAACTGATGGATTCAATTGAAGTGTGCAGGCCTCCTTGTGATTTCATGGATTGCTTCTTAATGGGACAAAAATTAAGATTTATGCCAAAGATTAGCATTTCTTATAAACTATATTTTGTGGAGCTCACAGCCAACCTTTGTGCTTTTCTGTTTGTATAGTTCATACACAATTTCTCCATGTAACAGATTCAGAGAACTATCTACATCACTAGAAAGTTGTCTTCTTAAAGATCTGACTCAAATCAGGCATCATGATTGTGTGTATTTAATCAGTTGATTATATTAGCATAATTAAAAGTATTTATCTATAGTCTCAGTCAAGTTAAGGGGAAGAGGGGATATTTGTTTTATTAACTGTAAATTTTTTTTTGTACCTATGCACATGGATAATTGGGTAAAATCAAGATGATTCAAGAAACAACAAGGAAAAGTGTTGAAACACACCTAGTTCAAGCCCCAAATCCTAAAAAGAAGAACAAGACGTTGCCTATATGGTGATCTCACTGCACAGTGTTATTATCAAATGGCTAAAAACAGTTCCATGCTTCCAGCAAAATTACAAAGCTATTTACCAACAGAATATAACAAAATTAAAAAAGAAGCTCTCAAATTCTCTAAGCAAAAAAATTTGAAGTAAAAAATAATGATATCAAAATTTTTTAAAATTGTTAAATCAGTCTTGTGGTACACTTCCAGTAGGCAATAAGAAACCATTTTAGAAGATTTTACTAAAAGGGAGCTGATGACATTTTGTTAAAGAAAACAGGTCCAGAAGAAAATAGTTTTAAAGAAATTTTAAAAAGAGCTAGGAAGAATAACAGAAGAACTCACAAACATTTGTAAATATGGATTTAGGCATTATTGATTTACACAGTATATATTTTGTCTATACATAGTTATTTGCACAATGTAATCCGCCATTATAATGTGAATTCCTTGAGGGCAGGGATTATTATTTTGCTTTTATTCATATCCCTGAGGCTTAGCACAGTGCCTAAACATGTAATAAATGCTTGATGACTGACAGGTTTTATTGTTATTAAAAGAATCCAAAGTCAAACTCAGACAAGAAGAAGGAGGAGAGTTTCAATGTTGTAAAAAATTTGAAAACTTAATTCATAAAATAGATCATTAACAGGTGAACACCTAACAGGTCATGATAAGTTTCTGCTAAGTTTTTTTTATAATATACACGTATGCTTATGGTGTACCCATAAACCATGTCATACCTCGTCCTGGTGAGTGATTTTTCTTGTATTTTTCCATCTGACTTGAAGATAAGTTCTGACTCTTCTGAAAGCCTAACAATGGATTCTGTAATCATATTACATATGGACACTTTAAGTAAAAAAGAAAAATGCTTATTTTTTTTAATGGTGAACAATCTGTGACAAAAATATTAGGCATCATGAAAAAAAAATTAGGCACCATTTTGTTCAGTTTGCTTTCAGAAGTCAATAGCAAATGTTTATTCCTACCAAAGGACCTGTTATAGTCAGATAAGTAATCCACTTGCAAAGAGGGAAATATTTTTTTAAAATAATACTAAAGTGACCCTGGGCAAGTCACTTAACCCCAACTGCCTCACCAAAAAGAAAAAAAAAAGTACTAAAGTAGTTTGATTTTTTTCCCCTACACAATATCCCAGAAAGGAGATTATTCACTCTATTAACAAATCTCTCAATTTGTACCTCTCAGTTTTAAGATTTAAACATGTCAATTAATTGATTTTTAAAATCTCATATCAGGCTCAACACAAAAAAACATACCTTCACAGTTTAACTACAGCTTATAATTAGCAATGTTGGAATCCAAAGTTTGTAACAATTAGAAAAATCTGTTTGTATTTGGATTAAATTCTGAATAATATATGTGATCAGTAAAAAATAACCATAAACTCACTGTAGACTCTTCTTTTTTCACAGAAATCAAGGGACGTTCATTCTTTAAGTTGTTTTCAATAGCTTCTGCTTTTTTCCAGGCTTCAAGTCGAAACCGTTCCATTATTTTTATCTCTTCCCGAAGGTCAGTATTCTCTTTAGCTAATGTTTCTATCTGGCTTTTAAGGCGACCATGTGTATTTGACCACTTTGTCTCCTTTCGCTTCAACTCTTCCTGTAAATCTGCTACTTGTTGTTTTAAAGCCTTCAAAAGAGAAGCAAGCATTCAGAAGTGCTCAATAAACTCAAATGACATTTTTTGTTATCAAGCTGCTATAGTATGACTAGATCCTAAGTGACATAGACATGCATATAAACAGACGGAGTATTTATTTACATCCAAGGAACTGTTAGGTATTGTGGGTACATACAAAAAGGTTTAGGACAAATGGTACCTGCCAGTCATGTGTTTGTAAGCTAGGTAGGGAGAGAAGACATACTGGTACAAAAAGTCTTGTATATATTAAATATCAAACCGTAGTGATATAGGAATTAAAGAAAAAAAAACACAAGAACACTTTTGACTGAGGAAAAAAAACCAAGTCTAAGTTGGCCCTGAAAGACTATGATCAGCAGATCAATAAGAGAAGAGATTTCAGGTAAGGGGAACAGTTTGAACAAAGGTCCACGAAGCAGAGTACAATATTCAGGGGCATAAAGAGTATATCAGTTTGGCTAGAGAAGCAGGATCCTGTAGAAACATTATGCAGTGTAAACTAGGAAAATTAAGTTGAAGCTAAGGCTTTGAATTCCAGGATAAAGAGTTTGGAGTTTGTCCTGCTGGCACTTAGGTTCTGAGTGAAGCAGTTATAAAATAAAAGGAAATTTTAAAAGAAAAATCTGGCAGCAGGACAGAGTTAGGAGATGGTGACAGGGAAAGGACCAGACATAGAGCAGTTCGAAGATTATTGCAACAGTCAAGTCATGAACTGTGGATGGTGACATGGGAAAGAAAAGGACAGACAGATACAGAAGACATGAAAAAAATTTGACTAGATTACTAATTAAATATAGTAGAATAGAAAAGATGGAAAATCAGTCCGCAAGCATTTATTAAGTACAAACTATGTACCAGACACTAGGAGCTGAAAAGACAGACAAAAATGAAGCAGTCCCCTACCCCTATCAAGGAGTTTACATTCTAATAGGGAAGACAGCAGGTACATAAATGTGTAGGTTCAAATTTTGGTGGGAAGGGCACTGGTGGGATAATCATAAAAAGCTTCAGTAAAGAAGGTAGCATGTGTGAAGAGTTTCAAGAGAAACAAGAAGTACAAGAAGTAGACAGCATTTCCAGGTATGGGGGACAGCCAGTAAAAGGCACAGAGATGGACAATGGCATACCATATGAGAACAGCCAGAAGGCCAGTTTGGCAGGACAGCTGAATGCAAGAACTGGAACAATGTATTCTAAAGCTGGAAACAGAGGCTTGAGCTAGGTTGTAAGGGGCTTTAAAAGCTAAACAGAGGGGTTTTATATTTGATCCCAGAGGCAACAAGAAGCTATTAAAATCCACTGAGTAAGCAAATAACATAACCAAAATTGCACATAAGAAAAAAAATCACTTGACAACTGTGTGGAGGAGGACACCTGAGGACAAAGAGACCAATTAGAAAGGTACTACGTTAGTTTAGGCAAAAGGTAATGAGGGCCTAAACCAAGGCTGTGTGAACAAAGAGAAGGAGACAGATACAAGAGATATTGTAGAAGTAGAAACGACAAGATTTGGCAACTAATTGGATATGTGGAATGACAAAGAACAAAGAATCAAGGATGACACCAAGGTTGCAAACCTGTGTGACTACAAGAGGGTGCTATAATCAACAAAAATAAGGAAGTCTGAAAGGGTAAGATTTGGGAAAAAGAAAAGTTCAGTTTGAGACACATAGAATTTGAGATGCATAAGGAATATCCATTTTGAAATACCCAATAGGTAATTGCAGATGTGCCACTGGACCTCACAAGAAAGACTACAGCTGGATTTGGGAGTGATCTGCATAGAGACAATAATTAAATCTATGGGAACCAAGTGAGATAATGTACAAAACAGAATTAGAACTCAGGACAGAGCCTTTGAGGTACATCCACAATTAGGGGCATAACATGGATGATAAACCAGAAGAGAAGACTTGAATTTCAAGCCTGAATGCACTTGAAGAGAAAAACAATTAACATTAATCCAAATAAAGAAGTCATAGGATTATCAATGTAGAGCTGAAAGAGATTTCATAGGATCATCTATTCCAACCTTTTCATTTTACAGATGAAGAAACTGAGGCCGAGGATGGTGAAATGACCTGTGTCAGTGAAGTAGCAGAGGTCAGAATTTAATCCAGTCCTGTAACTTTAGAGCCATTATTCTTTTTCTCTATAAAGAAGATATGACTGAGAATATTACCATATTTAACTCAGGCTTTGGTATTATTTTCTATTATATAGACATACAAATGTGTTTAAAAAATGTATACTCACACACACATATATATATGTGTATAGATCTATATTTATCTTGTGTATTATATACACACATATATACATATACACATATATGTTCTCAGTTTACAGATGAGGAACTGAGGCAGAGAAATGTTAACTGACTTGTGTAAGGCATACAGATAGTAGGTGTCTAAGGCTGGATTTGAACTCATGTCTTCCAAATTCCAGTTTTGATGATCTATTGTGCCCTCTTGTTACCTTATAAAAGAACATATGGGTGGAACAGAAATTCAAGTTTTAGATAGAATTTGAGCTGATGATACAAAATCTACATAAAAATGTGCAATGGACAGTTGAATGTGGAACTGGAGCTTGAGAATAAAGCCAAGACTAAAGGGCAGAGGAAAGAAAATGTTCCCAAATCTAATATATTTCAAGTTAGCAGATAAATATGAAAGGAATTTTTTTAATCTAATTAATAAGAAACTATATTCAGTGAAAACTATTACTGTCTTCTGTTATAAAAAACTATTGCCTTAAATGATATTATAAAAAAGCCCAAGACACAAGCATTATATGCAATTAAAACTCTGCTTTTTAATAATCTCCTTCCAGAAACACTGATACTTCAAAAAAAATCCATTATTTCAACTAGCATCTATATTCCATCCACTGATTCACAACTGCTTTACCACCTCAACAGACTATCATTTGGACTGCCATAGCCAAAAAAGTTCATCACCTGGTATTTAACATTTTGGTGATGTGACTACTCAACGTTTGGCTACATTGGTCATCAGAAGTCAGACACACAGTCAATATATCACTTGGCGCATATCTGAAGGCTTTCCAACCTTCTAGGACCTTTCAAAGTTTATGCTCCACTGGCATATCTAAAAGGATCAATGGTCAACCCCATGCACAGTAACAGAACTCCAATGGAAAATGTTTTTAATTAAAAATAATACCAAAGCCTGAGTTAAATATGGTAATATTCTCAGTCACATCAGATATACATAAGAGGTCAGAATTAAGATATTAAATAACTAAGCTAGAGCTTGATAACAGTTGCACAATGAGAATCAAATGAACCAATTCTTATTTTAGTGTACATGTTATCTAATCTGCAGCTATGACATCTTCCTGGCTTTTATACAGAAGAATATCATATTTATCTAGTTAGTGCTAGAGATAATTATTAATTATTTTTATAAGTACCATATTGCACTAAGTATGTTTAGTTAGAATTCTGACATCATACTTACAAAACACTTAAAATTATTGAGATTAGCAAATGAATCCTATGTTGTAGATCCATAACAAAAATTCTATAACAATACATTACTGACATTTTCTGATTATTGGTCTATCAGTACAACTTCTAGCAGTTTGCATAGCTCATATGTTTGTTCCACAAAGAGCTCTCCTACCTGAATTTCTTCACGTTCCTTTCTATCTGGAATTGCTCTTACAGTTGTAGTGTACTTTTCAAAAACTCTGCGTTCTTTTTGTAACTTTCGCATCTCCTCCTTTTTAAACTCTTCAATTCGAGCCAATTCTTTTGCTTTCTGCTGTTCAAAGTCTGCAATCTCCTTTCTAAATTAATTAAATACAAAGACATCTTATCACCTAGAATAAATATCCAATAGAGTAATCCAAATGTCAAATCAATAAGGAATTTTCAATGTTAAAATCAGAGAACTAACATGAGACAAACATTATGTGAATATGGTAACATTCTCGGTTATATCAGATATTGTAAGAGACCAGAATTAGGATATTAAATAACTGAGCTGCAGTTAATGATAACAGGTATCACACAAAGCTGACATATTTTCTCTGGATAGTCTCTGAACTTCTAATTCATGACTATTAACTCTACAACATAACCAAGTGAATAAGGCAATGCAACTTCTAGTTTTTGCTTGCCTATGTAAACTTATATTAGGCAAGGAATGAGACTACCTGGGTCTCATTCTAGCTTTGTTTGTGTAACTTTGAAGAAGTCATTTTTTCTCATTTAGCCTTAGTTTCTTCAACTTCAAAATGAGCTATAAGGATCCTCCCTGCTCTAAAACTGTGTGTGTATATATACACACACACACATATAATTTTATCTCTATGATGTCTCTTAACTTTATATTGTCTCCTACTCAAAACAAAAGTTAAAGAATGGGGCTAGAAATGTATAGTCATTCTTCAAGATGGAGTCATAACATAATGACCTTTAGTTTGCTAGCCAATCAAACGTGTATTTTATTCTTAAATGAAAAGTGTAGCAAAGATGCCTTTTTAAAATAGCAACTTCCCAGGTTATAAGATTTAACAGTATTTTGGGGCTTGATCTGCCTCTAGTTTGTCCATTGATGCTAGAACCCAGCATCTGTCCATAAGCTGGTTCTGAGAAAGCAAGTTTATACAGGCTTGTTTTATATACACCTGCTATCCCCTGTCCAATACTGAATCTGCCATTCCAAATTGAGCCACTCCACTATATGGGGAAGCAAGAACACAAGAAGCCTGCCCCACTAATTTACCTAGTTCCCTGCCCTTTAAGCCCTGTTTCTCCTACTGTATTATCTCAAAGCCTATCCCCCTCTCTCCAATCCAAACAACCACACTCCTACTTTAGTTCTCATTACCTTTCACCTAGATCATTGCAATAACTTAATAATACTGGGGATTCTGTCTATCCTACACATTGCTACCAGATTAATCTTTCTAAAGATGTCACCTACCAGTTCAAAACCTTCAGTGACTCACCACCACTTAATGAATCCAAATTCAAAGCCCTCCATGAATCCATCCATATATTCTTTTATAAGGCAACAAGAGGGCATGACAGAGCATCAAAACCGGAATTTGGAAGACATGAGTTCAAATCCAGCCTTAGATACCTACTATCTGTGTGCCTTACACAAGTCAGTTAACATCTGTCTGCCTCAGTTCCTCATCTGTAAAATGGGAAGATAAATGTGTATATATAATATACAAGAGAGAGATCAACACACACATATATGTGTGTGTGTGTGTTTGTGTGAGTATACATTTTTTAAACACGTTTGTGTGTCTTTATCTCTAGCGTTTGTCTCCCAAACTACAGTCTTGCATCACCAAATGCCTTCTGGACATCTAAACCTGATTTATCATCTTTCCTAACTGTGAGTATCTCTTAAGATCCTTCCCTGGACTCTCTTCCCTACTTAGTGATCTCATCACCTCCCACGGGTTATCATCTCTATTGCAGAGGATTGCCAAATCTATATATCCAACCACAGTCTCTCTTCTCAGCTCCAAACTCATATCTTCATCTACTTATTAGACATTTCATTCTGTATGTCTCACTGGCATCTGAAATTCACATGTCCAAAACCTTTCCATTTTCTGAACTTCCCTATTACTGTTGAAGGTACCACCATCTTCTCATCTGACCTCAATGTTATCCTCAGCTTACCTCTCACTCATCCCACTTATCCAATCCACCAAATCTTATCATTTCTACCTCTGCAACATCTATGTATATCCCTTTCTCTTCACTCACTATGCAGCAAGGCACCTTAATACAGGCCCCTATCACCCATCTCACCTGGAATGTCGAAATAGTCTTCTGACCTCATCTGCTCCCTATTCCAATCTATCCTCCATTCAGCTGCTAAAGGGGTCATCAACTGAGGGGCCCAGGAAGAAGAAATCCAGAGCCAAGAGTATTCTGATTCCTTCTCTAGGATTAGTCACTTAATAAGCATTTACTGAGTGCCTATTATGTTGCAGACACCGTACTAAGTGTAAAGTAACTAAGAAAGGCAAAAAACAGTCCCCCTACCCTTAAGGAGCCCATAATCTAATGGGGAAGAGAACATACAAACAACCACATACAAACAAGCTATAAACAGGATAAAGTGAAAATAACCAACTGACGGAAGGCACTAGAAAATTAAGGGAGGATCAGAAAAAGCTTGCTTTAGAAGGAGGGATTTTAGCTGGGTCTTAAAGCCAGTAAGTGGAGATGAGGAAGGAGAACATTCCAGATGTGGGGTAGAGCCAGTGAAAATGCCAGGGGTCAGGAAGTGGGATATCTTGTTTAAGGAACACAAGGCCAGGGTTACTGGATTGCAGAGTATATGGGGAAGGGAAAGGAGGAGAAAAGGAATAAGAAGACTAGAAAGAGTGTTTGAGGGAGAGTCAGTATATATGTTGAAGTCCCCTAGTATCAGGGCAGGAGATGAGGAGGTGAGAAAGACTGAGCCAAGCACTAAACTCATTGAAAAAAGAAGAGGACTGTCCCTGAAGTTGGTAGAAAACAGCTACCAGAATTTTGACTGAATGACAGGTACTGATCAAGTGAACCCTAAGGAGGAAAAGAGGTAGAGTCATTCAACAAACACTTATTAAGAGCCTACCGACTTCTGGGGGCAAAGCCAAGATGGCAGAGTACAGAAACACTCTGCTGAGCTCTCTCAACATTCCCCTCCAAACTTTAAAATAATGCCACAATTCAAATTCTGGAGTGGCAGAGCCTAAAGGTCAGAGTGGGACATTCTGCAAAGCCAAGCAGGACAGATTAGAAACAGAGATCTGTGACACCTGGGAAGAGACTGTCCAGGAGCCCAGGTGAATGAAACCAATGGTAGGATTAGGTTGTGGTGACAGAAAGCAGCAGCCTCAGGAGCTCTCAAGCCAGAGACAGTAAAGGAACCTGGCACCTGGTCAAAAAGAGATTATAGAGTACTCCTGTGCAAACACTGGATACAGGAACAGATGCTGTTTGGCAACTCCATTGTCTATACCAACTTCTGAGTCGTAGGTTGAAGGAAGAGAGGAGTACTTTTGGTCAAGAGGAAGTAGAAGCCCTGAGGGGTTCAAAAAGGAAAAAAATATTTACATACTCAATTGGTAATAGAAATCTATCTTATCCAATAGTTCCCTGTTGTAGGAGGCGAAAGAGATGAGAGAAAGATGGTGTGTGATAAAAGGGAAGGCAGATAAAAGAAGAAACAAAACAGACTTTAGAAGAGGGACAGGATAAAAAGAGAGAAGGATAAACAGAAGAAAATAGGATGAGGGAAATGTACAATTAGTAATCATAACTGTGAATAAGATAAACTCACCCATAAACCAGAAGTGGACAGTAGAAAAGATTAGAAACTAGAAATCCAACAATATGTTGTATTGTTGTATACAAGAAACCACTTGAAAAGGTCACACAAAATTAAAGGACTGAATCTATTCTGCTTCAACTGAAATGAAGAAGACAGGGGTAGCAATTATGATCTCAAAGCAAAAGCAAAAATAGAACTAATTAAAAAGAATAAGCAGAGAAACTAAATCTTCCTAAAAGGAACCATAGATCATGATGTAATATCAACACTAAACATATATGCAACAAATGTCATCCATAGCATCCAGATTCTTAAAGGGAAAGTTAAATGAATTACAGGAGGAAATAGTAAAACTATACTAATGGGGGACCTCAACTTTCCCCTCTCAAAGCTAGACAAATCTAACCATAAAATAAATTAAAAAAGAAGTCAAGGAGATGAATAAAATTTAGAAAAGTTAGATATAATAGATCTCTGGAGAAAAATGAATGGGAATAGAAAGAAATATATCTTTTTCTCATCTGTACATGACACCTTCACAAAAACTGACCACGTATTAGGGCATAAAAACCTCATAACCAAATACAGAAAAGCAGAAATATTAAGTGCACCCTTTTCAAACCACAATGCAATAAAAAATTACATTTAGTAAAGGGACATGGAAACAGATTAAAACTAAGAAACTAGGGGCAGCTAGGTGGCGCAGGAGATAGAGCACCGGGCCTGGATTCAGGAGGACCTGAGTTCAAATTTGACCTCAGACACATAACACTTACTAGCTGTGTGACCCTGGGCAAGTCACTTAATCCCACTGCCCAAAAACAAAAACAAAAAACTTAGAAACTAAATAATGTAATCCTAAAGAATGAGGGCTCAAAGAACAAAACACAGAAACAATCATTTCATTTAAGAAGACAACAACGAGACAACATTCCAACATTTGTGGGATGCAGCCAAAGTAGTACATAGGGAAAAATTTTATCTCTAAATGCATACATCCATAAAAGAGAACAGAACAATGAGTTAGTTATGCAACTAAAAAAACTAGAAAAAGAACAAATTAAAAATCCCCAATTAAACACCGAAATGGAAATCCTGAAAATCAAAGGAGAGAGTCATAAAAGTGAATTTTTTTTTAAAACACTGAATTAATAAATAAAAGTAGGAGCTGGTTTTATGAAAAACAACAACAACAAAACAGATAAACCATTTTAATTTTCTTTAAAAAGGGAAGAAAACCGGGGGCGGCTAGGGGGCACAGTGGATAAAGCACCAGCCCTAGAGTCAGGAGGACCTGAGTTTAAATCCAGCCTCAAACACTTTACACTTTTTAGCTGCCTGACCCTGGGCAAGTCACTTAACCTTGACTCCCTCACCAAAAGTTAAAAAAAAAATTAAAAAAAAGAAAACCAAATTACCAGCATCAAAAATGAAAAGGGTGAATGTACCCCAATGAAGTGAAAATTGAAGCAATTATTAGGAGTTATTTTGCCCAATTATTATATGTAAATAAAACTGACATTCTAAGTGAAATGGATGAATATTTGCAAAAATGTAAACTGCCCAGATTAATAGAAGAGGAAACAGAATTTTTAAATAACCCTATCTTACAAAAAGAAATTGAACAAGCCATCAATGAACTCCCTAAGAAAAAATCCCCAGGACCAAATGGATTCACAAATGAATTCTACCAAACATTTAAGGAACAACCAATTCCAATACTATATAAAGTATTTGAAAAAATAAGTAAAGGAGGAATCCTATCAAATGCCTTTTATGACACAAATATGGTTTTGATACCCAAACCAGAAAGAGCAAAAACAGAGAAGGAAAACTATAGACCAATTTCTTTAATGAGTATCAATGCAAAAATTTAAGGAGGTTACAACAATATATCCTGAAGATCATCCATTACGACAAGGTGGAATTTATACCAGGAATGCAGGGTTGTTCAATATTAGGAAATCAGCAAAATTGACCATATCAATTACAGTAACAACAAAAATGATACGATCATATCAATAGATGTAGAAAATGCCTTTGACAAAATGCAACACCTATTCCTATTAAAAATACTAGAAAGCATAGGAATCAATGGAGCCTTTCTTAAAATATTAAGTAAATCAAGAACAAACTACTCGTAATTGGGATAAACTTGATGCCTCCCTCATTAAGATCAGAAGTGAAGCAAAGGTCAAGAATATTAAGGGCATCAATGAAAAAAAAAATGTGAAGAAAGGCAGCCTGTATCATAAAGCAGTAATCATCAAAACAATCTGGTACTGGCTAAGAAATTGAATGGTGAATCAGTGGAATAAATTAGGTACACAATACAAAGCAATAAATCTCCATAGTAATCTAATGTTTGATAAACCCAAAGATCTAAGCTTTTGGAGTAAGAACTCAACATTTGACAAAAATTTGGGGGGAAACTGGAAAGCAGTTTAGCAGAAACTAGGCACAGACCAAAATTCACACATTATACAAAGATAAGGTCAAAATGGATAAATGACTTAAGACATAAAGAGTGATATCATAAGTAAATTAGGGGAATATAGAAAAATGTACCTATCAGATCTATGGATAAGGGAAGAGCTTATGACCAAACCAGAAACAGGAAATAAAATAGAAAATTTTGATTACGTGAAATTAAAAAGCTTTCCTAAAAACAAAACTAAGGCAGTCAAAATTAGAAAGAAAACAGGAAACTAGGGAAAAATTTTTTGCAGCAAGTTTCTTTTCTTAAATATATAGGAAACTGAGCCAAATTTATTAGGGGAAAAAAAAAACAAGAGTGCCATTCCCCAGTTGATAAATGGTCAAAGAACATGAACAGACAGTTTTCAGAAAAAAGAAATCAAAGCTATCAATAATCACATGAAAAAATTATCTAATTCACTACTGATCTGAGAAATGCAAATTTAAAAAGCTACGAGATACTAACTCACACCTATCAGATTGGCTAACATGACAGATGAGGAAAATGACAAATGCTGGTAGGGATATGGAAAAATTGAGACACTAATACACTCTTGGTAGAACTGGGAACTAGTCCAAACATACTCCAGAACAATTTGGAGCTATATAAAACTGTACATACCCTTTGACCCAGCAATACCACTACTAGGTCTGTATCCCAAAGAGATCAAAGAAAGGGGAAAGGACCTATTTGTACAAAAATACTTATAGCAACTCTTTTTGGTGTGGTAAAGAATTAAAAATCAAGGGGATGCCAATCAATTGGGGAATGGCTGAACAAGTTGTGTTATATGATTGTGATAGAATATGAATCTGTTATAAGAAAAAGTGAGCAGGATAGTTTCAGAAAAAACCTGGGAAACTATACTACCTCATGCAAAGTGAAGTTAGCAGAACCAGGAGAATATTTTACACAGTAACAGGAATATTAATAGGATGATCAACTGTGAAAGACTGAGCTATTCTGATCAAGACAATAATCCAAGAGAATTCCAAAGAACCCAGGAGGGAAAATGCTGTACACCTCTAGAGGAAGAACTGATGAACTCTGCAGATTGAACCATACTTTTTTACACTTCCTTTATTTTTTTTATTTTGTGTTTTCTTTTGCAATATGGCTAATATGTTAATATGTTTTGCATGAATTCACTTGTAAAATCAAAATCAAATTGCTTATCTTCTCAAGGAGGGAGAAGAGAGAGCAGGATGTTTTCAGAAAAGCCTGGAAAGACTTATAAGACTTACATGAATTGATGCAAAGGGAGCAAAATCAGAACACTGCATATAGTAACAATAATATTGTATGATGATCAATTGTGATGATTTAACTATTCTCAGCAATAGAGTGATGTAAAACAATTTCGAAGAACTTATGATGAAAAATGTAATCCACCTACAGAGAAAGAACTGATGGAGTCTGAATGCAGACTGAAGCATACTTTTTTTACTTTATTATTCTTGTTTTGTTTGGTCTGCATTTTCCTTTGCAACATGACTAATATGGAAATGTTTTACATGACTGCACATGCATAATCTATATAAAATGGCTTGCCTTCTCAAGGACGGAGGAAGAGAAAAAGGGAGGGAGAGAATTTGGAACTCAAAATTTTAAAAGTTAAAAACTTTTGTTTACATGTAACTGAGAAAAATGAAATAAAAATTAAGTGTAAAAAAAGACATTCATAATTTTCACTCTAATAATACAAAAAAAGCTTGCCAACTACATACATTTTTTATGATTAGGAAATCACTTTACAGACTATAGCACATTAATATCTGCCCCTAGTATAATATAAGTTCTCTGAGAGGTGGAGATCATTGTGTTATCTTGTGCACAGTACCTGGCACAGAGTTAATGTAAAGATGAATACTGTATACATACTGACATAAAGAATGCTGAATAAGATGAAGAATATGCAGAAATGTGATTATGTCTATAAAATAATGCCCAATAATAAAGCAGCACTGGAAAGAATGTATAGATACAGAATACAACTATACAAATATAATCTGTTACTGTAAAATCAGAAGATCTGAAAGAATTAAGAATGGGTTATGTTGCCACTGAAAACTATATATATTTACTTTTTCTGTAAAGCTGATTAAACATCTAGGTAGAGCAGTGGACAAAGCTCTAGGCCTGGAGTCAGAAAGACTTGAATTTCAAATCCTACATCAGGCATTCATTAGCTATGTGATCCTGGGCAAGTCACTTAACCTCTGTCTCAGTTTCTTCATCTATAAAATGGAGATAATAATAGCACCAACCTTCCAGATTCATTGTTACAATCAAATGAGATAACTGTAAAGTGTTTAGTCCAGTGCCTGACACTTAGTAAACATCATTATAAACATTGGCTGTTAAGGGGTAGGTACTTTTCAATCTTTATGCTATAAGTTAAACAATGAATCCTAAGAGGCCAGAACACCAATTCCAGGTATTATGTGAGCCCAGATTATAACCTGTACATCTTTGGTGAGGTGGTACCTCGACAGTACGTTACATGGGAGAATGCAATCAAAAAATTTTTTTCAAATTGATGACACATCAGTGAAAGGAAAGCTTGGGATTTCAAATATCTGACCCTTTCCTTTCATAAGAAAGTAAGATTAAATATTAAAAATCCTCAACAAGTACTAAACATAGCCATTGCCCAAAGTGAAAAACCAAATTATCACTAGATCCTTATGGAGAAATCTCTATGCTTTTGTTGGCCACCAAGCATTCAGCAGTATTCCAAGATTTAATTGCTTTTAAGTATGTTCCTAGTGAAAATAACACGAACTACCCTTAGTCAATGCATCACATTCTGATTACACTCTAGAAATTCACAAACTTACCTGAGATTCTCTAAGGCACTTTCTCTTTCATTGCGGAGTTTAGCTAATGATGCATTTTCAGCTTTAAATCTTTCAATTTCTGTTTCCAACTCAACAACTTTGTCTCTTAAAATCTGAGAGCGAACACTATCACCTACAACATATTAAATAGTATGAATGCTGAATTGTGATTAGAAAGCCTATAGTAATATCTTGCCATTATTAAATGATGACAATGGGTAGGCACTTTAAAGCTAAAACGACTTACAAGCTCTGCTACAGTTAATAAAAATAATAAAAATTGGCTTAATTTCCCTAAAGAAAGTACCTAAGGTCTAAATATAAAAAGAAACATATTACTCCACCTCAGAATGTAAAAAATGCTATCATAAATCACCCACACTGTTGTGGGTACTAAAGTTATATACAGTCAAAATAATGATTTAATGTTGTAGGCAAACAGGACTCTCCTATCTCTGTCTCCCTCTCTCTCTCTCATACACACACACAAAAAAAAACACACATACTCATCTCTCAAATTTGCTGTACAAAGGCAAAAATCTTTAGAAAGCTGGAATTCATGTTCCTCCAGGGTGAGAATGCTGGTGAAATACAATTACATATGTAAGTATTCCTTCAGACTTTCCCTTTGTGGCAAAAACTGGAAGTTGAAAAGTATTAGAATATCATTGGGTTACATAGGAATGAATACCGACACATGGAATTAGAAAAGTAAAAAGCTACGTCTTTCCACTCTTGTTTTCTTCTAAACCCTTTTACTAGACTATCTCAATGTTTGGATAAGATCTACTAAATAAATTTCCTTCCACTATGCTCCTGGAGCATTTTCTTGATACCTTACTACATCTGACACTGTCCTGTAGTGATCTGTACCTATGTATGTCTCCTCCTGGACAGTAAGCTCCACAGGAGTCCAGATTATAACTTGTACAGCTTTGGTGCGGTGATACCTCGACAGTACTTTACATGGGAGTATGCAATCAAAAAATGTTTTTCAAATTGATGATACATCAGGGAAAGGAAAGCTTGGGATTTCAAATATCTGATCTCACAGAATAAATTTAGGCTTTATGGCATTTTGATAAATCTTTAGTTTCTTATAATATTAAGACTTACCAAGTGGTTGTTCTTGGCTTTTATTTAATTCGGATTCAGATGCTAAGTGTGAGCCTGACCTAGGTTTAGGCTTCAGGGAAGGAAAGAGTTTCATCATCAGATCAGAAGTAGGAGGAGGACTTATACTCTTAGTGCATTTATATAAATCATCTGCTTTCTTTATGGGTGCAACCTTCCTTTTTATTGTTTTGTCCAAATTAACTATTTCAGTTTTACTGCAATAGTCCATCAATGGAAGCCCATTAACATCTTCATTCCCAAGTATGTCATGTTTACTTTCATTTTCTTCAAGGTCAGTCCATGTTCTCTCATCATCAAAGTCAATTTTGTTAGTATTTGTACATGACGCCCTTCTTGAAGCCTCAGGAACTTCATCATTCGTGCTTTCTACCACAATGGATTCATCACTACTGTCATCTTTATCTGACAAATCCAGATCAATATCCCTGCTTTTACCCTCCCTCCTAGTGTCTCTGAAAGGCCCTTTACCATTATCTTTCTCTGGATTATCTTCTCTGCTGTTGCTGAAAAACTTTCTAGTATCTTCATCTGTTGCTTTTATGGTGGTATCCAGCTGCTCTTCAGAGTCACTGCTGACAGCACTGTTCCCAACATCTTCATCCTCACTTACATTCCATTTAATTTGATTCTCAGAAGTACTAGTTTGAAATGCTTTTATGCTGAGTTTGCTGGTCTGTTCCTTCAAATTAAGAGGTAATGCTTTCGATTCAAGATGTTTTGTTATTTCACATATATTCTTATCATCTTGTTTAATATAGTCCAATTTTTTATTTTGGTTATGTGGAGTAACAATATCTGTTATATTTGTTTTCACTTGCTGCCCTGATTTGACAGGGGTAGAAGACATTCTGTGATCTTTGCTAGTCTGCTGGTCTCTTTCTAGTATTTTTAATACAAATGAGGAATTACTAGAGAATGATATTTCATCAGCAGCCTGTTCCAAGAACAAAAATTCATCTAACTCCAAGTTTTCCTTTTCTTTTTCCTTTTCCCAATTGTCTAATTTCTTCTGAAATGAAATTTCAAAAGAAAATTCTGGATCTTTTACAATATGACCCATCGAGCTTTGAGATACCAAGGTGGGATGGGTCAGCTCTGTAGAAATAAGAGGCTTTTCCATGCATTGCAGCTTATTTCTGACTTTGCAACCAATTTCAAAGGGTTTTGTACACTCTGGTATATTTTCCTTATTAGGGTCTAACTTACTGTTTTTTTCTAATTTTATCTGATCTCTAAACTGCCCATCGAATTTCTTCCCAATTTGTATTTTCATTTTTGATGGAGAAATAATTTTTCCATTATTACTCCTAAGTACTTTTGACTTCTGAGAAATTGCAGTAGAACTGGTCTTGGTTCTAACTTGATTACTTTTTTTCATCTCTGTAACTAGTTCCTTATTTACAAGGGCAGTTTTCCGCTGCATTTGTTGTCTGTCTGCTTTAAATACAGATTGTTCTTCTGGCATGCTTTGATGAATCATTAATTTACTCTCTTTTGATTTCCAAAATTTAGATTTAGCATTAGTAAACCTAGCTAGGCCTTCTCCTCGTTTTAAGAATGGTCGTTTTGGTATTGCTTTAGTTAGCAATGATATTTCTGCTTCCTAAAAATAAAAAAAAAATTTTCATTAGTTACTTATATTACTGAATAATAATCAAGTTACTTTTAAAGCAAGTTATATAATGATGAATTTTTAAAGGTTTGAGATATTTTAATCAAAACATCTGAAATGCTAACCTGTAGCTGCCTTTGTTTCAGTTCCTGTTCTTCTATCTGAATCTGTTCCTCCAAGAATTCTTCATATGTCTGTTTCCTTTCTCTAATAGCAGCTTTAATTGGCCTAATAATGAAAATAAAATTATGATGCAAATAAATCCTGATGGTAAAACATTTAACATTAAGTGCCACATTAAAATTTCTAAGAACCAGAAGTTTTAAATTTTAAAAGGTTATTTACTATTTAATAAACTATTTTAAGAAACAAAATCTAATAAATCTGATACAGTAATATTCTAATACAATAGATCACAATGAGTCCATATAATACATTATACCCTTAGAAATATAAAAAAAAAATCACTTCAAGGTGAACATTTTAACAGTGTGGTCAGAATTGTTTAATCATCCATCCTGTTAGGATGCATAGCTAGATTAGTCAATTAAAATTGGAAAATGCTACCAAATATGTGAATTTTTATACTTCTGCTTTTCCTTTTCCAAAATGGATTTTGTCTAAGATTTGTGACAGAAATTGTATATCTAAGATTATTTAATCTAGGCACTCTTCTCAAGTAAAAAACTGACCATACTATACTATGTTATTTGCATAATGCCAAAACTACCAAATTTGCCATCTCCTTCACAAGCTAATCATAAGCATCATTTCATACTCAACCTTATGCCAAAAAGCAAAATCAAATAAGAGAAAATAGCATCATTAGATGTCCTTGTTGCAATATTCCACACAACTAACTGCCTCCCTCTAAAGGGCTCCAGTGACACCACTCTCACATGCTTCTCCTCCCACCTATCTGAACACTCCTTGTCATTCTTCTTTATAAGTTCATCATCTTCTCCTAAGTGTCCTGTCTGGTGCCCTCTTCTCTTTTTCTATTCCCTCTCCCTTGACAGTATCACTTGGTTCAAAGAGTTCAGTTATCACCTTTATACATAATAAAATCAATATAGCTAGTCGTAATCTGTCCCTACACTACAGTCCCACAGCTCTAACTGCCCTCTGGAGCTCTCCAGATATTCTGCCAGCACTTTAAACTCACACTCGTTTAACACTGAATGAACTGCTCATGTGCTGTGACTCTCTCCCCAGTTCCCTATTTCTGTTGATGGCACCATGAACCTCTCAAGTCTCTCAGAATTTTTTTGTTGTGCTTGTCATCTATTTATTCTGTTTTGGCTGAGTTATTCTCAAGATATCTAAAGACTCTAGAGCTGAGGTTAACCAGGATTTATGAACAGATTTTAGGGAGTCGAGTCAACTTGGATGGGAACAAAATTACGTTTTTATTTTCTCTAGCCTCTAACTGAAATTTAGTATTTCCTACAATTATGAATTTTTTTAAAAAAACAACATCCTGGGGAGGGAAGACTTCAACAGATTGCCAGTAGAGTCTGTGACACAAAAAAGGTTACGAACCCCTGCTTTAGAAAATGATAATAGTAACAATAACAATAACCAACCACCATTTGTAGAGCACTATGAAGTCTGCAAAGTCTTGAGAACACGTTTCTCACTTTTACCTGCCAACAACCCTGTGGGACTGGAGGGATGCCTCTCATTTCAGGAACGCTTTATTGTTAATGATGCCTAATTACAGACTCCTCAGCACTGACTTAGCCAGGGAAACTATAGCTCCTACTAAAATTCCAGATAAGGAACTTTTCTTTTGCAGTTATGCGGATAAAACGACAGAGAAAATATTATGTTGATAGATTAGTACCTGGAAAAGGGCTAGCCATCCATTTTCATAGTTGTTATTTCAGGAATCTGAATCTGCTAGGCAGCAGTAAAAAAGAAAGAGAACTGTACTTAAAGTCAAAAGATCTGGACTCAAAGGCTGTCCCATTCAACCCTGGGTCAATCTTTTACTGTATGAGTATAATGGAGAGAATCATACTTGTACTATTTATCTCATAGGGAGGGAAGACAGTATCTCGGCTTAGCCACTTAATAACTGTATGATCTTGGTCAAGTCCCTCTCCCGTAAGAATCAGTTTCCCCATTTATATGGAAAGCCAGTCCATCCAGACCTGAAATCTCAATCATCTTCCCTCTCCCTTACTTGCCATATCTTCTCATTTCTACACTGATAACATCTAACTGCATCCACCTAATCAATAAGCACTTATGGAGTGACTACTAAATACTAAGCACTATGTAAAACCCTGAGGTTGCAAACACAAGGAATGAAAAAATCCTAATCTCAAGGCACTTCCAAGGAAAATTACCAGTACACATCTAAGTAGAGACAGAATAACTAGGAAGTAGTTAAATACAAGGTAACGCGGGAAGAAGGGAGGGAAAGAGGGCACTGGCAGCCGGGGAGGATCAGGAAAAGTTTCATGTAGAAGGGGGTGCTTGACCTGTACCTTAAAGAGAGAGATTGTGGGAAACAGAAGCAAGAAAGTATATTATTCCAGGCATAGAGGACAGCCATTACAAAGGCCAATCTGGCTAGATCACCGAGTGCAGGAGGATGTAAAATGTCCAATAAGGAACTGGAAGGGACCATAGATTGGGACCATGTTGTAAAGAGTTTCAAAAGCTAAATAGTAGAATTCATTTATCATCCTAGAGCACCACTACAGTTGAATGAATAAGGGAGGGACATAGTTGGGTCTATACTTAGGGGAAAATACTTTAGCAGCAGAGTGAAAAATAGCCTGGAGGCAAAGAAAGCAGCTAGGAGGCCTTTGCAATAATCTAGGCAAGAAGTACTGAAATACGGAATCATGGTGGTGGCCATGTGAGTGGAGTGATGCTGTGAAAGGAGGAATGGTAAGATCTGTCAGCTGATGACTGGTGAGACTGGGTGACCAGGTGAGGGAGAGGGAGGAGTTAAATTTCCTGACAAGATGACATTGCAGGATGACTGGCAGAATGGTGGCACCTTCAACAGGGAGATGCTCTGCTTTGGTCAGGTTGGGTTTGAGATGCCTCTGGAGCATCCAGTTTGAAGTGTCCAATAAACAAGCAATAATGCAAGACTGAAGATAATGAGAGTGACTGGGGGAAGAAGACAGATCTAGGAGTCCTCAACCTAGACATGACAGTTAAATCTATGGGAGCTAATGAGGTCACCAAGCCAGAGAGAATAGAGAGGAAAAAGGGCCCAGGACACATTCATAGTTAAAGGTTGTGGTACAGATGATTAGCCAGCAAAAGAGAATGAGAAAGAAAAGTCACAAGAGGAAGAGAACCAAGAGGGAACAGTGTCACAGACACCCAGAGAGAAGACAGTAGCCAAGAGAAGAGGGGATTCAACAGCGTCAACTATAGCTAACTCTAACTATATAACTAACTGTAGGTCAAGAAAGCTGAGAAAATACTACCAGAATTGGTAACTAAAAAATCATTGTAACACTAGAGAGTAGTTTCAGTTTAATTATGAGGTCAAAATCTAGATTGCAAAGAACTGAGGAGACAGTGAGAAGAGAGGAAATAGAGGTAATAAGTGCAGACATCTATCTCTACTCTCTACTCTAGCCTCCCAACTGGTTTCCCTACCTCCAGTCTTTTTCCTCTCCAAGTCATCTTTCAGACCATCTTCATTCCTCCACTCAAAAGTCTTCTGAAGTTCTCATGGCCTAGAGAAGTGGTCACCAAAGTGAGGGCTATGTAATGGCTCCAAGGGGTGAGTGATCAACAAGAGGGTGGGAATGTGGGTTACAATTCATCCTCCCCTGCCATAGCCAATAATGGATTTGTGTCTTACACAATACCGTGACTCTCTTCAATACTCCTTCCCACAGCTGACCTGTGGCTTCACTGGGTCTGGACTCCTCAGGGTAGACAAGATGAAATCTAATCCAGCCCAAGAGACTAAAAAAGCTGCATAGGATAATTTCTAACACCACTCTCCCTAGTAATCCCACACCCAGTTTCTCCAGATCACCACAGCAGTCAGGCTTCATGTTCCAGAACAGGGAACAGTAAGCCCCTTCCAACCCTCTCCCCACACTTACCCTCCCCACACACACTTCTCATTTTTCCATGGAAAATAGTAAGCCAGGATATTTAAATATGGCTGGATTGTAATTGTATTATCTTTCCCCAAGATGCTGTCACTCATCTGAATGTCTCTATTTCTGGGGGGAAGAGGAGGGAAACACCACTACCTATCTTCCCAAGTACTCTCCCAGGATCTCAACCCCCTTATCCTTAACTCCCCACCCAAATGAAAGTTCTCTCTCCAAAGTTATCGGTGATCTCTTGATTGTCAAATCTAATGTCCTTTTCTTAATTCTCATCCTTTTAACAATGCCTCTCTGCTGCATTTAGACACAATTGGCCACCCTCTCCTCTCTATGTTGCTGTGACACTGCTTTCTCCCTTTATTTTGCTAGCTGTCTGACCACACCTTTGTGGGATCATCATTCATATCACATTCCCTAACCTTGGGTGTTCATCAAGCCTCTGTCCTGGTCTCTCACCTGGTACAAGCTCTAACTTGGTAACTTCATCAACTCCTGTAGCTTTTCTCATCATCTTTATGCAGTTCTGTGTAACCAGCTTGACTCTCTCCTGAACTCTAGTCCCATATTACAAATTGCCTATTTGACATTCTGACCTGGAGATGCCAAAGGCATCTCCAACTCAACTTATCTAAAACACAACTCACTACTCTTGTCCCAAAACTCAACTGTCTACCAAACTTCTACATTTCTAAGGAGCATACCAACAACCTTATCATTCTCCTTGACATCCAACCTTCCCTCACCCCACATAACTAGTCAGGTGTGAAATCCTGTCATTTCCATCTCTACAACATCTTTCACATCTCCATCTCGCTGCCTTTACAGTGTTGTGACTATATCACCTCCTAGCTGGGCTATTTCAATAATCTCCTTCTTGATTTCTCTGTCTCAAATTTGTCCCCCTCCAATTCATTTTCCGCACAGCTGCCAAAACGTTGTGTTTTTTTTTTTAAGTGCAGGTCTGACCATGTTACTTCTCTATTCAATAAGACTACAGTGGCTCCCTTGTTACTCTAGTATAAAGTGTCATCACATCCATTTTTAAGTTTTACAAGGGACATAATTATTAATATGTTTGTAAATATAAATAATATATAAGTAAATACATAACTGGGGTGCGTGCACAAACTTTTTTTTTTTGCTAATGAAGTACATGATCAAAAAAGTCCCAGCCCAGAGATAAGCTACAAAGTCCTTATTCTAAAATTTAAGTTCTTCCACAATTGAACCCTACCATTCTGCCTTATTTTCACACTACTTACCTTTACAGTTTATGTACTAACCAAACTACACTACCAATTGTTCCCAGAACTTTAACTGCCATCTCCCATGGGTCAGACATTTACACAGGCAATCCTGCCCCACCACCCCCATACTTAAAATATAATCCCTCCATATGTCCAACTTTTTCTCTTCCTTCAAGACTCAATTTAATTATAACTTCTTCTTGATAGCCCTTTCCTAGTAGCTCAGGTAAAAGTGCTCTCTCCCAAGCTCTTATGATACTCTACCTGGCATTATACTTATGTTTGTGGATTTTATTCCTCCAATTAAATAAGTATTACTTTTTAATCTCTGCATACCCGGCATAATGCCTTATACAAAGTAGGTACATACTAAATGCTTTTTAATTGAACATATTTTTCATGATTAAGTAAAAGGATTCTCCACCACTTAGCAAATAACTCATATTCAATTATAGTACCTTGTTACAAATAAAAACACATGTAATATCTGTGTTAATCAACATAGATACCTTTCTTCAATACTAGACACTGCTAACAATTTTCTTCCATTGTTAATATCAGAGGAATCACCAGGTTTTTTTGAGTTTGTAACCTCTTTCCCTTCTGGTAACTGTTCTGTCATTTTCTCCCAACATGGTAGTATACTTTCCCCTACGATATGAATTGGGAAATATTTAGTTGGAGATATGCAAACTGTCACAAACTTTCAAATTCAAATAAAACCAAAATAAAGGGTCTTAAAACTCTAGAATTGTACAAAATATTCAGGTATAGAAGAGTGGTACACTGGAAACATGCTTGGCCCAAAAGCAGAACACCAGTGGATTCAGGCCACAAATCAAACCAAAAAAGAAATCACATAATACCTGTACCAAAGAAACAAGAATTCTCAAGGTTTTAGTAATAGCATGTCAGTTTGCAAAATGATTTCACGTATATCATCTCATGTGATCCTAACAAGTATTAAAGTTAATGCAAGACATGACAAAACCAAAGTTCAGAGATCTTAACTGATTCTTTGGAAAACATATAGCTAGTAAGGAGCAGAGCTAGGCCTAGAGTTAAATCCTGTCAGCACCTACTCTAATAATCTTTCCACTCTACCACACTGTCCTATTCTTATGTGGTTAAAAGAAAAAAAAAACAATTACATACCCTCAAACTGTGTCTATCCTCTCCTAAGTGAGCTTAGAAATTTTTGCCTCACTTGGAAAACCCTGTACTACACAGAGGGTTTAAAATCGTCGTCTGTTAGAAATGCTAGTGGTAAAGTCACAAAACCTGTGGCCAGTTCTATGGCCAGCCCAAATTCAGTGACTATAGCATACTGGACCTTGCTACTGTAATCAAATCTACTGTGAATATTTGACTGTGTGTGAGTGTGAGTGTGTGTGTGTGTGTGTGTGTGTGCATGCACACATCCACATGAGAGTGGAGGAGGAACAGGAAGGGGAGAGATGGACAGACAGACAAGGGAGGGCAGCAGGTGGGAAAACAAAAGTATTAGAAAAGAATTCTATCACAGAGTAGCCCACTGGCATTTCTACACATAAATATAAAACGAGATTCAGAATACTATTTAGATAAAAGGCACTAATTTCAAAAGATAGCTCACCTGTAATATTTTTATTTTCTTCTTTCAAATCATTCTGTGTTTTTACACCTGCTTCTAAACATTGTGCCTCATGAAAAAAGTCTGGAGAAGTACTACCACCTTTTGAAGATAAGAGACATTCCTTACTCATAGTTCCACATGGATTAATTTCTCTTTCTTGTACAGAACCACAAGGTAAAATTTCAGGAGCATGAGTGTTTTCTCTGGTTTGATTGTGGTACATATGTGACAAGAATGGCATGGTTTTGTGTACAGTAGTAGAATTCATGGAAGTTCCATATCTGGTGCTCTGATCTTCAGATAGTAAAGTCAAGCCTTAAGAAGAAAACAAAAGTAAAATTAATATTTTATGAAAAATCTTCTCATTTTACTAATCTACTCCTACTATCCTGTCCCTTCCACCCATCTCCCTGCCCCCAAAATGAAATAACAGTAATAAAGTAACATTTTAATAAAATAAGCTATGTGCAATAATGCTGGCATTTTGAACACAAAGTTCTATGTGATTTTAATTAGGGATATATTTGCTAGTACTCACATTCAGGAAAAATAAGCATTATTTAATAATGAGGTATATTTTTTCCAGCAGCACATCTTTGAAAATGCATTTAGTTCTGTATACTCAATCATTTCTCGATGCAGCAAAGAATGCTCCATTTAAGAATACCCCCAAAATTCCTAATTCTATGCTTTTGAGGATTCAAAAGATATATATGGCTTACTAAAGATTCTCTACAAGAGCCATATTAGTAACTCAGGTACATGTCAAATCAACACAAGGCAAACTTTATCACAACCTCTTCCTGAACTACTGGGATCCCCACTACTTTCCCAATTTACCCCACATGCATCTGGAAGTCAGAGTGAGAGATGCTCTAAACCTAAAGGTAATACTACCAATCACAAATGTGTCCTACTCACTTTATGACCTGCATTATTTATAGAATCTCAAAGTTGGGATTTTTAAAGGTCAAATAGCCTGACCTCATGGCTAATGCAGCAATTTTTGATAATCCAGTTTCTTCCAGAATAATTCAAGTGGCGAAGAGTTTACACAATTTTTACACAATTGCAAGACAGCTCTATTCGTTAGGAAATTCTTCCTTACTATGAGCAAGAATCTGCTTTCCTATCATTTTTACCCATTAGTTTTAGTTGCCCTCAAGGAAAACCTACGTTTAAGCTATTTTGATATCCGTTCATACAGCTGAGCCACTATTATATCTCACCTAAGTCTTCTCCAAACTAAACATTCCCATTTTACTTAATTGTTCTAAACACAGATTGGTTTCCAGATCTCTCTTTCCTGGTTACCTTCTGCTAGACATTATACAACGTATTACAGTGAAGTTATTTAACTTCTTTATTACAGATTCTCTATGTCTATCATTCATTAAAACTTACAACATAAAAACTGTCAGAATACAATTCTTAGTGCCCTTCTGCAGCTGAACAAAGAGAACCCGGATTCTAGTCTATTATTTTTATTGCCAGGGTACCCATCTGTATCCATGAAAAAAGGATGCTGATAACCTTTTATCAAAACACTATAATGGAAAGAAAATCAGGAACATAAAGTATTTTTGTAAACTGAGTCACATATATGACTGCTCTGTTACCTGAGGGTGTCTGCTGCCCAGACACCATAGTCAGAAGTTTCTCTTGCTCTTCCAAGAGCCTCTGGATCTGTTCTAATTGCTGCTTCTTCAGTTCCTCCTGCTTCTTCTGTTGGACTTCTTTGAGCTTTTCAAATACATTTTTTGGTTCAATTAACCTGATGTTTCTTCACCAAGCCCTGTTGACTCTTCTTCAGTCCTCTTCTATTCCTTCCCAAACCTCCCCATTCTCAGGAAAAAGACTTTAAAAAAGGGTTCATCAAGTATGTTTAAGTGTGCCTCTGTCATTTTAGAAACAAAGCAACAACTTGACAATGTAACTAACACACCAAAATCTACTATTCTCTTATTGCTAAAATTGTCTAAGTACAGAGGAGCCCACTTATCTTTTAATTATTTTCCATGTTATAATACAGTTTTTGCCAACTTTTCTTTAATCTGTCTTAAATTTTTGTCTTAAGAATTCTAATTTTTTTAATTCTTTCTATTTATAGAATCATAGTGGCACTGGTCATCAGAGCTAAAAAGAATATTAATGATAACTGAATTCATTCCCTTCATTTTGCAGATTAGGAAACCGAGAGCCAGAGAGATGAAGCAATTTGCACATAAGTGCTATAGGTTTGTACTGGACCCATACCATACCCTTTGGAACCCAAAACACCTATCTTTGGGAAAGTCCATGGCAACAATCTTTCCTTTGAATAAATCAATCTAGACTATACAGGTAGGAAGCTTATGACCTTGTCCTGAGTAGCATCATGTTGCAATCATTTAAGCTACTGGCCCAAAGCTAGCAAGTCAAAATAATTAGGAAAGATCTAATATCCCTTGGTACAATGACTCTCTCTAATAGTTGAGTGTTTATTCCAAGTATAAAGAGAGAAAAACAAAATAACTGATGTTACAAATTACTAATTTTTTGTAACGGCTATTTACGTGTGTTCTGAAAGGGGATAGAGATTTTCTATTAATGAATAGTGACCCTGGCTCATGATAAAACTTGCTATCCACCTCCAAATATAGAAGTGATGAACTGAGAGCAAATTGAAGTGATTTTTTTTTAGACATGGGTAATGTAGGAATTTATTTTGTTTGATCTATATATGTAACAAGTTTTGTTTTTTCTCAATGGGGAGGGGAGAGGAAATGGAGAGAATTCAGAACTGAAAATAAAATAAAATTTAAAAAAAAAGAAAAAAGTAAACAATGACCCCGTAATTTTAATACTCTTTGTAGTTTAAAAAAAAGGACCCTTAAATTTGGGGGGAGGAATTACATTTAAAAAACTATGTACACAAAACCTATAATAATCCATACATCTGTCCAAATACTTTGTTTACCTGCTCAAGTTTCTTGAAAAGTGGATCTCTATAAGCTGCTTCTTTGGCATCACCCACATTAGGTTCAATATCAATTCTGGTATTTTCCCAGTGGCCCAGAGCCTTTTTAGTGTGAGGAAAGACTGCATGTGTTTCATTTGTATCTGACTGCACTCTGTAAGGGCTTTTAGAATCCAATATCTGTTCTTCATGAAGTGAGTCGTCACTTAGAAAACTGCAGTTGTCTGAAAATTCCGTGCTTTTAACAGTAAAACTGGAGGAAGTATTTGCCTTTGATTGATTCTCTCTCCCTGTTTCCAAATTAGGAAATCCACGATTCAGTATCACACCAGCACGGGAAGGATTGGACATCCACTGAGCTAAAAAATTTTGCCCACTATTTAATTCTGAAGAAGTGGGCATCAGGAAAATTGTAATCTGAAACACTAACAAGTTAAAATAGTGCCAAAGCTCTTGTAGCACACAGCTGTTACATCTGACTGTTGATATTCAATACCTGCAGAGAGAAAAACATCAATTAAAGCCGTTACAATAGAAAGCATCTAGCCCCATCATATGCTTGTTGAAATCCTTCTCTTCAAAATAAGATTTTGATGGGCAGATAGATGGCGCAATGGATAAAGCACTGGTCCTGGATTCATACTAGCTGTGTGACCCTGGGCAAGTCACTTCCCCTCATTGCGACCCTCCACCCCCAAAATTTGTAAACTTTGATAGACTTAGCTCTTCTCAGCAATGCAAGGATCTAAGACATCTTCAAAAGTCTTATTGATGGGCAGCTTGGTGGCACAGTAGATAGAGCTCCACCCTTGCAGTCAGGAGGACCTGAGTTCAAATCCAGTCTCAGACACTTGACACTTACTAGCTGTGTGACCCTGGGCAAGTCACTTAACCCCAACTGCCTCACCAAAAATGCAAAAAAGCAAAAATTTAAAAAAGTCTCATGATGGAAAATGCTATCCACATCCAGAGAAAGAATTATAGAGCTTGAATGCAGATCGAAGCATACTATTTGTCATTTTTTTCTTCTGTTTTTTTTTGTTTCCTCTTTCTTGTGGTTTCTCCTATTGGTTCTAATTCTTCCTTACAACATGACTGATGTGAAAATATGTTTAATACAAATGTACATGTAAAGCCTATACCAGATTGTGCGCCGTCTTGGGGAGGGAGGGCTCAAAAGCTTATGGAAGTGATTGTTGACAAATCAAAATAAATTAATAAAAAAATTTAAAAAAAAACAAAATAGGGTTTTGGTACCATCTACTTCACGAAGCCTTACTCTGAACTCCCAGCTAAAAGAACTACTTCTGGAAAAGCTTATCCCTTTTGTTTGACCACTCCTACAAATATTTCCCATTCCTACTTGTATAATAGTTACCTGGGTACAAATTTTTCCCCCCTTCGAATACTAGACTATGACTTCCTTGAGCTGGCGACAGTTTTTCCATCTTTCAACCCCCAGTAATTCTTACAGTACCTTGCACATAATATTCACATGATAATATTTGCATAATTTAATCTATCAGATGCTCCAACAAATTAAATTGAATATTCTCCTGAAACTGCAAACCGTTATGAAAGACAATTCTATAAAACAATAGTATGTATGCACATGCATATATATGCGTATCTAGTACATACACACACACACATACACACCCATATCAATCCATTTGGAACTGGAACTGCAATCCATTATGAAAGACAACACTATAAAACAACAGTAGGCATGGATATATGTATATTATATAGATCTGTGTATATATATTATACAGATATGATTTGGATATAGTATATAGATATATAGCATAAATATGTGTGGTACATATATGTATACATATATACATATATATCCATAGTATATATAGACATATAGATGAAGATATACATATGTATGTATGTACACACACACACTCCCCTCCACAAAGTCCTATTCTGAATATATATAACATGGAGACAACCCAACTGTCAGCAGAGTACAAATCTGCAGGTTCTACCATGATAGAAAGGCTTCAAACATGGTTCTAGCAATGAGGTTCAGTTTAGCTAAGTATGAAGAGATTCATCGACTTTGTTGAAAAATTCTTTGTCCATGGCAGCCCATAAAATAAAGAAAAATACAAAATGACCCTCACTTCTGTACAGCTCTCTTCTGATTTTTCCAGTGACTATGAGAAGAATACTGAAAACAGGAGCAGCTGGTGCTACAAATCAAACAATGATTAGCCCATCTGTGAAAATTAACTTAGCTGCTGGTATTCTAAATATGAGAACAAGTTATCCTTGTCTGATGACCAAAGACTGCACATTCTACTAAAGGAACTGAATTGCATCAATATTGACATTCTCATTGTAAATGAAACCAGAAGACAAAAGTTGCAGCTAAACAGAGGGTGGCTCACAGGATTGTAGAGACAAATAAAGGAGTTTTCAGGGTTGGTTTTATTGTGTACCCAAAGCTATAAGAAATGTCATTTCATAGGACACTAGGTCATTTCATTTCAAAAAGCCAACAATAAAAATAACTAGCTTATATACCAACTTCTACTATACAGAATAAAGGGCTAGAGACATTTTATGAAGAATTCATTCAGAACTTCCAAGGTAATTCAATATATTCTTTGATCTTGGGTGACTGATACAAAGGTGAGTACAGTAGAGAACAGCAAAAAAATGTAGAAAAATAAAGTTCAGGGGTAAGAAATAGGTCAAAGACTTGTAGACTACAAACAAGCCTTATACCTATACATCACAAATACTTTGAGAAAAGAACTGGAAACACTGGACATGTTGAGCACTGAAAAAAAAAATACTTAAATGCTTAAATTAAAAAACATAACTGATGTTTTAAAGATAAAAAACAACTTTTTACTGAAGTGGGAATCATTCCCAAATAAGCAATGTATAGTCAGGGGCCAATTTATATTAAGGTAGTTTAAAAAAAGAGAAGCATACATTTGGTACCAAGAATAATAAACTAATATTATTTATGTCTAGCATTCCTTGAAAGCTGCCCCTGTTAAGATGAACTTTAAAATATGTACATGTCACAAATACATCATGACATTTAAAGTAAATAGAATAGCTTAAAAAACTCATAGGGAAGTACTGTACTACTATGTAGCAACAACATTCATTATGTTAAAACCTGCATCCTTTTAACATCACTCACACACAAAAAAAAATCAGCCTTTAATATGTAATTAATTAAAAGTATCCAACCACAGCTATGATACTGATTTTTCATTAAAAATAAACTTTAAAATGGCATTGAAATGGCCACATGAAAACAAGTATTAAAAGCAAAAGGTTAGGATGAGAAACAACTTGAAAATTGTTTTGCGACATTCAGAAGCAGAACAGTATCCTTACTTGGCGGACACGAGTTCCAGAGGAAGAAGCTATTTCCATCTTTGAACCACCTCTTCCTTCCAGAAGCCTTTCCTGATCCTTCCTTATTCCTCCCCCGGAGCAAATTACCTTGCATTTGTTTTTTATATCCCGATATATTGATCTCCCCCTTAACAAAATTTAAGCTTTTTAAGGTCAGGGGCTTTTATTTATGTCTTTGTACTCCCAGTGCCTAGCACACAGAAGACGCTTAATAAATGTTTATTTGATTTTCCCACAGTTTTGCTCTAGAAATGTACTTTCAGTTCACTGTTTCATGACTCTAATCCTACAAAGTTAATTACTTCATGCAATTATGTTGAAGTAATTTGTTTCACTTGTATAGATTATTTGCTGGGGGGGGCATGGAGCAAGATATCTATTTTAACTGGAGAAATGGCCAGTTTGGCATTGTGATGATTCAGGATGTATCATATTGATATTAAAAGGAACGGAAACAAATTTACAGAAGACAAAGGAGCACTACCACGGGCACCCCTACCCCCCAAAAAGGGTGTCATGAGAACCCCAGCGCATCTGAGGAAAAGAACCTTTAAGCAACCTTAAAAAAAAAAAGCCACAGTCATGTTGGTGTCATCTCACCAATCTCACAAACTTCTACCAACATCACAACATCTTCAAAGTCTACTAAACGGTGCAGAAAAATTAGATTGCTGGTTTGAAAAATGATTAATCTTTTTCTTTTCTTTCCCCTCTGAAACCGATCACGATTCCACGACCATCAGCATCAAAGCACAGAAAGTGACCAACAGCGACTTTAAAGAGGGAAGGGTTCCTGAAGGGGGCTTAAAGCAGAAACTCTCTAAAGCCCCCCAGAAGCCGGACCCTCATCTCACTACATCGAAAAGCATCCCGAGCAAGCTGCACAAGGCGGGGGCTCAGTGGGGAGGACGCCCCCGGCTTCCCCGGGCCCCGAACTGGACAACCAGACAGCGGCCTTCCTCCCACCCCCACCCTCCGGCCCTCCCGCAGAGCAGCCCCTGGGCACCAAAACACCGCCGGGCTCACACCCTCGAGGACAGAACTGGTTTTCCCCCAGCCTCAAGCATCCGGAAGCCGATCCGGATCGCCACCCGCGGCCCCCAGTTACCGCTCTCGGGTACTCCAGTTCCTCAGTCCTCCTTCCAACCCGCGCCACAGCCGCCGCCACCTCCAGCGCCTCCCTCTCCATTTACAAATGAGCCACCGCCTCCGCTGGAGCCCCGCCTCCAACCCCGCCAGGGCCCCACCAACCGGGGCCCTGAGGCATCTGGGAAATGTAGTCCAACTGTGCCTTCAGTGTCCTTGGCGCAGGGAGCCGAGGATGAGTTACGAACTACAAGCCCCAGGAGACACCCCTGGGAGGGACGTTACTGGTCCTTGACTGGGTCGCGGAGCTTCTTCCGCTGGTGCTGGAAAGGGAGGCGGGAGTGGAGGCGGGGAGGAGGGGTGAGGCGAGGTTGGCTTCTGGGGGTGTGGTCCCTTCCCTTTACCTGAGTGAGAACTGTTTCTAGAAACAAACTTTCGTAGTAGAAATTTGCTTTTAGCAGCTTCCTGTTCTAAACACCCAAACACTGTCCGGAGAACTAGGAAGCAACCAACCCTGAAGCTATGGGGCCGGATGTGTGTAACCTGGGCAGGGCCAGCCGCTCTCCTGGAGCTGACGATCTATAGGATAATAACTGACGTTTCTACAATGCTGTAAAGTGTCCAAAGCACCTCCATATATGTTATCTCATTACAGCCCCATAATGAGACTGTGAGGTAAGCGCTGCAGGTACTACCCCCATTTTAGAGATTAGGAAACTGAGGCCCAGAGAGTAAGGAAGAGAACTGTCCATGTTAATAGAGCCAGTGTCCCAGGAGGGGTTCTTCCTGACCCTGTCCTTCGGACTATTCTTCCCCTTCTGAAAGCAATAGTCAACAAGGATTTATTAAGCGTTGCGCTAAACTCAGGGGAATACAAATACAAGCAAAAAGATAGTCCTCCTCCCTCAAGGAGCTTACATTCTAATTGGGAAGGTGCAAAACTCTCAAGGATTTTGTTGTTTTAATTGGTGGTGTTTTTGCTTTAGGTCCATTTTGGTAAAGTCTGTCGGTTTGGTTTGGGTGGGGCTTTCTGTTGTTGATTTGTTTTGCTAAGGAGGGCGCCTTTTTGTTTGGTTGAAGACTGGGCTTTGTTCCGTAAGGGCAGACGAGCCTTCTAAGATTTCCCAAGGAGTAGGTATATATCTAAAAATTCACTCCAAAAATAGCTGTATGACAAGTAGTTAAAGTTAGCCCTGCCCACCCAGTTCTTAGGTTATCTTATCAACTCCCATGCTTTCATCTGTCATCACCATGAGGATGATTCTCAGTTTTGTCCAGCCCTAACCTCTGTCCTGACCTCCACTCTCACATTTCCAACTGTCCACTGGACATTTTGAACAGGATGTGTTGTAGACATCATAAACTCAACCTACCCAAAACCGAACTCATTATCTTTCCCCTAAAACCTCCCCTCTTCCGAACTTCCCTATTACTGTGAAGGGTACCTCTCTCTTCTTAACTTCTCTATATTACCATCCGCCACCCAGTCTCACAACCTAGGTGTCATCTTCAACTCCTCACTCTCATATCCAATCAGTTGTCACGTCCTGTGTTTTTATGTTCACAACATCTCTCATAAATGCTCTCTTCTTTCCTTTGGCACTGCCACTCTGGCACAGGCTTCATCACCTAACACCTGGACTATTGCAGTAGCCTGCTGGTTGGTATCCCTGCTTCAGGTTTCTCCCCACACCAGTCCGTCCTCCATTCAGCTGCCAAAACGATCTTCCTAAATTACAAGTCTGACCATGCCGACTCCTTATTTAAATGACTCCAGTGGCTCTCTGTTGCCTCCAAGATCAAACATAAAACCCTTTGGCTTCTAAAGCCCTCCATAACCAGGACCCTTCTACCTTTCCAGTCTTCTTACTCCTTCTAACCTTATGCTCCCAGGGACTTTGCAACCAGCCACACTAGCCTTGCCATCATTATTCCTCACATAAGACAGTCCATTTCCCAACTCCGGGGATTTTCACTGGTTCCCCTATGCCTAGAACTCTCTCCCATGGACTAAATTTTAATCCCACCTCTAACACTTGCTCCTTTTGTAACCCTGGGCAAGTCATTTTATCTGGCCCTGAGGTCTCTTCCAGCTGTTAAATCTGATTTATGACCTACAAACCTCTCAGCCCCAGCAAAGGAGAGCATTTGTCTGAAGAATTAAAACTCTAGGGTGTATGTTTTTTATGTTCCATCGGGAGGGATTAATTTACTAGGTCCTCTGTTGCCCCACCTCTGCCACCCCTTCTCAGCAGAGTGGCATGGGGGGTTGGGGGGTGGAGCCTGCTCCCACGCCCCCGCCCCTTTCCATTCTCTAGTGTAGGCCAGCTGACCCGAGTTTTGTGGGAGAGGAAAAGAAGTGTTTCTGAGCTTCTGGGCGTTTTCTTTCGGTTTTGAGGTTGTCTTTTTCTTGTTCGGTAGCACAGTCTAGAGTTTGGAACCAGAAGAGTCTCGGATCTAGAGGCACAAATCCCTCTGCCAGGTATGTATGAGCCCATTTCTCAGTTCCGTTTGACCTGTCCTTTCCCTGAGCTCAACGTCAGCCTTGTCTTGCCTTCCAGCTACTGCTCTGCTCTTCTCTCCTTTCCCACGGTGCTTTTGCTTCTCCTTATGCTCCATGTCAGCTGGCTTTAAACTACCACCTCTTCCCCTGATTGATTGTGTTTTAAGTTCAGGTGGTAGGTTATTGTTATCTTTTAAATGCACCATATGCTTGAGGTCACTTGGTTCTTAAGTGGTTTCTCTTTAAGAAGATCTCTAAGTTCCCAAGTGGTATAATTTAAGTGGTATAATCGTTTATTTTTATTTTATTTTCAAATGGTTAGGTAGGATTTTGAGGAAAAAGGAAAGGAAGAGTTTGGAGTTGACGTGAATATGGAAATAACCAGACTGCATGTGTCACCTGCCTCGTTATTCTTTAAGATATTTCAGGGACAGCTAGGTGGCACAATGAATAGAGCTACAGGCCCTGGAGTCAGGAGGATCCAAGTTCAAATGTGACCTCAGACACTTGACACTTGTTAGCTGTGTGGGCAAGTCACTTAACCCCATTGCCTAGCCTCCCCCCAAAAAAATTCAGTTTTGAAGTTTGAGGAGACCTGAAGAGAAGTAGGATGTTTAATTTTAGTGTTTGTTGAGTATCCATTGCTGGGAATATAATGTAAACTGCGTGTCCACTATAATCTTATGTATGTGTGTACACACATACATACGTGTATACATATGTGTGTATACATTTATGTATACAACATGTGTCCTTCTATAGAAATCTATATATGTATACAGATAGGGGAGTGGTTGGATTAGAAACAGGGGTAGGGAACTTGTGGCCTCCAGGCCCTTTGACTGAATACAAACTTCACAGAACAAATCTAGAGGTTCCCTACCCATTACAAGGTTCCCTTCAGCTCTAAAGTGTTATGGGTTTGTTTGGTTAGTTTTTTTCATTATTAGTTGCCTGTTTTAGAAGTGATTCTGAAACTACAATGTGGGTCAAGATAGCCATAGTTCCCTGACTCCTCTGACTGTTAGATATCAGGTAAAGTTTTTATTGTGGGAGGGTAACCAAGGGAGTGTCTTGATGAATAAGAGGTAGAAAATGAAATTTGACTTCATCTTGATGACTAATGGGAGAGTGTAAATGTTTTTGCTCCTGACTCTTCCATCTCTAGTATTTATTCCTCCCTCTTAACCACTCTCTCCATATTGTACTCATTTACCTGTTGAGTTTGAGGTATTTCTACATTAAAGTGTGTGTGTGTGTGTGTGTGTGTGTGTGTGTGTGTGTGTGTGTGTGTTAAACCCTTCTTTGTCCACTTTCAGATCAGAGTGAGGTTCACTGGATGGCCATACCCCTCACTCTTGTCTCTATACTGATTCTGACAAACCCCAATGAAAAGAAAATAGCACATTCTATCTTCTTTTCACGCTACTGTATTCCTTTTGCCATCCCTGCCTTTCCATTCTTCAAATACTCATAACTAATCTACCTCCAGGACCTCTCTTTTTCTCATTTACCCCCTCAATGCCCTTTGACGATGTTAAAGAACACTTGTTTTTCTTCACATATTAAAAGGGTAATACTGCATCAACATCATCATACAGCTACTTCCATCTGCTCCAATAAACTTACCTTTCTAACTTTAGCTGGACTCTTGCATTTGTAGTTCAGTTCCTACTCAGGTCTGGTCTAGCTATGAGGTAGCTAGATGACCCAGTGGATAAGAGTGCTGGGCGTGGAGTTCAAGGAAGATCTGAGTTCAAATTCAGCCTCAGACACTTACTTGCTCTATGACGCTGGGTAAGTCATTTAAATTCTGCTTGCCTCTGGAAAAGGAAATGGCAAACCACTCCAATATCCTTGCCAAAAAACCCCCACCATGAACAGTATTGGTGTGATATGGTCCAGGGGGGTCACAAAGAGTCAGACACAACTGAATAGCAACAGCCATGAGGAGATAAAGGCCTGCACTAGGGTGATGGCAGTGTCAGAGGAAAAAAGGGGGCATGTTTGAGAGACATTATGAAGGTACAATCAACAAGACTTGACAATAGATTGGGTAAGGGAGTGACAGTGAGGAGTTGTATTTGACACCTAATTTTTCAACCCTGGATGAATGAGAGGATAGTGCTATCCTCCATAGTAATAGGGAAGTTAGGAAGAGGAGAGGGTTTGGGAAGAAAAATAATGAATTCCCCTCGGAACATATTAAATTTAATATGTCTGCAGGATGCCCAGTGTGAGATGTGAGAAAATTGAGAGGACTGGAACCAAAAGTGGTGGTGGAAATTGGGTAAATCACACCGAACAACAAGCCTGCCTTGTGACTCAGTTTTGTAGCTAGCTCAGTTCCCTTTCTGTTCACTTATGGGTGTAGTCCAATGTCTGTCCTGTAAGAAAACTTCATTCAATTATGGAAATTGGGAGAAAACCTTATTGCATTGTTTGAACCTAGCCCTATGTGGCTGGATCACCTCTACCTATTGCTTAGAGACCCTTAACTAAGGACCTAGGTTATGCTGACTAGAAATCTGGTCAAATCTAGAGATTGATGTAAGAAGTTTTCTCACATCTCAAGCAACTCATATGTCTTATCTGAAAACTAGCCCCATACTAATTAATTATTTTTGTTTCCATGTTCCTTTGATTGTTCACAGACACTTGGGGGAGTGAGACACATCTTTTTCTAATTTCAAGGAATTGTACCTGTTCACTCTCCTCCTCCCAACTTGGAAAGTCACTAATCTTTCTTCCAGTTAGAAATCAGATTACCTAATGTTGTATCCTAGTTAATTGTTTCCTTTTAATTAATTGACCTTATTTGATTAATTGTTTTTAACATAAATATCTGTCTCTCTCTGTTTTTGGGGTGCAGTCCTAAGCTAAAGAAGGGGCCTGGTCCCAATTTGTTAGGCAATTGGCATGCATTGCTTAATAAATCAAAATTCTAGGCAGCTCAAACCTTTGTTTCCCCAGTCATTTCATCTTTTTTTATTTTTTTTATTTTTTTAATTAATTTATTTTTAGTTTTCAACAATCACTTCCATAAGCTTTTGAATTTTAAATTTTCTCCCCCTCCTTTTCCACCTCCCTCACCAAGACAGCATGCAATCTGATATAGGCTCTACATATACATTCCTGTTAAACATATTTTCAGATTAGTCATATTGTAAGGAAGAATTAGAAACCATTGGAAGAACCATAAGAAAGAAGAAACAAAACAAAACCAAAGAAAAGAAAGCAAATAGTAGCTTCAATCTGCATTTAGACTCCACGGTTCTTTCTCTGTATGTGGATAGCATTTTCCATCATGAGACTTTTGGAGATATCTTAGATCCTTACATTGCTGAGAAGATCTAAGTCTATCAAAGTTAGTCATCCACAGTGTGGCTCTTACCATGTACAATGTTCTACTGGTTCTGCTCACTTCGCTCAGCATCAGTTCTTATAAGTCTTTCCAGGTTTTTCTGAAGTCCACCTGCTCATCATTTCTTATAGCACAATAGTATTCCATTACATTCATATACCACAACTTGTTCAGCCATTCCCCACTTGATGGGCATCCCCTTAATTTCCGATTCTTTGCCACTACAGAAAGAGCTGCTATAAATATTTTTGTACATGTGGGTCAAAGGGTATGCACATTTTTATAGCCCTTTGGGCATAGTTCCAAATTGCTCTCCAGAATGGTTAGATCATGGGGCAGCTAGGTGGTGCAGTGGATAGAGCACCAGCCCTGAAGTCAGGAGGACCTGAGTTCAAATCCAGCCTCAGACCAAACACTTACTAGTTGTGTGACCCTGGGCAAGTCACTTAACCCCAATTGCCTAACCAAAAAAAAAAAGTCAGAATGGTTAGATCATTTCACAACTCCACCAATAATGCATTAGTGTTCCAATTTTCCCACATCTTATCCAACATTTATCATTTTCCTGTTTTGTCATGTTGGCCAATCTGATAGGTGTGATGTGGTACCTCAGAGTTGTTTTGATTTGCATTTCTCTAATCAATAATGATTTAGAGCATTTTTTCATATGACTATAGATGGCTTTAATTTCTTCACCTGAGAACTGCCTGTTCATATCTTTTGACCAGTTATCAATTGGGGAATGACTTGTATTCTTATAAATTTAACTTAGTTCTCTATATATTTTCAAAATGAGGCCTTTAGCAGAGACACTGGTTGTAAAAAATTCTTTCCCAGTTTTCTGCTTCCCTCCTAGTGTTGGTTGCATTGGCTTTGTTTGTGCAAAAACTTTTTAATTTAATGTAGTCAAAATTATCCATTTTGTATCTCATAATGTTCTCTATCTTTTGTTTGGTCATAAATTCCTCTGTTCTCCATAAATCTGACAGGTAAACTGCTTCTTGCTCTCCCAGTTTGCTTATAGTATGAGCCTTTATATCTAAATCTTGAACCCATTTTGACTTTATTTTGGTGTATGCTGTGAGATTTTGGTCTATGCCTAGTTTCTGCCACACTCCTTTCTAGTTTTCCTAGCAGTTTTTGTCAAATAGTGAGTTCTTATCCCAAAAGCTGGCATCTTCGGTTTTATCAAACAGAAGATTACTGTATTCATTGACTACTGTGTCTAGCATACCTAGTCCACTGATCCACCACTCTATTTCTTAGCCAGTACCAAGTAGTTTTAATGATTGCTGCTTTATAATACAATTTAAGATCTGGAACAGCTAAGCCACCTTCCCTAGCATTTCTTTTCATTAGTTCCCTTGATATTCTGGACCTTTTGTTCTTCCAAATGAATCTTGTTATTATTTTTTCTAGCTCTATAAAGTAATTTTTTGGTAATTTGATTGGTATGGCACTCAATAAGTAAATTAACTTAGATAGAATTGTCATTTTTATTATATTAGCTCAGCCTACCCATGAGCAACTGGTATTTTACCAATTATTTAGATCTGACTTAATTTGTGTGAAAAGTGTTTTGTAATTGTGTTCATATAGTTCCTGCGTCTCAATC